TCTGTCCTTTTCGGCTAATAAAATTTGTAGAAACGCTTTCTCTATGTCTGAAGTAAAGGCGACTTTGTTTAATCTGAAATTAACAAGAATGTCGAATATGTTCGAATTCAGGCTTGGATCTGACCACAGGCAATCATTTAGACTTAAATGCTTAAAGTTATGACTGGACTTGCATCAAATACTATTCTTATTTTTGTAGTTGCACTTTTCTCTATAAAAACTAGTTGATGTGGCAAATAGAACACAGGTTTATCAACAGGTTCCTTAGGACATCTAACTTTCTCTATATTATTCTTATTTTCATAGTCCTTTTAAAGTTTCAATATACTGCAAATGAAGATTTGGTATCTTTTTGAAGTCTACGCATAAGTAAATTAAGTCGCTTTTTTGCAACGATGAAGTTATTATTGAGCTCTCCCAATCTCTTTTCCATGGTAATTGAACCTCATACCGGTTATTCTTTAAAACGAACAGTTTTTTTTCAAATGTTTCTAAGGATTGATATATCTCATTTTCATTGGGATCTATCTCATTTCTCATTTTCACTGGATCTATCTCATTTCTCATTTTCACTGATCTATCTCATTTTCATCATCTTTAATTCCTATAGTCTCAAGTTGCCAAAATTTTTTAATTTCATTTTCTATATGACTATAATTATTAATTCATCCACAGTGAACTGCTCGCGTATTTTGAGTCTCTAGAAAACCAAAAACAGAATTTTGAAATCTTAGCTCTGAATTTGGCACTTCAACTTTACCGAATTTTAAGATCTGATAAAACACCTCTGCGCCTATTAATATATCAATTTTTCCTCTTTTATAAAAGTTTGCATTAGCAAACTTAATGCTTTGAGGAAAATGTTCAGTTGGAACTTCTATATTATTTATTGGTATGGAGTCCGAGATTTTAGGCACGCAGAAAAATTCTAAACTCATTTCAAAGTCAATACCATTTGAAATAGAAGCACATGCTTTAGAATTAATATTTATTCTCATGTTATTTAATCCAGAAACCGCAACAGATATTTTTTCTCTTTTAATCCCTAACGATATGGCACATTCAATCGTTAAGAATGACATCATCGAACCTACATCACACAAAGCGCGAACTGATTTTAATTCACCATCTTTTATTAAAATCTTATCTTCACCATCTCTTATTAAAATATTTGCAGTAGAAAGTAAAACATTCTTGGTCTGACGCATTCCATTTACAGCTGTGCCGGCAAAAATACTTTCTTTATTGGTAGAAGAAGAGTCATAAACAAATTTTTCAGCATTCGGATTAAGACTTGACTGTCCTCTTCTTCCCCCCCCCCACTTCCTGCTTTAAAATATGAGCGCTTTTGGATTTATTTTGTTTTTCATTTTTGAAATGTAACAGTGTTGAATGCTTTCGTGAGCATTTTTGACATCGATAATTAGACGAACACTTTTCGAACAAGAATGGTTTTTCAAACAATTAAAGCAAAAGCTTATTTCTTTTCACGAATTCACACCTGTCATTGACAGAAAGATTTATAAATTACTGGGACACTTACTATATAATGAATGGAATTCTTCACCACTGCACTTTATGCACTTCCAATGTATGTTTTTCATATTAGAAGTGGATATCATACTCGTAAGTTTATGTGGAGAATTATTACTCTTTTTTACCTCTTTTATTTTACTATATTGAAGCGTTCTCGCTTGGGTTTGTAAAAACGAAAGTAATTGTTCAATCGTACCGATTTCTTCCGAGTTTTTTAATTCCTTTTCCCACCAGTATCGAGTCGATTTATCAAACTTATTCACTGCCAAATATACTATCATCATTTCCGATAAGTTTTCTACTTTGTAGTTTAAAATATTTAAAGTTCGAATACATTCGTTTGTTACATCAATTAAATTTAGAATAGAACTAGATGTTTCACTAATATTTGGCTGATTCAGAAGCTTTTTTATTATAGTTTATTCGAATACCTATCTTCTAAAAGTTTCCATGTTATATCGAAATTTGTGTCCGAAATAGAAAGAAGTTGTATTACTCTCAGAGCTTCATCCTTACAACTAGCTTTTAAGTATTGTAATCCCGTTGCATTACTCAGATAGATTTGTTTTCTATTACACTAGCTTTAAAAATATCTTTAAACATTATCCAGTTCTCGATTTTACCATTAAATGTCGGTACCGATAGCGTTGGTAACTTAACATCAGAAAACACATTTGAATTATTGTTACTCGGCACAGTAGAAACAGAATGTTCAGAGTTCATCTTATTTTTAACTACGACTAATTTACATTTAATCATCAATAGCAACTCATCAACAATATCATCTGTATCTTCTTTATCAACATATTTATCCAATTCTTCGGGTTTACATGCTTCAAAAATTGAATAAAATACAGATTTAAGTTCGTTCGAAATTTCATTAGTTTTGGTTTCAAATAGCTGCAACGCAACTGAATCTGAAACATCTAATGACGAAACAACTTTATCTTTATGCCGCATCAGTGAACTTTTTAACACTCTTTTTCTAGTTTTTAGAGCTTCCATATTTATAACCTTTATACTCTTCAAATTTAATAGAGATTAAAATGGGAGAACTCACCTCGACGCACCACTTGAACTGTACTCAGGAGCTGGTTGACTTTGTATTTAATAATAAAGATTATCATCACAAATGTATTTATTTTATTATGCATTTCTTAATCATTTTGTTGTGTAGAGGAGCGATCTGGCTGAAAAACGTTTCAAATTCTCAATCACAAAGCTGTAAGATCTGTTACAGCAAGTACACAAACCAAAAGAATACTCAATTCAAATTACGTAGGTCGAGAGTATAAACGCGCTAGCAGCACCCCCTGTCGGCAACTCTTAGTCCCTTCTGAACATACTTCCGACCTTGAAACCTTACGCGTTTCAAAACAATATTACAATTAGTATACGCTGTTTTAAATGTAATAACAAACAATTGTAAGCAATACCAATACAATAGTTAAATTTTAAAAGACACATTAAATCATCAATGCAATATAAACACTATAAAGAAACATATTACATTACCCAAATCTAATTACAATTCACATGGAGAACACAAATGCCTTTCACATTTCGTTTTAACATTTTACCATCTGCTAATACTATGTTAATCACTCAAACTTTTTTATCTTTTCCAAAAATTGTTTCTGCAATTCTACCTGTTAATCATTTTGTACTGGGCATATGCTCATCCTTGACTAATATAAGCAAACCTACCTTAACGTTATCTTTAGCAAACATCCGCTTATTACGTTGTTATGACATCCACTTATTCGCTCTTCAGTTTGGGTATGAATATGGTGTCCAACTTTAAAACTAAATCTCTCAGTCAATTTTGATTGTATGGGAATCACCCTTTTTATATTGTGCTTTTTATAATGACTATTAACACTTTCTTAAATATAAGTCGAAGTATTTAAAAACTAAACTTCGATCTTTCTACGAAGATAAAAGATCGAAGATAAAAAATTAGATTTGGTAATTTTTTGTAGATAAAAAGTTAGATTTGGTAATTTTTAAAAACCGATTTTTTTTTTTTTTTAATTGGATATGCCAGAACATGAATACTTGCATCATTTAAAATATTTTTAGTCACTACTGAACACTTGATGAAATTGATTTTCACAAAAGAAAAACTTTACAGTTCTGGAATTTTCCACAAAAAAACTCGTACATCTCTTCTTAGTATCACAGAGCACCATCAATAGTTACACTTCAAACTACTAAGAACATTAAACACAAAGCGTATCTAAAGAGCGAGCTCACACGAAACATCTCAGTATTCCGTAGTTGATGCTGAACTGAAAAACTGTGAGCAGATCTCTCTCCAGTCTTGTATAGTTTTACTCTGAATTGCCGAGAAATCTGCATTATCTTCCATTTCTCAAAATTATTGGAAGGGATATAAAGTTGCATACAAGGACTGGATATGGTTGCAATTACTCACAAGGATCAATTACAGTTATTCAGTTGTGGTTATACATAATCTGGACCAAAATGTTGTCAAATGGTCACCAAGTTTGGTGACTTGGCAAAAATTAGTTGCCCAAACCATTGGTAGATTGGCGATATCTTGCCAATATAGCAAGATAACCAATGTTAAATTGACTTTTGTAATTTTAATTTTCATGCAGAGCCAAGACTTTTTCAAGCGTTTCATGTTACATTACACAAAAATGCTATAATTTTATATATAATTAAATTTATTTACATATATGCAAAATTCATAACATTAAATTTGTTAAAATATTTCTGTTCAGAATTGTTTTTAAATACTGTTAGATTATAGAGATGAAAGACATATTAAAACATATTTAGTCTGTTTTAAGTCATTCCTATGAAATTGCATTTTACAAATTCTCTAATATTATGTATTCTTATTCCCCCCCCCCAACCTTTTTTTTTTTTTTTTTGTAATATACGAAAAGCATAAATGTGCGGGAGCCATTTGCAAATACACACACAGTTGTGACTCGGTCGGTCAGCATTTACTTTTAATTCTTGTGTTAGATTTTGAAAAAGTCAGGCCATTCAATGTGAAATATAGTTGAGTGCCTCATTGTAAAGAATTGTTTAAATTAAAAGAAAATTAATTAATTAGCAAAATTACCCTTAAAATCTAAGTTTGACAATAGACAGACTGTATTTTTTAACCTCCCTTTTATTAAAGTCTTGTGCATCACGAGTAGGCATAGGGGCTTCTTTTCCTGTGTGCTCAACATTTTGTGTTTTTCTATTAAAACTGATTAATCATATTTTCATGATATGGGAATTTTATAAAATGGATTAACTTTATTTTTATTGTCAGATCGGTTGTACTTGATAGAAAATTCAGTTTATTATAATTTGCGTTAGCTGCCTTTGAGACCACAATTTGCCACCTTGTTCTGACTCTGTAAATGTATATTTATTTATTTTTATAATTTTTAAACTTAGAAACAACTAATTCCTATTTCTTTTTAAAACAATTTTAGGGTTGGCTCGTAGACTTAATTAATCGATTTGGTAGCAGTGGTGGCTTTCATCTTCTGCTAGAACGTTTCCAGAATGGTCCACTTCTCACTGTTCCTGTTATAGCTGCTCTTATCAGGTGTTTTAATTTTAGACTTCAAATAAATCATTTAAGTATTTCTTTTGTCATACTAATATATTGATTTTTTAGTTGTATTTATATTAATATTTTATTTGAATTAATTCTAGGCCCTTTGGAATGTGCCATGATTTACTAACAGTCCATACCGTTGAAAAATATTTTATGCCTATTGTTGAAATTGTGCCATCATTTTTGGATAACTTAACTGATGATGAATTGAAGAAGGAAGCTAAAAATGAAACAAAAAATGATGCCCTGTCTGGTATAGTTAAAGCATTAAAGTGTTTATCTGCAAAAGTACCTAATCAAGAAACTACAGTGAAAAGTTTAGAAACATTTAGATTAAAGATGATCCTCAGGTAGAGTATTATAATATGTAATATTAGCAGAATTGTGTACATATCACAGTGTTTTATGTTTTAAATGTGTTTGACTTTATATGCATTTTAAATTCATTTATGTAAAAATAAATTTTTTGGGGGGTTTAATGTCAGATTGGCTGAAATGTTATCACAAATTTAATTATGCTAATCATTGCACAATTTTCTTAAAAATATGATAGAATAGGAAGTCAAGAGAAGTACATTGTCTAATAGCAATCGACCTAAGATGAGAACTTGAGAAATAGCAGAAAGCATGTGCATGTGTCTAAGAATGTAGTTCTGTTGTTTTTGAAAGTAATATTTTAAAATTTATGCTATGAAGTATATTATAGACTATGTGTCTAATAGTATGACTAATAGTAAATTTATGCTATGAAGAAAATTGAGCAAACATAATTAAAAAAAAATGACAATTTATTTTGTGTCTAATTCTTTATTTACAATGACTATGTGTCAATACATGCATGCACACCTTGCACAAAAAAAGAGGGGAGTCAGTTCTATAGCTCATGTTCTACTGGACCGATTGTCAAAATTTAACTTGCGTTTTCCGTGTCTCGAAAGTGCAACTTGGGATCTGTATTAGATTTATATATAGCACTGTTCTAATATAGGTATTTTGACAGAAAACCGTGCTTTTTCTAAAATACTATATGAAATTTTTCCATATTTTGATTTTATGACTGAAATTATGTCTAGATAATAAATTTTGTAATGTTTTCTGAGAATTTTGTGGAGAAATATTAAAATTTATCTTGGCACATTTGTTTTCAGCTTGCGTCAAGAATAATTCACTTTGGCGAACTTCTTAATTTATAGCAACCTATTTTCCTTTCCTTTATTTTTCATTGTACATGAGTGGAAAAGTGCATAAATCGCATTTGGCGTCACTTATAACAAATATGCCAAATTTCAAAATGTGCCAATATGTAAATTCATGTATATCTTAGGGAATGTATATAATTTTTTAATTTTTTGTAGGTATGCTAATAAATAATCTACTTTAAGATGAACTTTTTTCAAAAAAATTATAAAATATTTTTAAAAGTAAATCGTAAAAAATGGGTAAATTTTATTTGGAATGAACCTAAATTTTGCAATATGAAGAAGGAATCAAATAAGTTTAATAAAAAAGAAGAGATATTACTAAATATATATACCAAATTCAACATGGAGGATCCAACATAGAATTGAAAAGTGCATACCTTCAGCTATACAAAGTAAAATTTTTAAGCCTCTAATGTTGAATTTATGAATAACACTAAGACCACCGAAAAAACAAAAATGAATTCTGTGCTCATAGCACTAATGAAATAAAAGAGTACAGTTTTATGTTGCCATCTACTAGGGAAAAGAATAGCTAAACATTGATATGGATATAGTAAGATAAAAATTAGCTCAGTAAACCATCTGATTTTTTTTAATGTTAAATTCAGTAAAAATTTGTAGGATTTATATATGCATCACCATGCATTGAAGGGTTAATATCCTTTCCTAAAAATAGTTTAAAACCACTTAAAATTCTTTACTTAATATGCTCACACATACTTATGAAAAATTAATGAACAAGAATTTTACATTTTGCAATGCAGCACAATCAAATTGCAGAAATTTAAAGCAAAACTGAAAAGTATAGAATCTGCAGTATATCAAATAATTCTGTCTCATTCCTGAGTTAAATTCACGTAAAAATAACCATTTTTGAGCTGTCAATTGACAAAGTACTATTAGAAAAAGCGAAAGCGCAAATAATTTTCTGTCGTGCCCGCTTTCAAGCACAAACTGGATTGACGACCTTGAACCTACCGTAATGTTGAACTTTCTAAGCGGTAATTTTCTTATGATTTAAAGCACTTTTTTTGTCTAAATATGTAGAGATGGCAGAAGCAAATTCAATATTTCTTTTCGCTAGACATTCGAACTTCTGAATTTATCGGGATGTTACTTTCATTCTGTAAACACTAAGAATGATTATTTTTTTTAAGCACTTGCAAAACACCACAGCAGAAGGTTGATAGGTTATTGTTTAAACACTGAAAAAACAAATATGATGATTTAGTTCTTTTGCATTTATCATAAAAACGATGATTTGAAGAGCAGACTAAATAAATTTTCTATTGAGGTATTAGGCTACAGGTAACCATTCTGTCTGACTAAAAAAAGGGTAATACAGTCAAAAGTCGTTAATTCGGACACCCATAATCTGGACCTCAAAGCTACAAACTTTCTGCGCATGCGTCGCGTAAGACGTTTATGGCTGCGAATTTGCATGTTCGCGTGCGCAAAATATGTTTATGAATGTGCATTTAATGTATAACGGACGGTATAAGCTAAGCTCTAATTATCTATTTCAGTTAATGTTACAGATTGCGTTGTTCCTTAATTTTCGAATTGGATCCGGCTTATTATTTTTTGCAGACTGTTAGAGCAATTTTATAAAAGTAAGCTTGAACTTTTGATTATGTCAAATAGAATTCCGATTTATATTTACTAATATGTAACGGATCTACAAAGCGAAAGAATGTTTCGGAGTCCATTAAACAAAAAGTGGAATTGCTGCAAAAAATGAATAAAGGCATGTCCTTTGTTTATCTTTAATGCGGCGGGAGCACGCAATTAATTGGAAGTTGATCTGCCAGCACTATCCTTATCTTCAGGACAGATGTTTTTATTTTATTTGGCTTATAATTGCTTACTAAATGTAGTATTTCATTTCGATGTACTCCGTCTTTGATATAATTTAAATCAAATGCCTCATCATTACATAAATTCGCTCCAATTCCCAATAAGCGAAGAAAGTGACAGAGGTTATTGAAAACGAAAAAATTTCGATTGACAAATTAGTCGGTATTCTCGACACAGCAACTATAGGACTTGAACAGTGGAACTTTGTAACTGAACATGAAATTATGTCTGTTTATAGAATTAAAGAGAATGTATTATCACATTAAAAAACGAAGCAACTTAAACAACTTACATTGAAAGAAATGTTTAGTAAAGTAAACAAATAAATATTAAGCTTTTTTTTTTTTTTTTTGTAAATTTTGATACACTTTAGATCATAATTGTTCTTTATTTCGTAAATTACGGTTTCATATTTTTAATTTTATAATTTCTGCATGCCATTTTACCAGATTTAAACTGATGATCTATAACCCGGAATCGCCGAAGTCCCGACGAGTCCGGATTAACGACTTTTGACTGTAATAGCAAGGAAAAGACAGAGCTACGCCAATGCGTAATAGCTGTATAGGATAGATCATAGATCCATGTTGAAAAGAAAGAATTCTGATTGCATAGTATGCTAATATGTTGAGTTCATAATATCTAAAACACTTGGCAGTCGAGTCTGTTTTATTTCCGATTGACATTTGTGGCCACAATCACTTGGCACTTGCGTCGTGCCTATTCGTGGAGCATTTACATTTTTTTATACTTTTTGCGATAGTAAGCGAGCCCAACAAAATTGTGTACAAGCACTACACAATCAGAAGCTAAAATGCGTAGTTATCCAGTATGGAAGCACATGAAGAAAAAAAGTTGGTTTGAGTTAAAACTTTCAGTTCCGATTTATTACGTCATCAGCGCTGCCCAGACTATGCAAAATGGAATGATCTAGAAATGATGCAACCCAGAGAAGTTATTATGATTTTTAGAACTGAGAGGGAGAATTAAAGGGAATTAGGAGTTAGTTTAAATTATAATTTTGATTTACATATTTTTTCTTGCATATGTATATATCTAATATATACTCCAAGTCATGCTTTCGAGACATAGAAAACACAAGTTAAATTTTTATAATTGGTGCATTAGAATGAGAGATACAGAACTGTTCCCCCCTCTTTTTTTTTTTTTTTTTTTTTTTTTTGCGCAAAGTGTACATGCATGCCGATTATTTGATGACTTGTAGGGAGGCATTACTTTTTGTTAGAGTTACTGGAACTGCAAATTGTGTTAACTCCAATCTCATGCATTCTTACTGAGAAAAGTAATTAGGCATTTTTATTCATTGACTGAAAGAGTATGAAGCAATTGCCATGATATTTACTTCAACATATGTGTGTAATTTCCAATTTCATAAGCAGGGCTGCTGAATGTGTGTCTGTAAGGTCTGCACTGCAGGCAAGTATCATCAGAAAAGGGCTTGGTTTGACATTTCACTAAATGAACAATCATAAATTTGTATTAATAATTATGAGTATCAACAAAAATAGAAAAGATGCATTATAAGTGTGATATATATTATAAGTATATTTAAAGTAAATGTTAAATATTTTCATAGCAGAACTGAGCTTTTTACTGCATCAGATATAATTAGGAAGAAAGATAAATAAGATTTTTAGGGAGTAGTTAAAAATTGCTAGCTGATGCATTTATGGTACTGGTTTTAGATATTTAGTAACAATGTTTATTATTCTGCTTTGTCTACAAAAGTAAATATTTTTTTAAAGTTAAATTTTATTTATATGTTAAAATGTAGGAGGACATTTATTTGAAATGTCAATTATTTAAATGGAGTCTGAAACGTTAGAGGAATTAAAATTTGCTCAAAATCTAATTCCTTAACTTTAATTTAAATATTAGAAGGAGCATTCTTCCAACTTCAGATTGATTTGAAAAAGTAGAGTTGATTTTATTTTAACAAAAATCTGTTATAGTTTTAAAATTTTGTATCATGTACATCAATTTAGTCGCATATTTTTTAACATCATATACTTCATAATAAGGGAAACCATTTCTTCAAGTTCTTATTTGTTTACTTTATTAAACATTTCTTTTAATGTGCGCATGCGTAAAGCATACATTGCGCATAGTCGAAATTAGAAAATTGCAACCAGAAAACTTTGATGTGTGTTCGTGATATTTATAATGACGAGGAATTTGATTTAAATCATATCAAAGACAGAGTACATCGAGATAAAATACTACATTTAATAAGGAATTATAAGCCGTATAAAATAAAAACATTTGCCCTGAAGATAAGGATAGTGCTGACAGATCAACTTCTAGTTCATTGCGTGCCGTGGACTACCCCCCACCCCCTTCCCAGGGCACATCAGCGTGAAATTGATAAACAGATTTCGGAATGGTTAGAGAAGCAAAGGATATGCTTTTATCCATTTTTTTTTGCAGCAATTCTACTTTTTCTTTGATGGACATTGAAACATGCTTTCGCTTTGTAGATCCTTTGGCAGCTCCAGAATTGGAAATTCTTTTTGACGTTATCGAAAGTTCAAGCTTACTTTTATAAAATTGCTCTAACAGTCTGCAAAAAATAATAAGCCGGATCCAATTTGAAGATTAAGGAATAACGCAATCTGCAACATTAAGTGAAATAGATAATTAAATAATTTTGCTTAGCTTATACCGTCCGTTATACATTAAATGTGCATGCGTAAAAAGCATAATGCATTTACGCATGCGCAGAAAGTTTTGTAGCTGTGAGGTCCGGATTATAGATCATTCCGGATTAAAGACTTTTGACTGTATTAAGCTTTTTTTTTTTGTGTGAAATAAATTACGGTTTCATATTTTTAATTATATAATTTCTGCATGCCATCTTACCAGATTTAAATTGCTGATCTATAATTCGGAAACCCCCTAATCCGGAATCGCCAAAGTCCCGATGAGTCCAGATTATGGACTTTGTACTGTATAAATATATTCTCTTCCTTTTTGTTTTGTTTTGCACATGGTATGTATGATTAGTATTGGGGAAAATTAAAATATGTAGTAATTATGTTTAGTTGTATCACTAAATGTATGAATGGTTAAATTTCTTTTTAATTTTAATCTAGTTTTAAGGTTTGAAATTCATTTAAAATCTTTTTTCTTTTTAATATTTTGTCAGGTTGCTACAAATTTCATCATTCAATGGAAAGATGAATGCCCTTAATGAAGTTAATAAAGTTATCGCTAGTGTTTCTTATTACACTCATAGGCATGCTAATCCAGAAGAAGAAGACTGGCTAACAGCTGAACGTGTAGCTGTAAGTAACTCATTGAAAATCTACAAAATCTTATCACCAGCAAAATTTCTTCATTTGTAGGATACTGGTACTTTTTTGTTAAAGCAGCCATCATATAAGCTATTAGAACCATTCAAAGTTTACCTGTTAATATATTTTTAAATAAACAATGGGAATTCGAAAACCTTATGAAAAGTTAATAATGTAAGAACGTGGTGAGAGCAAAAATGCAACAGGGTGTTAATATAAGATTATGTGGCAAGAACGGTGTCCACCAATAACATCGCGGACGAAAACAGCGCAAAGTGAAAACGTCGTGGGAGAAAACATCGCACTTCTAAAACATCGTGGTACAAAATATCGTCTTCGAAAATAAAGCGGTTAAAAAACTTCGCAGTTTAAAAACGTCGCCGAAAATATCGTGGTAAAAAATAAAATATCTACAAATCATCGCATGACGATAACATCGCAGACAAGCGGCTTTTTTCAGGCTTTAATAATTGTAAATGGATATTCCCATAATGATTTGTGAGTGCAAGATGGAAAGAAGGATAATTTTTGCTTTCATATTTATTATTAACTAATAAATTTTTGCTTATAAATTTTTTATTTTTTACAGAAGCAATTTTTTTTATAGATAAGGTCATGTAGTTACTTGGATTCTTTTTTCTAATCTTTTTTAGATAGTGCTTTTCATGAAAAATTACAAGTAAAAACTTTACAAAAACGATTTATTACTGGCTTTGTTTAGTTAACTATGTCGGTTTAAAATTCTATTAAATGCTATAAGTTGCATTAATTTTCTATGCTTAATAGTTTCCTTCTTACTTTATCAGCAAAAATTCATTAGTGGATAAAAAATATGAAAGCAAAAATTATCCTTCTTTCCATCGTGCGCTCAGAAATCATCATGGGAATATCCATTTACAATTATTAAAGCCTGAAAAAAGCGTGTCTGCGATGTTATCGTCATGCGATCATTTGTAGATACTTTATTTTTTACCACGATATTTTCGACGATGATGTTTTTAAACAGCGAAGTTTTTTAATCGCTTTATTTTCGACGACGATATTTTGTACCACGATGTTTTCTCCCACAATGTTTTATAGCACGACGTTTTCGCCTTGTGCTGTTTTCTCCGCGTCGTTTTCGTCCGCATTGTTTTTGCTGCGATGTTTTCGGCTGTAACCGGCAAAAACATACAGCCAGTGCTAATATATGATCATGTGTCGAGGTGTAAGAACACACAGCCAGATTTTGGTGAGATATCTCAGTTGATTGGTGATTCAATCTCGGAGGAACAAAAATGCACTATTTTTATATCATATATATTTTGATTGAAGAAGAGGATTTATTTTATTATTGAAGTTGTATAGCATTTTCTGCTTATGTCTCTTTGCATAAGAGCTGTGGATCATAAATCTCTTCAGAATTTTCATATTAAATAAACTACGCCATTTAGTTATATATTCTACTGTCTTCTGTAATATTGGGTTTATGTATTTAACATATAAAGAATTTATACCTACCGTAATTTCCGGAAGAAAGGCCGCATCAGCGTAAACGCCGCACTCGAGAAAAATGGCGGGAAAAAATTAAAATTACACAGAAACGCCGCATCAGCGTAAACGCCGCAATAGATTAAATTGTGCGTGACATCGCCGTGGCCCGTATAGATGCAAAAACTCAACCTAAGTCCTGGTATATGACATACCAGTTAAGAAAAATGCATGAAATGAAACCATAACTCAAAAATAAAATTAAAGGTAAGAAATGTTTAGCTTCTGTGCCATTTAGAGACATTTTCAAAAATTTTCCGCTCCTTTCTTACTTAAAAACTATCCAACAAGTACTTGTACCCAAACTGATGGGATCTGTATTTGGCAGAATGCCAAGATAAATCCATTCATGCTGAAGGGGAAATATGTCAGAGTTCTATGTCAGAGTTCGTTATTGCGAGGCAGGTGAAGTCGTGTCTGCCTTTGAAAAAAATTGCAGAAAAGGCAGGGGTGGGGAGAGGATGGGTCCTGAAAGATTCATCGAATTGCAGAGGAGAGAGACTATTCAAACTGATGAGAATGTTTATTTGAAAGGGGGAAGAATGTTATTGTTCTGAGATCTCGTTTAGGGTGAATAAGGCATGTAGGTCTGTTCAAGGGAAAGAATGTAAACAAAATAACATTTGCAAAAAAGCAACTGAGTGGTCTTTTGTGTGGGAACAGCACCAGTCTATGCACAATGACAAGGCCATCCAAACTATGTACAATGACCATCATAGGAAATATTTTATTTTTAGTGCACCTAAACGCCGCATGGGTAGGAACGCCACACCCGCTGAAAATTTAAGTTTTAAACACGTAAACACCACGGCGTTTCTTCCGGAAATTACGATGTTAAGTTCCGTTGCAAATCCGTTGATTTAAACTCTGTTGATTCAAATTGCGTTGATTTAAACTCATCAGATGTTAAGTTCCGTTGCAAATGCATCTCGTTTTTGGTTTATTTACATTTTATGCAAGGAGCACATTTGTTTACATCAGTGCTGGCTAGGGATAGATTAGTGCTGGCTAGGGCCATCAGTGCTGGCTAGGGAACAAACAGCAGTAGAGATTTTTCTTTCATTAAATATGAAAAATAGGAAATAAAAAGAGTTTAGAGAACAGAGACCTTTTCTTTTAATAAATCCAAAATTTAATTTCTTTGCTTTGTTGATTGCGATTCTATGAATCCAATTCCACATTAACAATATGTAATGGCAGAATTAGCTTAGAGATTCAGTTTAGGAAAAACTTTACTTCTGGGGTTTTTGTAAACAGTGTATTTATTTTTTTCTCCTTAAGAGCATGTATAAAAAATTACTTCATAAGTAATTTTATTGGTGGATATACATATTTCTGGCATGAACTTACTTTTATATGTTTTTATATAAGAGTTTTTTTTTTTTTTTATTTATTTACCTCAATATTTTCCCTATTATTTATGCATTTTACTCTCCACTGTATTTTCTTCTTGTACTGGTGTTATTTTATTCTTATGTTGTATGCTTTTGTTTTTATTAAATTATGATTAAGTAATTCTGAAAGTGGTATGTGCAACAAAACCTTAGAAGTGATCTGCAAGATTCTGTAAGCTATACAATCCCTAATCCTATGGCCTGTAGATTCTCAGAATTCTACTGTATATATTTGCTGTCCATGAAATATTTTAATGTTAGTATGTTATGTAATTATAATACAAGTACAATCTGGAGTAATACATTAGAACATGGCTGTTTATGAAATGTGATATAGTACGTGTATCAACATGATTTTGTACAAAGTTTTGCAAACTATCTTTCTCCTTTTTAATATTTATTGCTCATCCATAAAAAATTCAGTACTTTTTTCTGTATGAATTTTTTTTTTAATATATCATGTTAATGCAGTTTTAAATTCAAATAATGATTTGCATAGAGTTTTAAGACAAATGATGTCACAGCTTGTGAGATTGTGATCTTCTAGTTTTGAATAAATTTATTTACTGGACAGTTTTGTTTGAGCAACAAAGAAATTTTTTCCTAGTATACAGTTTCAGACAATGGAATAAATTATGTCACCTGCAAGATATGACAACCAGCACTAGCTATAATATGAAGAGTATACTTATTTAAGTTCTACCCAAACAAATCTGATGTGGACATCACATGACTACATAAAAAACTCAGGACATCATTACAAATTAAAAAATGTAGGAAAACAAAAAATACTGAATACAATTTAAAACAATTAAAATTTTTTTTGTTACAATTAAAATTATGTTTTCTATGCAAAAACAAGCAATTTGGCTAGTGGGCAAGAAGACAAATTTTTCTGTGCACTAAACTGAAAGTTTACTTCTAGTCCCACTCTGCAAAACGACACTGAAGGTGCAGAAACTGATTTAATTCACTATTCTCCTAAGAGATTACAAATATCAAACTAATTCAATCACTTTTAAAGCAAAAAATGCACAATTTATTAACATACAAAAATTAAAAAACTGAACTCACCGAGCCGAGTAACAGAGAGCTCTGTGTATATATATATTTATATACTTTTTGGTGCGGCCGATTACAACTAAAACAGGAAGTGCTATGTTAGTCCCATATACAAAATTTTACCCTTATGAGGCTACTTTTATACGAAATACCTACATGCATGTGTAGGTACATACATACAGAGGTCATGAAAAAATGTCTTTTGAGTCCATTTTAAATCCATTTTTTAATCCATTTTGGGAAAAAAAGAACTTTATTCTGTCCATACAAACAGATGTGATGCCAAAACATCTTTCGATGGATTAAAAGAGTGGTGAAAATAGATATTTTCTTTGAAATACCATACTCGAAATTTTTCACAATTACAATACTTCCTTTACTTCGTACAAGGAAGTAAGATGAACCCTTACCAAAGCTAACTGTCGTATGTCATATATGAAGATGAGACTGTAAGATATTTCTTCATGAATTCTTTTTTCCCTTTATTCTCTCAATTGATATCTATGAACTAATTTGAAGGCAAAATCTGATAAAAAAAATTTTTTAAATTAATTCAGCTTTGGATTCAACCTGAAAAGTTTATTGTAAAGCTGTAGTCTTTCCTGCTTCTGAATGGCACTGTCATGACAGGCCTTCATTAGTGAAACCGAACTCATTGAATAACTGGAGAATTCTTCATTTCTAAGCTAGTTTATTTTTATATGGATAGTATCTGAAATATGTGAGGCTTTGGTGCAAACATTCTCACTCATAACATTTTGATATTTTTACTGAATAAACAATAAACCTTTACAGTATAAATGATGTTTAAAACAGAATGACATGATTTTAGACGCTTTTAAAAAGGAAAATGTGTTATCTTTTTTAAATAAACAATAAACTTTTAAGTAAGACACCAAATTTCACTCACCATAATGGTAAATGCTTTGTGTGCTGTTCCCTTCTGTATGGGCAGTCTTTGTATTTGAATCGAGTTTGCTCTAAACATGTCTAAGAATTTTATCTTCTATAAAATGTCTTGGATTTCATAAAATCAGATTTCATAAAATCAGTGAGTAATGATGGAAGAAAAAATATTCTTTTACTTGTTTCCATAGGATGTATGTTATGTCTGAGTTATATTGTTGGAGGATGTTTTTGAATTATGAGTGTAATTTCAAACATTGCACTCCTGGCATTCAGGGAATGTTTCTTTTAAAAACTAATAAACAATAAACCTTTACAGTACCAGTATGGTGTCTTGCTAAAAAATGTAATATTCAGAATGTTCATTCGCTTGTGGGAAAAGACAGTCTTGCAGCATTTGAAAATCGAAAACAATCAAAATAAACAATGCCCCCTTCCGAAAAAAGGATTATAAATTTTATAACAAAAACCATACAAAACATATTAATTTTTGGTGAATACACTGCACTATGTCATGGAGATTCTCAAATCCTCATATGTAAATGTTGTGGCATGTTTCAAAATCAGCCACAATAACAGATACTTTCTTTCTTATCCATTTAAGAGCATGTGACAAACGTATGTTCTTTTCATTGTGTCATGTGCATGAAGAATTTGTAGCTTGTAATCTGTATAGCCTCGTGAGCAAATTTCATTTTAATCCTTGCCAAACAGTCATGAGGAATGGCAGTTTCTTAGCTAACAGGTCAAGAAGATTTGTGTGCATATCAGTAAAAAGCTCCTTGAATTTGTTATGCGATTCCTGTTAAATGCATCATTGCCCTAATCTTTTTTTATAGAAATATCACATTTCTTGAAATTTTCAAGAACAATGATAATTTTTTTAAAACCATAAGTGGATAATTCTTACAGTATTACATGTTGCATCGTAATTCCTATGCATGACACTTCATCATTTTCACAGGTGCAGTTTTACTAAATTCAAGAACACAAACTTGTTCTGTCACATAGATGCCATCCAATGAATGACTCGGGATAACATTTGTTAGGCACTAGTAGTTGTATTTGGTGGTAATCATTTGAAACTGTAGATCAATGCCGTTTAATTAGTATTAAGTTTCATTCATTCGTTGCATACATTGCACAGATGCAAAGTTTTAAAATTTGGTTGTTCTTTTCTACACATTCTGTATCTCTAATGCTGTCAGAATTTTCCCAGCAACTTAATAAACATTGTAGTTATGAGATGTTAGGTGAACCATTTGTGAAGGCTTCCAGGAATGAATGGTCAAGTTTTATTTTTCATTTCAAGTTTGACTTAATTATTTTTTGTTTCAAGTAATTTATTCTTTCCATTGTTTCATTTGGAATGTGACTAATTGTGTGTTTTTATTTTAGGAGTGGATCAAAGAAAATAAAGTTCTTCAAATTGTTCTCAGGGATAGCTTGCATCAACCACAGGTATGTAGTTTTTATATTAGGAAAATGAATGGTAAAATTTAAAAATTATTAAATGAATATATATTCTTTTTCTAATGTTGTTTGAACATTAATGCCTGTTTTTAATTTTAGTACGTAGAAAAGCTAGAAAAAATTCTTAGGTTTGTCATAAAAGAGAAGTCATTAACACTTGAAGATTTAGATGATATTTGGGCTGCTCAGTCTGGAAAACATGAAGCAATAGTAAAAAATGTTCATGACTTGCTTGCTAAGTTAGCATGGGATTTCACTCCTGAACAATTGGACCATTTGTTTGAATGTTTTCAGGTACAGAATTTCTTTCAAGGCATTTTTTTTGCTAGATAATTTTTTTATTAATTTAAAGTAATAGTAATTTTAATTTTGTATTTCTGTTTTTCTTTTAACTAGTTTAACCCAATAAACTAATATTTTCCATGTATAAAGCATAGACTTGTTGAAAGTGTGTTATATGTTAATTATACTTTCTGATGAAATAATGCTAGAACATGTTACCAGAATAATCTGAGCTGTAATTCAAAATCACTTATACATGTTTTTATAATACACGGGAGGCATTTTTGTAAGTAAATAAAAAACAAAATCTTTCATTGCAGTTCAATGGAGAAACATATTTTCTAACTTAAAATAGTATATCTGTTTTAAAATGAAACTTGGAAACTTTCATTGCACTTTATAAATAATTCCCATTCAAATTATTAAAATTAATAAATTATTAAAAAATTGCCAGATTTTAATATGATTTTTAGCATTAAATTTAAAAATATCAATTTGAAATTGTCTAAATGTAGGGTATTTTAATATGAAATTATCTTGTTTTTCTCTTTTTTCATGAAATCAAATTGCATATTATTTATTTTTTTTTTCATTCAGCTACTGTTTGTCTTATTTTTGTAATATCATTTTTAGGCTAGCTGGACAAATGCTAGCAAGAAGCAACGTGAAAAATTGTTAGAATTAATACGACGACTTGCTGAAGATGATAAAGATGGCGTGATGGCCCATAAGGTATATTTTTGATGCACTGTGTGTTTCTTAAATGTATCAGCATAAGCATGCAGCATTATTTCATTATAAAACTGTGCATAAATTTCAGTAGTGTGTATGGTATAATCTAATCTAATAAAGAAATATATGAATTCCTTCCTCGTTCATGTTTGCAAAACATTTACTTTTATATGCATATTGGTTAATTTTGAAATGCTGTTACTGTGTATTATTATCAATTTATTACATGCTGATGCACTTTTGATTCTGTGATTTACTAATTTGAATGAAACTGCTCAAAATACTATTAACATGTAATTCAAAATGTATTTTTGTGTCTTTAAATGCACATACCATTATGAGAGCTATTAAAGTTAATGAAGGATTGTAAGATGACACTTATAAAACTTTTAATAATGGTTACATGCTTGAATAAATATTTAACACAGTATTTTGTAGAATATATTCTAAACAAGTATAACCTACGTATGAGAAAGGATATTTATTATGCTGCTTATGAAACTTATTCTAGTGAAATAATATTTCTCATATAGGTTTACATAGATATTTTCAAACGTACAAAAATGAGTTTACTCTTAGGCTTAACTATGAAACAATTGGTTAACAAAAGCCAGAAGTAATTTAATTTTTTTTTTTTTTTTTTTTTTTTTTTTTTTTAAATGATGGGCACTTGGGATTCTGAATAGTTACAGATCATGGACCAAGTTGAATATCCAAGATTCCAGGATTATTTCAGTGTAAAATCTTTTTTGGGGAAGAGCTGTTTTTTAATAGGAGAATAATTATCTGTATAACCAATTTCATTTAAATTATACTTTTCTGCTTAGTTAGAAATTTGAGCTTTTCATATGAATGTAAATTATTTAGTTGAAAATTTATTAGTGATCATAGCAGTGCTGTTATACATGAAATGTTGAAAATATTTTGCATAAAAAATATCAAAACTTTCTCCTCTCCAAGTTTAATGGTCATTCTTGTTATCATGTTCTGCATATGTATATTGTTAACTTTATGCAGTCAGTGCAGAGTTAGAAGATCAATGGAGAAACATATTTTCTAACCTAAAATAGTATATCTGCTTTAAAATGAATTGGAACTATTATCTCAAAGAAATGCTACGAAGGGCATGCAAGTATTACTTCACCAACATGGCAAGGAAGTGGGTAAATTATTTTATGCAAACATATTAGAATGTGAGTACTGAGGCCAGATTTAAGTAGCTTATTATTTTATATATTCATGTGATGGCTGTGTCTGATTTTCTGATTGATTTCAGCATTGAAGTTCTTGTGAAATTGAACCTGTTTATGTGACAAACCTTAACATATTAATAGAACAGCTTTAAAATGTAAAAAATTTCTGCATGATGGCTTCATCACCAGCTGTCAAAAAGTGAAGTTTGGCAGTGTTTTCAAAGTTGTAGGGATTCATCTAGAACTCTATGAAGGGGAATTGTGAAAGTGGCTAATTAAGTAGAATGTTAAACTGAATTTTAAATGAAATTTTAAGTTGAAATGCATCTTAAAATTTTACATTTTCCACTTGGAAATTAACAACATGTAGTTGATAATATATACAATGTTTTGTTGCTTCAATAAAATTTTCACTAATATTTCCAGGTTCTAAATTTACTGTGGAGCTTAGCCCATAGTAATGATGTTCCTACTGATATTATGGATCAGGCATTAACTGCACATGTAAAAATATTGGATTATAGTTGCTCACAGGTAAGGTAGTTTTATCCTTCATGCATTTTATGCAAAGGCATTATATAAAATTATTTTTTGGAGGTTAAAAATTCTAATGTATTCTTTGTCATGTATGATTTTGTTTAATTTTATACCTCTTTGTAACAGGATAGAGACTCTCAGAAAACTCATTGGTTAGATAGATGTGTTGAAGAATTAAAAAATGACAAATGGGTACTTCCAGCATTGAAGCAAATACGAGAGATATGCAATCTTTATTCTGAAGCCCCTCCAAATTTTAATCATGCCCAGAGATCACCTCATATGTTTTATAGACATGAAGTAATTAATCGTCTCCAGCAGCATCATTCCCTAGTCATTCTTGTTGCTGATAATTTGACAGCATATATGAACCGAGCTCATGTTATGGCCAAAGGTAAGAAATTGTACTCTGTATTCATGTATTGTGTAATAATATGTATTACTAATACAATTACTTCAATAATATTCTGGATACATTCAAGGTAGATATGCAAGAAGAACTTAACAGATGTGGCCAAATTAGCAATATTCCTTTTTATTAAAGATGACACACATTAAACCAACATAAAATAGTGGGTGCAACAGTGCATGTTTTGAAGAACTACATTGGTACCAATTATAATTTGAGATAAATTTTAAAGGCACCTAAAGGAGAAGTCTAGCTAGCAAGAGAAGTAAAAGTGAAGTAATATTCCAAGATGGGAGTTTAATTGAAAAGAAAACAGGTTTTGGTTTGCAGTCCTCTTATTGGTTATTAAAAGTTTTGATACTAGTTTGAATTTGAGTCTGCAAATTATCTGTGTCGCCATTATTATGTAAAGAATGAAAAAGGCAAACATTAAAATTAAATTAGAGAATTAAGGGACCATTACAAATTAAAGTTAGTGTTTTGATTTTAATAACAAATAACTTTTATAATCTATGTGTATATATTAGCCAGACACAAAATATAAACTCACAGACATAATTAATGAGTCCATTATAGCCAGTATTTGTGACAAAGCAGAAGTCAACTTCTTAGTAACCATAGCAAAATAAAAGCAAAATTATTTAACTAATTACATTTATTATAAAAAATATGGCACTAACATTTAGACTTAGTAGTAGAAACATATTTACAATTTATAAAAGGATTTCAGCCATTAATCTTGTTTGGTGATAAGAGCCATATCTGGTGATTTATTCTATTACTGAGCATCATAATTTCATTTTGCCCTGATTAACACATGAGTACCAAAATTTATTTAGGAATTCATCATCGTTTGTTGACTGATCTATCCACAAAGAGTGTGAAAAATATAATTGTGAGGCTAATTTTCTTAAATGCTTATCTTAGATGTATGTGCCCAAATATAAAGTTTTTAAAAATTAGGTACAGAATTTTATAAAAATATTTTTGTCACTAATTTATGATTGTGTTAAAAAATTTAATTTTTATTAGTGTGCTTCCTGTGAAATAAAAATTCCGTTTAATAGGAAACTTATGTTTAGTTAGTTAAAAACAAATAATTGCCATGTCGAGAATTTCTACTGAATAGTCTCTCAAATGTTTTCATTCTCAGCAAATTCTCTGTCACTTTCTTCACTATTGGTAGAAATATTTTTGGGATTTAGAACCAGACCTAATGATTTCACCATCCGTTAGTTGACTGATGATTGGGGTATTGCCATCGCAATGAAAATCATATGTTATGTCATCTTCATGTGTTACCACTTCTCCATAAATTCCACTAATTGGAAAATTTTGCTTTCTATTTGTGATACCTGAAAACCTTCAAATTCATCATAGAGCTTAACTAGTGTCCACTATGTATTATTGGTGATGTATCATGAGCTTATCGACCAAAAACATGTTGTTCTGCTATATTTTGTCTTTTGTCGCATGCTGATGAATTGCCTGAATTTATTTAGTTATTTATTATATTTAAGACTATTTCCCAGAAATAGTTCAGACTTCACACTAGTTGAGTCCTGAATAAATAAAATTCCACATGTACTTAAGGCTTATCTGGGGCCAGTGCTAGACAATTTGCAGCACAGTGTGGTTGCTGAGGGTCTGAAATTTTGCTGCCAAGTGCCCCCCCCCCTTATTCTAAAATTTTGTCCCACTAAATTTTGTATCCCAAAGCCTTCTAAATTCTAAAGATTTTGTTAAATTTTAATTTTATTGCTCAGAGGTTTTTCTAAATTCTAAAAATTTTACGTTCCCTAAATTCTTCTAAATGGTGTGGCTGAGTGACCCCACACCAGCTTTGGCACCAGTCCTGGGCTTAACTGAGTAACAAATCAGTTATTCTGAATTATTAAACACCACCAAATGTATCTTCTTTTGGTCTATAAATATCATATACTTTTTTTTTTTTTTTTTAATGTGGAAAGAAATTTCTGTTAAATTTCTTCTCATCAACTAGAACTGGACAATCCGCTCCAGAACTGATTCATTCCACTGAGTGAATCAGTTCTGGTGAATGTGCACAGATTACAAAAAATGGAGTTATAGCTCTTTCACAGTTGGTGGAGAACTCTTGCTTAGAACCATGCCAATAATAGAATTCTGCTATTTGTTCATAAAATGATTCAAATTATTGAATGAGTTATGGTGAAAAAAGAATGAGGTCTTGTTAGAAGTGTGCTGGGAAAGCTTGATTTCCATTTTAGTTCAGAAAAAAAAAATCCTTCCATGTTAAAAGTAAGTTTAAATTTCATCATGTTCCAAATTTTTTAAAATTTTTTATCGGAAATTCTGTGTGAAAAAGAAGCTAGGGAATCTCAAAACTAAGAAACTTGAAAGAAATCAGTTAACAGAGGTTAGCATTTAATTGAATCAATTCTTTTGATTACACTCGTTATCATTTTCACTCCTTGCTTGCTTACTACTCTTTATTCATAGTCATCCTGGGTCTTAAAGATTACCATGCTGTTTGATATTCTATTACTAATATTAAATATTAATTTTTTTAATATTGTTTAGACATCACTGCACCAGTCATTTCTAAAGCTGTCATATATTGATAGTCATGAGATGGTGAAAGCAAAAAATAAATAATTATTCGCCAGGTTGGCGACATTACCGAAGTGAAATTAAGAATCGAGACCCACCTCATGTTTTATTATTCAAAATATGAAATGTGCAAACCTAAAGGATTAAAAAAAAAAAAAAAATCTAAAGGAAAAAAGTTTCTGGTGATGTCCGGATTTTGGACTTCATATTTTTTTTGGATTTTGGATTTTTTTTATGAATTATTAATGTGGTTCTTAATTAGTCATGTGTGGTTTGTTTATTATAGCTAAAGTAACTTTTGTCCTAGTCCTAAATTCTGATTGACTTAGTAGTCATGTTATTAGTGCATATTTAAGCATTTTATGAAAAAATAGCGCTGTGTAATTTTTTAATGATTATTATACTTATAAAATTTTTTACAGAACATCCAGAATTAGATCCAAATTCTGTTTCACCTGACAGCAGATATAGTCATGTACAACAAGTTCAAGAAAGGCTCAATTTTTTAAGGTATACAGCAACATTATTTTAAACATTGCGATACTGGGGGAAAAAAGAGAGAAATCTGTAGTAATGTAATTTGTATTTCTTTCAGATTTCTTCTGAAAGATGGTCAACTTTGGCTCTGTGCTCCTCAAGCAAAGCAGGTTTGTATTGATTAATATAGTAATTCTTGGGTAAAGCATTTGATGTAAATATCTTAAATATTAGCAAAAATTCTTAATTGTGTATTTATATTTTAAACTTGTGTATTAATATTTATATGTTATGAAAGCACAAATTTCATTCAGAAAATTAATAAATTTGACTGCTGTAACATCTTGCAAATATGTCTTATATGATACTACCAAATATGTGTATGTATTAGGAAAATAATGCAGGTATTTAAAATATTAAATGTAGAAAATGCCATATAGTTTTTTTTTTTTTTTTTTTTTTTTTGTTTTTGTTTTGTTTTTAAGGCATTCATTGAAACTGCTTTGGTTCACATTGCATTTATATGAAGTTGAGCAATCTACTTATGAAGAATCACAAATAGTATGCCAAAAATGATGTTTTCTGTAATATAGGAATAAACAGTGTTTTAAATGTTGTAATAAGACTTTTATGTAATTTTTAGGGGGTGATTTTTTTTTACTTCCTGACAGAGAAAATGCCACACTGTGAAAGAATGTTTGGAAACAGACCAAACTTTGTACATCAATAGGAATCAAGTTCTTAACAAGTGCTTTAGTATTTAAAGATGTACAAGATAAAGCATTTAGATATACATGAAATCAATGAAAAGTTGTAGCTCCATTTTGGGCTGTACATGTACATTCTTGAATGTTATTCCATTGAACCAGTGAAAGTTTGAATTATGTCTTGTGGTATTGTGTATCGTCTATTACTAACTTGATCTCAAGAGTTCATTTCATGCTGGAGGAATGTGCAATAATGTCGCTCAAAAGGTTGCTTGGCAAGAGATTGTGGAATAGAGCTACCAAAGGAACATTCACATCTTGCACTGCATTCAGAATAAAGCAAGTTGGCCAAGTGTAATCTTTTTGAAAAATAGCATTTGTGTTGTTCTAAAGATGTGAAAGAAGATACAGTGCATCATCAATCGTCAACATAGCAGCATCTCATTAATGTACTTATAATGTACATTAGAAATCAAAACTGCTAGCACTTTGGCACTCTATAAACTATTATTTCACATTGATGGATCATGTATTGCGCAAAAATCATAGGGGTATCCACCTGGTGGACATGTAACCTTCACACCCTCACACGTCAGTCATCATTTATCATCATCACATTAGCTGATACTGAGTTTAATGATGTCTTAAAAGGCATTCATTGCCTTTTCATCTTCATTCACCAGATTTGTAAACAGGAATCAAACCTGTATATATAACCATGACACTGCCAAAACTGACAGTTTCCTTTATTGTTTTGATGCTTCTATCTTATGCTAATCGTCTGATTGACTTGTGTAAGATTAAAAAAACTGACAGAAATGCCAAGTATGCGAATTTCACCAAATGTGAACTTTGCCGCAGAAGCGCAGTAAAAGAACTTCGCAAAAATCGGCTGTTGAGAAAGGAGAGGTATAGAAGTGTGTGCGTGAACCGGGATATTCTGTCGATGTTCGATTATGTAAATTCACTAATTATATAGATTTTTTAATCGCATCACCAGGATGTAGCTGGTGTCTTCATCCTGGTATTTTATCGACCATTTACCACGAATTATCCAATTTTCCTAGGTAATGAAAAATGCAGCATAAAACTGAAAGTTGAGTTTTATTCTTCAAGTGTTCTTGAGTTGTGATCATCTTTACGTGGATAAATTAAAAGTATAAACCTTACTGGCACACCCTTTTAGGATAAAGAAATCATTAGATACCTCTGGAAATCCAAAAGGTCAAAATTAAATTCTTAGTATTCCTGCACACGATAATTTCAGTTATTGTGCCATTTTGTTAATTTTGGTTTAGATGCTAAATAAAATATATTTACTTTTGATTTATGTAATACAAGTAAATATAATTGCAAATTATATCAAATTTTGTGGAAATTGATATTTTTAGAAAAGTGTTAGCTAATTTGAAATATCGTTAAGGTTTGCCATTTTATTTTACTCATTTTAGAATTGTAATAAGTTGCAAGTATTACTGTTGAGAATGTTCTAAATGAATGGGTTTAAATATTGTTAAAAGTTAGCAATTGTATTCATTAAAATTGTGATACATTATAGATATTATTTCTGATTATTTCTTAAATTAATCAAAATAATCTAAGTATTCTTATTACTTCAGAGAATGTTTTACAGTGGTTTTTTTCTGAAGTAGACAAGTTATTGTGTAGTGTGAATAAGTAATAATTATATGAATTCTAAATGTGAAAACCAATGTGTTTACTTCCGTGTTGGATGAATTGGAATATTCCTTAAATTTGCCATTTATTTACTAGTTGGAACTATTGACAATTATAGTATTATTTTGAAGAATGGTGTAATTGTATAAATGAAATATTGTCATGGTAAATTTGAAATATTAACTAAAAGGTTTGTGAAGATAGCAATGCTGTAAAATATACCATTTTTTGTTTTAAGACAGTAGATAAGAAAAGTTAAAGGTAAAACTTTCAAATGCATTTTAGTATATGATTGTGTTTTATTATAAATTGGTGAAACGTTATGCACACTTACGTTCATTTAGTGATTATAATTTTGGTTATTAATAAGAAACTTGTTATAAAGTGTTAAAAATGGCTTTCCTGGGTAAGGCTTAATAAGGAAGATTTAAAAATCTTAGCTGAGGAACTTGAGGAGAAGGTACTTCCAGAATGTAAAGTGGTAGATTTAAAAAGGATAATTATAGATAGCAAGAAGTATAAAAGAGAATTTTGTAGTGGAATTAATGAACGTCATTAAGAACGAAACAATCGAAAGGGAAGCTTTAGAAGCAGCAGCAAAGAAAATGGGTTTCAAACTTGAGAAGTTACGGACAGAAACAGCTAGTAAGAATGCAGAAGCAACGGTCAATTTGGGACAGGTTGATGAGAACATAAGATCGCGTTATAAACTTCAGAAGTTAATGCAAAAATTCGATCCAAAAGAGGGAGATATAAGCCGTTATTTTATTTGACGGGCTAGTAGAGCTCACATAAAAGAAACAGACTGGATTTCACATCTCTTGAGCTTATTGCCTTATAAAATAACACAATTAATTGCATGTGAACCTGTTGATAAAGCTGAAGATTACAAGTACGTAAAAGATTTAAGCCCTGAAAAATTTCGTCAAAAATTTTTTCATCATCAGAAATCGCATGATAAAACGTGGAAGGATTTTTCATTTGAAATAGAGAGTTATTTCGAAGAATAGATTACAGGTTTAAAAGTTACAACCTTTGAACAATTAAAGAACCTTATGATATCGGATTAAATAAAAATTAGAGTATCGAGTGAAGTAAAACGTCATTTTTTTTTTTACGATTGGGCTAAAATCGTAGTTCCATCTGATTTAACCGATTGGGTAGAGGAGTATGAGGATATGAGAGAGAATGATAGGAGATATGCTTCCTGAAGTAAATTAAAGGAGAATGTCCGACATGGCAACTGGGATAGTAAACCTTTAGGACAGGAAGTCTGTGGTGTCAATCGAAATACAGTTGGTCCTTCAAATTTTAAACAGCGAAGACCAAATCAGCAACATCCTTCATATTGAAATGACAATACATATAATCCACAAAAATCACAAATTTGAAAGGAAATTCCAGTTAATACAAAACCAAAATTCATTTCGAAACCTAAATGCTTTTCTCTTGTGAAGAAATGCACTTTGCAAGAACCTGTCCGTCCCATAAGGAACAATATACCAAATCTAAGGTAGAAAAGTCACCAGGAGGATTAGTACAAACAACAACAATGAGTAAAGAAAATGGTGTAGGGTTATTTTCTGCCCGTGTTACTGTTCCAATGTCACCTCTGGCTGAAAAAAAATGTTATAGAATCCGATAAATTAAACAGGGTAGAAATAATACGTGGAAAGATAATCTTTCTAAGATCTAAGATTTCTAAGATAAGATCTGCCAATATCCCGATGAGAAAAGAAGACTAGCATTTTACAGCATTTGTGACACACTCAGGCCATTATCAGTGGAAAGTATAAACTTTACTACTTGGAAATGTGAAATCAATTGAGTTCATCAAGTTTAAATGAAATCATTCGCTACATTCCTGCAGAAATTTACTTTGCTGTGCTTGCTTTTTAGTGATGTGGCATTTTTTGTAGCAGCAGTTTACATAAAATTATGCAAAACTGAATGATTTGGTATTTTTACTATTTTTTGTATTTTATTTTTTGAATTGTCATAATTCCAGTTAATGTATGGATGCAAAATTGAATACATTTTTTAATCAGTACTTACATATTAATGCAACCATCTTTGAGCAAATTGGCAATTTTTTACACATAAAAAGATAAAAGTTGCTTATGAGGTGCAAATGAAAACTTCCATGAGTTTTTACAAAAATAATCATTTTTCACATTGAAGAAAGTTCTTTGGCTATATTATTAATAGTATTTACTAGTTTAATTATTGGAGTAAATTTATAATATTTTCTAATGCATGTGTTATTTTAGATCTGGACTTGCTTAGCTGAAAATGCAGTTTATGTCACAGACCGGGAAGCATGTTTCAAATGGTTCTCAAAGGTATTGTTCTTGAATATTTTTCTTTTTTAGTATCTGTTATCTTTATCACCTTTTTCACAATGATGTAAAGAAGCTGATAAAAAATTACCTGAATGAGTAAACTGAGACCAGCAATAAATTTTGTTAAATTCAGAAATGCTAAAATAGATTGAAAAATATGAAGAGAGATCTCAGTAATGTGAATTGTATGTTGTATATAAAATGTATACAGTAGAACTGGGGGAATCATTTTATGTTGTCAGTTGTTGAGAAATGAAATCTCAAAGTGTGGCTTGAGTCTTCATATGTCTTAATGTTAAATATTCCATCGTCAATTTCTCACTTCATTGAGAACTATTTTTGCTGTCAAAAAAGGAAATCTCAAAATCCACTGCTCATTAAAATTAAAGGATATTGATAGAAATAAAATTTATTAAAAAGTGATTGCAAACAATTTGTACAAAGGCATTATTTAACATAAATTACCATTTCTGCCAGTTTGATTAATTTCAAAATATTGAATTTATGAAAATTAAAAAATGATGGAAAATAATCTCCTCTGTTTTGGGGAGGGAAAAAAATTGGAATCAAGATGTGGAGTTTGCATTTCTGTCACTTTTGATAGAAATGCAAACACCACATTTTGATTTCAAAGGATTTAGCAAACTCTTGATCAGATTTTGTAGAATTGCATTCTACTTTTCTGAATGTGCACTTTTCAAATCATGGCAAACCTAGGAAGGCATTTATCTCGCTGCAGTTGAGCAGCCTAACATATCCCAAACATGCTCTAGTGGGCTGAAGCCTGAACTGTGGAAATGGAAGTAGTCTGAACCTTCCATTTCCACAGTTCCTGTAGCAAGTTCAAAGGTCAAAAACTAACTCTTGTAATTTCTTTTTTGGGTAATTCATTTCAAAGATATCTGGCACAGTTTGAAATTGCATTTTCAAATCATTCATGTTTCATTTGATTAGTAATAGACTATATTACATTTTAACTAATCTAATTATTATTTGTATTTCTAGAAGTTATATTTTAACTATATAGTTTGTAATGTTGGGATACCTTTTCTACCCTAATGTTTGAAATGAGGACAATTCTTGTTTGCATGTGATCAGACCCATATTAAATACAAAGGTAACTTATCCTTCTATAAGAAATGGGGGAAAAAAAAACATAATCAGAAAAATTTGGAACTGTTTGGCACTTGGTTAAATTGAGATAAAATATTCATAAAAATGAGATTTTTTTTCATTAATTTTTATTGGAGAAGGGGTAAAGGAAATTGTTTTAAATGTACTTTCGTTAAACTGTTTTTTTTTTAACTATATTATTATATTTATGTTTAAATATTAAAGGCTATATCTCTAGTATTTTTTGACTATTTGATACTCAGTATACTGAAAGTATTTTTATACTTCTGAGTTGTACTTAAACAAATTTATATAATTTATATTTGAAAATTTTTCTCTATTTGTTATTACATTAATTTAAACATTTACTGAAATTTCTTTTTGCACTACCTGATGCTTTTTATAAAATCCCGTAATATATATATAGATATATTTTCTGATAGTTCGAGTGTTTTATTTATAGCAAGAGGCTAAGTAAATGTACCTTAACTATATGTTTTAAAACAGGTTAGTGTAATGCCGACCTGTGACAATGATAGGTATAAAGCAGAGCTGTGTGTTCAAGATTATAAGGTATAGTGCTTTCTGGTGAATATAATAGTATAACTAAAAATTTACTTGATAAAATTCTTAATAAAATCCCCATTATGTTATGCATTTTATACTAATTGCAGCATATTCACTAAAACAATTTTTAAAATTCTCTAGTCACTTTTGAATCACCCTTTATGTGCTAGTCATAAAATGCTGTTGAGTAACAGGATTGGTTGTAGAAGACTAGAATGGGAAACAAAATGCTGATCATCTTGTCATTCAAATCATTCATTCTTTTTTATACATTGCTTGACAGTTGCTAAGGAACAGAGTTTTTTTTTTTTTTTTTTTATGAGCTAATTATAAACATAATTTAAAGAGATGAGATCTGATGCATATTTAGTAGAGGTCTTGAGATATTATTATTAAGCAAAATAGAGGAGATATTATCACATGGCATACGAGATAAGTAAAAGAAAAAAAGATGCTTCATATAAATGTGTTTATTCTGTTCAAAACAAGGACAGAGTTCGTCAGTATGGAGTGCAATCTTCTTAGATGCTTATGCATATTTGGTGCTTGTTATTCATGGTGTCTGATAAACTATTGAGGAGAGCTTGATATATTCTGCTGCTTTATCTGTTAGAATGATTTGGAGTACTTGTACTATGCAAGAACGGTATTTGAGTAGAATGTCTTTCCAGCACATCTCAGGCATGGTCTGTGCTATTTAGATCCAGGGTATGCACTCAGTATATTCTCTTACTAGTGTGTTGTATATCAACTGCCCTATCCACATGAGCATTGCCATCCATAAACAGAAAATTTGGTCCAGATGTACCACAGAAACGATGGGCATGGCAGAGGAATATTGGAGCATTACTGTTGTGATGTCACTATCCCTTCATTAAAGATTTGAAGAGAATTTCTGTAATTGTGCATGATACCCACCCACATAATTACTGCTCAGCTATAGCAATTAGTTTTTTGGAGATTTTGGTAACAATAATGAGTTCTGTTTCCATTCCAGTTAGTCTCCACTGTTGTTGAAGCAGAATTCATGACTCCAGATGACTGCTGCTGACCCCAACAAATGTGCTCCTTACATTAGGGTAATCTCTTCAACAATGGTGAGCTTGTAGTTGACATGCATGCAAGAGGCTTCTGTCCATATAAGCCAACATTATTTGATTGTCAAAAAAGGGTTCTTGTAGATATGCAAGTGCTAGTAACATTACAAAGGCCTGTGACTATCTGGTCATGAATACCATTTCTGTTCCTTCTTGCCACAACATATCTATCTTCTTGAGGTACAGTGATCCTCCTAAGGCCTCCAGCATGCTTTTGTACAACACTTTAATCCTTTGCAACTTCTTTATCCTTGAGATAACATAGTTCAACATGGGTGTCGCTGGAGCTTGAGTGACACTTTGGCCTACTTCAAGATGATCAGTTTCTGAACTAAGATCATATGCACTCAAATGAGGTTTTACAGACAATATGCAGTTAGTATTTGCTATCAAAAATGAAAATTTATAGTATTCTTTTCAGAAACTGACAATATGATTTTTTCCCCTCAACATTACTGCTTGTAATTACACTGCTGACCATTAAAATTGCAACACTAGGAAGGAATGATCTGATGAATGTCAAAATGACATGAAAGGAAGAAGAAGTTGGGATATGCAAATAATTAGTATTTCAGCACATTTAGACAATGCAGGAGGAAAAACGTTGTCTGAACCACTGGATAAAAGAAAAGTTGTGGATTTCTCATTCGGAAAGTGCTTTGTAAGGTCGGAGTTTGTTCAGAATATCATGTTTTTGCCTTGAATGAGAAGAAAAAATGCTTACCAGCAAGTGTCAGAATTCGATAGAGGCAGGGATCAAGAGTGTGGATTATCGTTCTATGATATCGCCTGTCACACTAGTCGACATCCAAACATTGTCATGTGAATATGGAATCACTGGGTTACTAAGGGTCATAAGCATCTCAATGCCCTCCTATGATTAATGCCTGAGAGGAGAGACATATTGTGAGGTCAGCCCTGCAACACCATACAACCACATCATGGACCATTAATCAAGAAAAGGCCATGTTTGCAGCACACTCGGTATCTGCTTGTAGTGTGCATCAACGTTTGCAGCAGCATGAATTATCAGCACGGTGACCATTACTTTGGCTTCCCTTAACAGTGCAGCTTATAGAGAGACAGTGACTCTGCTCCAAAAGCCAAAGCTGGGTTGAGGAATGGCACAATGTCGTCTTTTCAGACAAATCCTGGTTCTATGTGCAGTATTCTAATGCCTGTATATGTGTCTGGAGACTCCAAGGAGACCTCACGTTGCCCGCTTTCATTCAGTATTGGCATAAGAGCCCTGCACCTGGTGTGATGATTTGGGCAGCCAGCCATTGGGTACACAACATGCACATCTCTAGTTCGAATCGACGATAATTTGAACGCAGATCAGTACATTGCTGCCATCTTACAATCATTGGTTGTGCTGTATCTTGGAGGCCTGCCAGACGCCATCTTTCAACAAGATAATGCAAGATCACGTGTGTGTCGTGTTCTGACCTTCCTTGATACACTGGGCATTCGATTGTTGCCCTGGCCTGCATGGTCTCCAGATCTGTCACTCATTAAAAATATCTGGTCATGGGTTGTTGAGAGGCTGGCCTGTTACACCTGTACAGCTAATAAGGTTGATTCAGTGTGGCATAGAATTGAAGCAGCATGGAATGAGTTGCCCATTTCTGTCATCCACGCCCAGTTCGACTCCATGCCTAACCGAATAAGGGCTGTTTTAGTTGTCAGGGCTGGCAGATATTTCTGCTGATTTCACACCTCTGTAAACCCCCAGACTGCTTACAAATTTGATTATTTTGTCTTCATGCCATACTGTATATGCAAAATGAATATCTTTTTTGTATTTGCTTTCCTTCATGGTGTTGCAATTTTAATGGCCAGCAGTGTCTGAATAAAGAAATAACATGAATGCATTGCCTTTTGTACTTGTAGAGACATTACGTTATTTAGAAGCAGGAGAAATGAAAAATGAGCAATGCCCTCCCTGAGACTCGAACTTCGGATCTCTCGAATACGCACCGAGTGTGCTGACCACTACGGCATGAAGGCATGCTAAGAAGGCGGAAGAAATACCTTATATACTGACAACAGGATTTTCCTGTAATGCTCTCTATACTTGAGTTTCCTGCAGTTGCGCAGCTTATGGAAGTGAAAATTTACAAAAATCTCTTGTTCCATACCAATTGTCTAATAACGCAGATTAGTATTTATTTCAAGTACATACTTGAAAATTTGTCATAATTTTTATGAAAACTATTCTAATTTTATGATTTTACATGAAAAATCAATTTTTTTTACAAATTTTCCAGCTTTTTTTTATAAATTGGAAAAATTGTATGAGTCTAGTGATTTGATTCATTTGTTATCAAAATCAATAGTTTATATACATATTTTTAGCAGGTATTTGAATTATCATTTAAATCCATTTTCCTTATTAAGTCTTAAAATAAGTCGCCTCCCTTTTTAATATTGGAAAAATGAACGTACTTAAAAATTTTTTTTAAATAAATTTTTAGTTTTGGGGGGGGGGGTTTAAATTCCATTTTTTTTAGTATACATTTCTTTATCTAATTATTGCGAAATATCCAGTTATGTATCTGTTTTTCTTATGAAATTTCTTTTATGCTTTTTTAAGAATTTTTTCGAGAAATTTTCAGAGTTTAGAAATGTGATTTTTAATCTTATGAAGTTAGCAGGTTTGCATTTGCAATGATGCAGTACTTCAAATTTGTGTTATACACTTTTCTTCAAAAGAGTCAATTGTGAATTTATTAAAAACAAGTTTTAATAAACAAGTTTTTTGGGGAGGGGGTAATGTGTGAACCTAGTTAAGAAAAATTATTTTTAGACTGTAGATGTTTTAGATAAAATATACATTTATTTTTAAATCATTCTTTTAATATTAGTATTTAGATGAAAGGTATCAATTTTGAAGTAATAAAACATAAGTCTAATCTTTAGCCTAGCCTTATCTTTAGAAATTTTAATCATAGCCTAATTTTTAGCAATTTCACAGCAATTCAGATAATCTGACTGATTTCATGTATCAGATTATTTTTCCTAGCTTTAAAGTACCTAGTAAAGTTAATGGCATTCAGAAAATACTTCGATAAGTAGATCTTAACCATATCTGTGATTATTCTGTTACAATTTCAGTTTTGTGGAAATATTGGGTACTGTGCGTTAAAACTATTCTAAGTGATAGAAAACTTTTACGGAAATATCAGATACACTAGAAAATGATAGTGATTTATAATTCATTCAATATTCATTTTGTGATTCATGATTACCTTTGTCTAATTCTTTTGTTTTTCATTGATGTTAGCTATTTTCTGTTATTACATTTTAATATTTTCGTGCTGTTGCTATAAATGTCAAAGGCTGTTATGCATATTAATTAATACATTTTCATCATTTTTTACAGCTGATGGGTGAAGAACCAGATTTAGATCCAGAGATAAACAGAGATTTTTTTGAGAACATTGTTTTGCAATTAGATCCTTGTTTATTAACTGAAAGTGGCATTAAGTGAGTATGCTTTATTCTACTTTTCAATTCTACTACCTTTGTATCATTATAAGAATATCTTTGGTTTTAATGTTTGTTGCATCATTATCTTATCCTATAATTAAACCCAGATTTTTAAGTCATTCATCGAGATGCATTTAAATGTCATTGAGTTAATAGTCATTAAAGATCATGGCAAAAATTTCACTGAATTTTATATGTCTGATTATCATTATAAGTATGGAAATCTTAAGTAGATTTTGACTGTTAAATGCGTTATAAACAGGGGTATCGAATATCTCAAATTTTTCTAAACCTTATTCTGCTGTTTTGTATTATTATTCTAATATAAAAACAACTAGTCAGTCTCTAGTTTTGCAGTAATTTCATCTAGGAACAATAATGTGTAATAGTGCTTTTTCTATTTTCTTCTTTTATGATATTTAGGATAAGAAAGTATTTTTACTACTGTAAGAATGCATTTTTAAAGAAATTAGTAACCTTTTTTAATATTTGGTAACTTTAAGGAATTTATTTCCTAATTGATACTTTTTCATAACTTCTTAGCAAGAAGTATCTTGCGATGATGCTAGAATTTCATATCTAATGCTATTATGCAGAAACTCCATTCCTGGCTTTTAATTGTTACCTCATATTTCTAAGTTCACTGAAGCAGAATCAAAGTTCCATTTATTATTCAGGTATCACATCTGATTCGAATATGCCCTCCACTTGCTTCCAAAATAAGCGTGCGAGTCATGCATAGCAACTGATGATGTTTAATTAAAAAAAAAAAAAAAACCTGTTTTTAGAGCAAGCTGTAAGCACTACAACCCATTGGTAAACTGATTTATCACTAAAAGCTTTTTGCTTTTTTTTTTTTTTTTTTAATCATGACAATTTCTGGTATTGGATTTGGAATCACCACACCTGCTGTCACAAGACTTGCTCTTCAATGGATCTTTTTAGAGTATTTAGAGTGGACTCATTCCATTATGGATTGTTAAAGAGTTCCATGTGTTTATTTTCCCCCTTTCTTTCTTTCCTCTTTTTTTTTTTTTTTTTTTTTTTTTTTTAAGTTACTGATTTTCTATTCAGAGAATATATGCACATGTGTTGCCTTCCTTGGACTAGGTATCTATTTCTCAGGCTTCCTTTCTGGAATCAAAATCTGATTCCTTATCAACCAATACTAATCATGGTAAGTACACTGCAGAAAAAAAAAAGAATGGGCAGTTCTATATCTTCCTTTTTACTGGAGTGATTGACGAAATTCAACTTGCATTTTTCAAGTCTCGAACGACTTAGGATATATATTAGATTTATATATAGCATCATTCTAACATAGGTATTTTGACACAAAATTCGACTTTTTTGAAATACATGTCAATTTGTTTTCCATATTTCGATTCTACGACTCAAATTAAGCCTAAATATTAAATTTTGTAAAATTTCATACAGAATTTACGGAGAACTTCAAAAATTTATCTTGCCGTGTTTTTTTCAGTTTTCACCAAGAATAATTTACTTGCCGAACTTCTTAACTTATAGCAATCTATTTTCCTTTTCTTTTTTTCATTGTAGACAAGTACGAAAAGTCATCGTTCATGCTTTCAAATAATTTTAACAAAGTGCTTATTATCGTTTGGTGTTATTATCGCTCGAAAAGAGATAACAAATTTCAAAATGCTCCAATAGGTAAATTCATGTATATCTTAGAAAATTTTAAATAAAAAAACTCTTTATTTTTGCAGATGTGCCTAGAAATATATCTTCTTTAAGATGATATTAAAAATTTTATAAGTTATGATACAAAATTGTTTTAAAAAATTTATAAAAAGTATCTTTAAATACAAATTAAAAAAATAAATCATAAAAAATGTGCAAAATATATTCGGATTAAGCCTAAATTTCGAATTCTGTAAGAAGGAGTTAAGTAAGTTTAATAAAAAAAAAAGAGATATTAATAAATATATATCAAATTCAGTTAATGTTGAGGAGCTAAAATTTTGAGAGCTAATTTTTTAAAAACTACTGGTGCAATTTTTGGAAATCTTGACAGTTTGGCATAATCTGGGTCGTAGAATCGAAATATGGAAAAAATTTGGCATGTCATTTCAGGAAAACTCCAATTTTTTGTCAAAATACCTATATTAGAAAAACACTAAATATAAATCTGATTCATAACCTAAGTTACGCTTTTGAGACATGAAAAACACAATTTGAATTTCGTCAGTCGGCCCGGTAGAATGGATGATGTAGAACTGCCTTCCCTTTTTTTTTTTGCACAGTGTACATAATTAACTCTAATAATGCAGACATTTGAAGGTATGTGTTTGAAAGAGATGCGTGACAGTGTCAGACATAAAATTATGCAAAAATCAGCCTTATGTTGACGGGGGCTTTCTGGAAATTTTAAAAGTAAAAATTTGTTTCTGTAAAACCAAGGTTAACTGTGAGGTTGATTGTTTCATTTTATACTTGGAAATATGTTTGTCAGCTCGAGTACATGCAAATATTTTGAAACATCATATAGGAAAAACATGAAATTTAGGTTTGCTCTTTTAAAAGGGTTTGTTTTTGAAAGCTAGAATCCTGCATGATGTGTTAGCATTCTTTAACATTATCAGAGTAAGATACTGAAGCACCAAAACTGGCTTTATGAGTATTTTATATTTCCCTATTATTCTATTACTATTCCCTACAGAATGTGCTTAAACATATATGATTTAAAATCAGACAAACTTGTACTGGTGGAATAGATACAGTGTCTCAAAAAAGTGATGGGACACTTGTGCTTTACAAAAAGAAACTGTAATAAAATAAATTAAAAAAACATGTAAAAATTTTTTGTGGGTGTGTTTCATACTTAAATTTAGTAACAATTATTACATAACATACATTTTTTCAAAATATTAAAATATAAATTTAATAAAAATACAATTGTTTAGAATGGAGCAAAAAATGGCTCACATAAGTGATGGCACACTACGTACTATGCAACAAAAATCATCTAAAGTAAGCAATAAAAATATCTTTGGGGTATTTATTTTTACTCAAAAGCAATTGGCAATAATTTATAAAATCGTCTGCAGTATTTCTCTCCAGTTTGTTTTGGAATTTTTGTGTTTTTTAGCTTTGTGCAGCTGTGAATGCTAAACGAAAAGAAACTTTGCCTGAAATTCGAAAATTACTTATTAATTTGCATATTGTACGTGGAAAATCTATTAGAGAAACAGCTGAAACAGTTAACTTGAGTCCTTCAACAGTTTTCAGTATCATTAAACGATATAAAAAGAATCATATGATCCAGGATAAAAGAAGACTTGGCCGACCATCAAAACTATCCAATGGAATAAAGTGAATTATCGTTTGGAAATATTAAAAAAAAACTCCAAGAATGAGTGCTCCTAAAGTTGCTGTCTGATTTACAAGCATTATATGGAGTAATTGTTAATCCTGAGACTATTATAAGAGTAATTCGATCTGCTGGATATCACGGTAGAGCAGCCAGGAAAAAATTCTTCGTAAGTGAAAAGAATAGAAAACTCAGACTGGCTTTCGCAAAATCCAACATAAATAAGAATTCTGATTACTGGAATGAAGTTGTATTTGCTGATGAGAGTAAATTTAATATATTTGGTTCTGACGGTAGAATCTTGGTGTGGAGAAAACCCAGGGAAGAATTTCGCAAACAGAACTTGGTGCCAACAGTAAAACATGGTTGAGGAGGAGTTATGGTATGGGGGTGTATGTCGTCCGCTGGAGTTGGTAATCTTGTTTTTATTGACAGTATAATGGATCAGTACAAGTATATTGACATTATAAATCAAAATTTGAAATCTTCAGCACGAAAATTGAACCTTCATAACAATTTTAAATTCTACCAGGACAATGACCCCCAAGCACAGTGCTTTGAACATTAGACTCTGGCTGCTGTATAACTGTCCTGAAATAATAAAAACATGCCCACAATCTCCACAATTAAATCCCATAGAGAATATTTGGCAAGAATTGGAATCAAGAATTCGTAAACACACCATTTCTTCAAAACAACAATTAAAATCGGTGCTTCAAGAAGAATGGGGTAAAATCACTCCAGAAATCACAAAAAAATTAGTCGAATCCATCCCAAGAAGATTAAATCATGTTTTAAAAGGAAAAGGAAATCCAACAAAATATTAAAACCTTTTAAAAAGTAAAATTTTTGGATAAATATTTGATGGAAAAGTAAGTGTCTCATTACTTATGTGTGCCATTTTTTGCTCCGTTCTAAACAATTGCATTTTTATTAAATTAATATTTTAATATTTTGAGAAAATGTATGTTATGTAATAATTGTTACTAAATTTAAGTATGAAACACACCCACAAAAATTTTTTATTGTTTTTTAAATTTATTTTACTAGAGTTTCCTTTTGTAAAGCACAAGTGTCCCATCACTTTTTTGAGACACTGTAGCTGTTTTGTTTGGGATGTTCCCAAATCCACCAATGAACATGGTAAAGATACTACACTGAGGCTCTTTACTTTAAATAGCATTGTCTTAAGTGATTCTCTTATTTACTTTATATATTTGGTTATTATATCATCAAAAAATTACTTACTTTTAATGGATAATTGAATGCAGAAAGATATGCCGAAATTAATAACCTTGAGAGGAATATCTCAAAAGTCTTGGAGAAATTATGTCTTGTGTGCATATATTGCATATGGAAGGTATGAAGATTGCATATGGAAGCATATGTGGCATGAGATTACCAAATACAGTGAATTTATTCTGTCTATATATCATTTTCAGAGCGCGCTATTAATTTATATTTTTTAGTGTCTCATTTCTTGGCAGAGGTGCTTATTTTAATATTTTTAAGTGCTTATGCAACTATAGATATTCACTTATGCAAAAAAGGTTTTTTCTTTAATTGCTTTATGAATTAAATTTTTAGAAGTTGATTCTTTAAAGCATTTTATATAAAATTGTTGTTTTAATGCCCATAATTTTTTTTCAGGTGTTTTGATCGTTTTTTCAAAGCAGTTAATTCCAAAGAAAGCAAACTAATTGCAAAACGAAGAGCTTTTTTAATGAATGACTTAGAATTGTTAGGATTGGATTACCTTTGGAGGGTTAGTATTCTTTTCCTTTAATACAGAATCATATAGTAAAAAAATGATGCATTAATATATATATATAATTATTAGGAAAAGTTTTTCATATATTATCTCCAAGGAACAGAAATTAAATTAAAACCATGAATTATAATAAGAAAAAAATTTTAGTCAGTACTTTAATTAGTATTTTAAATTAGTATTATCTAGACCTTTGTTGCAGTAAAAACCACTAAAAATCAGTAAAGAAAAATCCTAAATCGGAAAAACGCCAAAAATTTGAAGTATTGAAAAAATAATTAAAAGTCATTGACTGCAGGTTAATTGACTTGTCAAGGGGAACAAACTAATCTACTGTTAATTAATAATAACTAAATTAAGTGAGAGGGTTTCATCTTTTTTCCAAGGAACAAATTGTTATTTGCTAGAGCTAGGTCATAAATCATGAATAATACTAAATTAATAGAAAGATATTAGCCCATTTAAGCCAAAAGAACTGTCGTAAACAAAATAAAATTAGTGAGACAATCTTTTCAATTTAAGTTACTCATTAAGCACGTAAATAAACGAGATCCTTATTTTAGAAAACCTATTCACCGACACTCTTATTTTAAACACAAATAAAAAAGTTAAATTCAAAATCAAAAGAAGTTCATAATTTACATAATCTTTTAAATTAAAGTTTACTAAAAAGTAATTATTTAGATAGTTTAAAATCATAGTCGGGAAGGAAATTAAATTAACTTACTTATCTGCAAAATTTAAAATGAAATGGTTGGAAGTATAATTCTACTCAGTGATGGAATGCAAGAGGGTTGTCATAAAAAGTGTTGTTCTCTGTTTTAGATAGTTTAGCTTTAAATTGGCAAGGAAATCTTAATTTAAATTTAAAAGTTCTTCTTTTCGATTCCAATTATATATATATATATGTGTGTATATAGTATAAATACTGAGATGCAATTATGATTGGTTATGTGTAATGATTATATCTTCTTTTTTATGTCATATTAATTTTTGTCTTGTAAAAAATTAGAAAACAAGCTAATTAATGAGGAATGATGACTGTTAAATGTTATAAAGAGAAATTTCAACTGTCTTGTGATTTGTATCATAAACTTCACTCTGATGTCTCAAATACCATTGCTCTAATATATAAATTTGTAGAGACTTTTTTTAACCATGTATACTATGGCTAAAGCCTTTCTGAAATGTTAATTTTTTATGACAGTTATAGTGTACATTATTTAGGTTAGAGTGTTGTGCTTACATTATTTAAGTAAGAGATTTTAATTTAGTATGGAATTGGCCGAACATTTGATTGCAAGCTGTCCATCTATTATTAGACTTTTATTTTATATTTTTCCTGTGTCTTGGTGGATTGCAACACCAAGCTATAGGAAAAGTAGTAGAAAAGAATACCTAAAATTAGATAGCCATTTCAAAAAATCTGTCATGTACTGTCTATGACAATCATTGATCCACCTGATTTTTTAGGTTTCAATTCACTTAGGCAAAATCTATTTGAATGCTCTTGTTTTATTATTTTCGTTTTTTGGTCAGCAGCAACATTCTGTTATATATCTATTGTGCAAAATAATGAAGTTTAACTTATGTTTTGCTCTTTTATGCAAAATATCTTTCTTGAAAATGATTGTGCCATTTAAATGGAAGAGAGCAAGCAATCAAAGATTAATTACAATTTTCACATTATATTTTGAAGTTATATTACAACACATTGGTATAAAAATTAAGTTAATATACTCATGTTATATTACTTAATTTTAATACCAAATTGTGTTGGCTTTTATAACTAACATTTGACATGCTTCAAAACTATTTTCTTAAAATTAGAGAATAAATAAAAATATGTAACATATTTACTGTATTTATGAGATAAAGCATGATATCACTGATATATATGGGAAAGAAATATCATTCTCAGTATGTGGCAGCAGTGCTAATATTTGATTAAATAAACTTATGTCTTCAAATTAAACCAATAAATAATTTTAAGGGTCAGATTTCAGTATAGTGTGTAAAAATTAGTCTTAATAGAATTTCTTTGGTTGTTTTTCATTATTACTTTTGCCTTCAATTTGATGTGTTTCCATTTGTAGAGTTGAGGTTTTCTTATTTTTGTATTTTTTATGCTTTGGCTCATCAGTTGTCATCTTCAGTTAAACTGTACGTAGGAAGGTTTGTAGGCTTTAGAAACAAGCCAAGGAGTTTTGACTTATTTTCCATATTTCATAAGGCTTTCTTTCCTTTCCCTCATTCATATTATGTCATTGACCTTTATTAATGGCTGCATTTTGCATCTTTCAGGGTCTAAAATATTTAATCATTGTACGTTTAAAATAATGAGAAAGAACAAATGAACCTTAACGCGCATCAGGCCTGCGAAGCCCAGTCGTTACAAAAACACAATACAAAAATTTCTCCCTTTTGTGAAATTTTTCGACCTTCTCAGAAGTTGCGTTTAAGGTCAAGTACTTTTCATTCACAAGCCTTTCCGGAATTTAACCCTTCATCTTATCTCAGAAACTGTGTAACCGGGCTTCCCAGGCCCGAGGCGTGCGCTCGCATTGTCATTTAAAATTGTGAAAGAGATCAGGCATTTGCAAAAAGGTCTTGCTATTTGAGTTATGACGATGAAATGAAAAGACTACAGAAACTATTAGCCGAAGTGTCGACAGATAAAGATACAATTAATGAAGAGGACGAAGAAATAGTTGGTGAAGAACAGTTTAGCTATCCCCAATCGAATTCTGAAGAGGCATTAGACTCAAGCGATAAATCTAGTAACGAATTAAGTAATTTTGTGTCCGTCAGCGAATTGTTATCGTGGCAAATATAATGTGACAAAATGGAATAAAAAAGAACCAAGACTGTGAGAACTCTTGCTCACAACATTGTGAGAAAATTGCTCGTAAATGTTTGTGAAGCAAAATTTGTGTCCTCCCGTATGAATTCTTGGCAACTGCTTATGGATAAAATAATAGTAAAAAATTCTAGTAGTTTGTGCGAACATTTATATAGAATCCATTGCCGTCAAATTTGGAAGATAGAGAGGTGCTCAATCCACAAATATTACAGAAATCGGAGCAATTTTCTGTCTTCTTTATTTTGGAAGATTCCACAAGGATTTTCACGTGTTTTCTACTTTTGGGTGACAGATGGAACAGTGCTTGACATTTTTGATCAAACAATGTCTAACAAACGTTTTTTATTTCTAATGAGATGTTTGTTTGATGACATAAGAGATCACCCTTCTAGAAGGGAGATAAATAAAATGGGTCCGATAATATATGCCTTTGAAAAGTTCGTTGAAAATTGCAAAAAAGTTTGCAGTCTTTGCGTAACGGACTGAAAATCACAAATTTGAAAAATGTTTGTGGTAACACAGCACGATTATTTGCAAAAAAATGTGAAATGCAAGTTTTATTTTGAAATTATTGCTGTAAAAATTTAATATTGCATAAATTAGTAGTAAATTTAATTGGCGCTCGAAAACAGTTTAATTTTTGTTGTTAATGATAAATATTTTCAGTCTTAAAATTGTTTAAAATACAATTTTATTAGACTTATTAAATTAAAAGTATATTTTAACATTTTATACACTCTGTTTTTATTATTTAAATGTTTTTCTTCAATTACACAAGCAATTTTATTTTTGTTTTGTTAAGAAATAACGCTTCGGGCCTACGGAGCCCGACGCGCGTCCTCGCATAGCTAAAAGTAGTGCGTGTCTTCGCGGGTTAAGTAACCGGACAGGTTTGTTGAAACTAGTTAATTGCCATTATTTTACTTCATATAAAAGTCTTCTTATTTTGAAAACATATAGTTAAGTCTTAGATTTATATTTAAATAGGTACTGCATTATTAGGTCAGAGAAGATAAAATAATACAACTATTATTACTTGTCATAGCATTAAAGATAAAAGGAGATTTATGTTTTAGTGGGTACTACATAATTCAGTCATGAAAGATAAATTAATGCAACTATTATTACCAGTTATTACATTAAAGATAAAAAGGGGAAAGCTCTTTTGCTAAACTGTCAAACTCAATTTTCAGTTTGAAATTATCATCAGGGTTGGATTGATGTTTCAGAATGCCCTCCTGAGATATCATTTTACCCATCAGATTTTACCTTTGAATTTACCCAGTTAGCTCTGATGTCAAGGGTTACATGGGATGATTTAAAAAAATGCTGTATGACTATTTTGCATATCATAAGTATGAATTTGTTACATTTATCAATGTTTTCTATTAGAATTCAAATTTTTTGGGACCAATATTATCTCATTATGTATAGTAGAGATTCTTAATCAGTCAAGAGTTTGACTCGAAAGCCTGGAAGTTCCCAAAAATGTCATGAGAAAGAACTATTTTCTGAATTATAATTCTGAAAAGCTATTATTACTTTATATCCTGACGCATTTACCTCTACTGTATTAATTGTTTGGACAGAGTAAAGATATGCACATATGTATAATTTATTTACTAAAGAAATATTGATTATATTATCTCCTAAAATTAATTTTAGTAGAATTATCTTAAAAGAGTGAATCCATAGTTAGTAAGTTCAATTCCGAAACTTGTTATAAAGTAATTTGAATGTAAATTGTTAAAAATGTTTAATGGGGGCTTGAATTAAATCTTGAATAACAAAATTTCAATTGTAAAAAGAAATAAATTAAAAGCAAGTAATCATTGCCATTGATCGGAAATTAGTTGACTTTTCAAGGGGAACAAACCAACTCCCGTTCAATGAACAATAATTAAGAAATAAATACGAAGGTTTTTCATCCTTTATCAAGTAATAATGCGATGCCAAACCGGCAATTCAAGCTAGGCCAAACATTTCCGTGAATAGAAAGGATCAAGAACGAATGCAGAGCACCAAAGAACTCATTCCGATTCAGCGTTTTCGCGAATTCAATTTTGAGTGAAATAAATTACTCGAGTATATATATATATATATATATATATATAGCACTTACTAAAAGCTGTAAAAAAAGTGCTTGCAGTACACACCAAGTAGCATGATTTACTGCCAATTATGGATGACCTTGTCCTTTAGAATTCCACAGTAGTGATTGGTAATTGTTGTCTGAATTTCTACCAGGACAAGATTATTTATGTACCAAAAAGTATTCTTAAATATATGTAGCTTGGCCAAATTACTGAAGACATCTTATGACTGATCCATGTATTCAAATGAATGCATGTCACATAGGGAAAGGCTCAGTGGATTCCTTAAGACTGATTGACTTATAGTTTCAGAAGTGATGTGATATATAGATATCTAAAAGTAGTAGTACTTTTAATTTGCTGCCAATCATGCGCAGACGTGTGATGAGGTATTATCATCTAATGGGCAGTTACTACCAGTACGTGATAAGGTATATGTTAGGACTTTGTTTTCATGTTAGTTGGGCTTTGTGCCTTAGGTCTGTGTAATTGTGTATGTGTGGTATTTAATTTAGTAAATTTAACTTTTTTTTTTTTTTTTTCCAATTTTTATGTAAATAATTTTCAGAGTTTTCCAATAATATGCGAGATTTCTGTTTTCCAATAATATGAGAGGCAAGTGATTATTCCATTTGATAGTAACACACATAAATTTATTTACATATAATACAAAGGTTGCAAGCTTAATTATTAGGCACATCTTCAGTTTTATTAGGCTTAATACCTTCACATTTGCAAAACTAATGTTATTGAATAACTTCAGAGATAGGATGCTCAGAGTGCCACCTAATGGCAGGAGCTATCACAACATCAATAATGTTATAAATGAAGCGAATAATTCAGAAATTTCAATACAACAAGAGTCTGTTGTGTGAGGAAAGGTAATTTTGGGGATATAAATCAATATCTGTGAAGTTCTTTTAGGGTGGCATCTGGCACACTGTCATGTATCTGCCCTTATAAGTCATGTGTCTTATGTAGCGAACCTTATAAATATGTTGTAATATTATATTAAACACTTTTTATATTAATTCAAAGTTTATTTTTTCCTTATTCTATATTTATTTTTTGTTAGGTTGTCCTTTGCAGTAGTGAAGATGTGGCTAATAGAGCAATAGAACTTTTAAAGGAAACATATACAAATTTAGGACCTCAGTTACAAGCAAATCAAATGGACATTCATGAAGATTTTGTTCAGTCTTGTATGGATCGTTTAAAAGCAGCATTTGATACTATTTCAGTTCTAGAAAGGGATAAAGATGGTGTAAATAGATTACGACAAGAAACAGTGAGAATGGTTCGCATTTTGAAAGTTCTTCGAGAATATGTGGGTCAGTGTGATGGAGATTACGGAGAAGAGAGATCCATTTTGCCTATGGCAAGGTAAATAATCTTTTGAGCACCATTATTTTTATTTATTTATAAAAAATGTTTTGATGCGGTATTCTTTATTATCCTGAGTAGGCAACTGAAATTTAAAATACATGTTCTGGTGTCAAATCTTTGTATGTAGAAACAATTCTCTATTATATGCAACTAAAGCTTTAAGTAAATGACACCACTCCTGTTATGTATTGACACTAATTTAATGCTGTGTAGGGCATTATTTCTTTTATTCGAAATTAGTTACTCAGAATTGTAAAAACAATCTTTTCATATTTTATAAGAGTCGTAATAAACAACATTAGCTAGCTGTATGAATCTGTATATGTTAAAGATAACTTTTGACATATCTCTGTTACCACAGCATGCTAAAATTTAATTTGCAGTCTTTAAAGCTGTGTGCATAAGACTAGTTTTTATGGGCATGCTTTCAAGATTCTTTTCCTGTATTATATAATATGTTTAGCATTATTAGAAATTGAACCATAGTAAATGCAATCCTCCTGTAGTTCATTACTTGAATAAGTTGTACTTTTTTGTTGTTTTTAGGGCCCATAGGGGTAAGCAGTTATCACTGACCATTAGGTTTTCTAATCAAGGTAGGAATTTTGATGATACAGAGGTATGGACACATTTAAATGATACTTTAGGAGCAGTTCGCCGGCAAATTCTCACAAGGTATCTAATTTTTTTTGCACATTATTCCTAAAATATTTTATTAACATTCATAGTCAGTATTATTTATTTGTCATGTTTATATTTAGAGTGAAAGCAAACAATGTAAATATGAAAGTAGATTTGTTTGTGAATGGAGAACTGCTTGATCCTGCTGATGACAAAAAATTAGTTTCACAGTTGCCTCTCAGGGATAAAATGGTAAGCATTTTTCTTGTTTTTAAAATTCAGAACAGGCTGAGCAGTTTTAAATAATTTATTTTAAAGCAAAAATGAATTTCCTTTCACTGTGCTTTCTTTTTTCTTTTTTTTTTTTTTTTTTTTTATAGAAGATTGACTTTTATATCATGTAAGATGTATACTTAAGCCTAATATATTAAACAATAGTCTCACAAAATTTTATGTACAAAATATAGAAACTTTCCACTTTTAATTCTGCAAAATATAGTATAATTTTATTTATTCCAAAGAGAGCATTCCGTAAAGTATTCTTACTGGGGGAAAAATAGCTACAAGGCATAGATTTTGGTCTAAATTGGGAAGAATGATGAAGTTTATAAACTGTTGTATATTTTGTAGTAGCTTCAGATAATCAAATGTTTTAAAAAATTTCAAGAAATATGTAAAAATAATACTCTGTGGAATTTTTCACAATGCTGCTTGGATGTGAAAATAATGGAAATGCAAGTGTTCTAAGAGGTGATGCTTGATCCCAAGTATTTATCATTGCTTAGCTCTTAGAATTATTAAATTGTTCAGACTTTATTAGCTCTTATTGGGTGATAAATTCTGATTTATTGAATTCATTGAAGAAGTAACTTAAAACTGATTAGACATTTGAGAGCCAGTTACCATCAAAATATTTTTTTGCAAAGACTATGGAATTTGCTGAAACTATGAGTTCTGATGCTTAATCTATGTTTCACTAATATAAATTTTATTTAATTTACTTTTGTACTTATTCCATTAATTCCAGTAAGCAATTTTTCAATTAAGTAATGCCAATATTATATCTGATTGCATTTTTGAATTCCTGAAAGTAGGTGCTATTATTTTTACTGGGTAAAGAAAACCCTGTATCATAAAGCTAGGAAATGCTATGTGAATATGAATGAAATACATAACAAGTACCATACTATCTTTAATTATTGCAGTTTTCCCAGATAATCTGTTACCAAACTGCTGATACATATATTATATTACCTTTCAGATATGAAGTATTGTAATCCATAGTTCTTTCCAGTTTACATGATGCATGTATAAGTGAATGTTTCTTTAATCATGTTTCCATTTTGTTAGGAAAATGCATTGCAAGCTTTTGGTTGTTAAACTGAGATCGGAAAAGTCAAATTGTATTTTTTTTTAATTTATCAGTTTTAAGCATAATACCTGTTGGTTTATATAATGTGTGTGAAGGAAATGAGGAGGTGGACATTGACATTTTGTGAGCACCATCTGACTTGCAGAAACTAAAAATGCAAAAATAAATGAGTGGGTTTTAACTTAATATTATATTATTGAACCTGAAAGTACAAAACAGTGAAAGTTTTGTTTTCTACAAATGCATAATAATTTGGGTATCAAACTTTCATTTAAATTTAACGATTTAAGGAATTAACTGTTGAAACCATTGGTCACATTTTGTTTTTCAGAATTTTATCAAAGGTGGGTGCAGAAATGTTTTTATCCATTTTAACTTTTTATTGGAAATTTAGTTATAAGCAAGAGAATATTATATACTTATCCTCACCAAAAAAAGTACACTAAGCACAAATTTTCTAAATTTTCAATATTTAATTGATGTATAGGTTTCAGTTCTATTTGTTATATATATATTATATATATATTTCTGATTTATTGTATTCATATCAGATTATATCAGCAAAACTGTGTCAGATTGGCACGAATGTGCCATCTTCTCCCGATTCCAGTTCTGACAGTTCAACAGGATCACCTCAGCACCCATACGATGGACCCAATGTTGAAGCTGAAAATTGTCTCCCTGGAGTTGTAAGTTTACTGTTATTCTGTTCAATTTAGTATCACGAATACTGTTTAAAATTACTGTAGAACCCCGATTATCCGAGCTAATGTGAACAGCGGCTAGATCAGGTAAACAAAAACTCGAATAACACTGATTGATCAAAGAAAATTTTAATATTATAGTCTTACTGTACGTACTTATAGGGAATTTGTCAACATACAGGATTCGTATACAGTGATATAAAACATGGCTATGAGTTCGTAATGAATTGAATGCACACAGAACTGATAAAAGCTTGATGAAATTTATTTTTCAATAATAATAGAGTTACAGTTTTAGAATTGTTCACAGGAAAATACTCGTACAGCTCTTGTCAGTATGATAGAGCACAATCAGTAGTTATCACTTCGGACTATTAAGAATGTGCTATTAAGAAACAGTGCAAAAAAACCTGAAATGTGTAAGCTCGCATAGTGTTTTTCAAAGTTTCTCGAACATTTGCCATATCTTCATCATGAAAACTTTCACTTTGCCTGACTAAATTTAGTGATCTCATCAGGTAGATCAAATTATTTATCATCTTGCATTACTTCCTCTATAACTTGTAGCTGATTTAAAATGCCCATTTATTCTTCTTCATCTGCTTCTTAAGTTTATGTCGTTATTATATCATAATGATTTGGTGAAATGTTTTTCTAGCTTTTCAGAATAGTAGATTGTTTCACGTCATTCCACAATTCTTTCAGTGAGCAAAGACATTTTTCAAGTTACCACAATCTAGCCTGTTAACAATAGCAAGCTCCTAGTGATAAAAAGACAGTTCCTTCTACCAATCATTGTTCAACAAGCGGTCACTAGAGCGCTCACACACCGAAAAAAAAAGGAGAGACCAAAATTGCTGACATTGCTTTGTTTCACAATTAGTGTAGCTCTGGTGCAAAAATTTAAAACCAACTGATTTTTCACTCAAAGCGGGGAAGAATTGAGGCTGGTAAGTTCAAATGTGGTAATGTTGGGATTCTTATCTTTAGAGTTTGAATTATTGTTAATATCCAATTCTATAGATTATTTACATTTTGAGCAAGGCTATTTTATTTTATTTACTTATTTTATTTATTTATTTATTTATTTTTTGTGCATTTGGCACGGATAACAGATGGACACAGAAGCTCGGTTAATCAAAACTTGGATAATCGGAGTTCTACATTATATGAAAAACATTAGATTTTAATACCTTTATATAAAAGCACTTAGAATGTTATAATTTTTAAAGAACACATGATATGTGTACGTTTTTATGCAAATTTATTAATTTACTCAATCTCTTTACAGTTAATGTCGCAACAACAGCAATATGCTCAATTTTTATTCCAATTGGCTGATTTAGGAAGTTCTTTAAATGTACCTGCACTTCGAGATGAAGCCTATGCAGTTTTAAAATTGATGCCACCTGGTATGTAGGGTTATCATACTAATTAAACCATTTCAGTGTAGTAGCAGAATTCAGTACAACATTTTCTTTGATATGTTTTCAGATGCTCACACATACGAAAGACTGAAAACAATATGTTTAGAAAATTCAAAACTTGGTGATAGATCCCCTTCACCTTCTTTAGAGAGTATCTTCTTTGCACCTTCTCCTTCTCAAGTTTTGTATACTCTTGAAGTAAGTAAATGCTATTTATTTTATATGTCACTGATACATGTTTCATGTGACACTTATTAAACTTGTTATGAGTTAAATTTGTAACCAAAATTTTAATCTATGATAAAGGGTCAATATAATATGTTTTACTAATAACTGTATTAATCAAAATGAATAAATTTTCTAGTTTGAGAATTGTACAAAACTTTAGGTTGCCTATCAAAGGTAAACTGAATTCTAATAAACACTTTGCTTTTTTATTAAATGGATGTAAGGAACTTAGCAGTCACTAGCCTGAGCAAAGTATAAATACTTTCTTGACTTTACATCAAAATATAAATGGCAGATTTGGGAAAGCGTTTAGGAAAGAATTCTGATGAAACTGGGAAACTGTTTACCTCTATCTGAGAATTGTAAATTAAATCAATATCCAAAAAATGAAATAAAAATTCATATCAATCCTGCTCATTTAGGAATGCTCAAAACTAAAATTAATTATTAAATCAATGGGAATTGACATACATAAATGTGCTTTATTTTGGAATAGTTTGTGTGGTTCTTTTCTATTTATTCAAAAAAAAGTTTTTTTAATAATTCAACTGAGTTGCTTCTTTTAATAGCACTGAACTAGCGTATTTCTTAATATATTAATTACTCTTTTTTATTACAGCATTGAAAGAGCATATATCTCAATATATTAATTACTGTGTTATGCATTCATTTTCTGGTATTTTTATTTAGGTCGTCTACACTCTTCTTATGCCTGCTCATAATCCTATGTCAGAAGAAGCTCAAAATTTTCAGTACAATTTTGTTCGTAGTGGAGGTGTACCTGTTACGCTAGGAATGATCACAAAAAACAATTTTTTATCTGGTGCTGATGTATCAATTAAAAGGTATCTATATCTAAATATAATTGGGATTCATTTTATTTTTAATTTTTCAAAAAAATAGCATTGGTAAATAAATTGGCATTATTGTATGATTTATCATGCTGTACAATTAAAAAGCACTGCACACTCATCTTTTTTCCTTGCATAAACTTTTGTGAAATTTTGACCTGCTATCCAAACTGTATAATTAAAGATTATTATACTTTTAACTTCATTAGATTCAAAGAAATATGTAAATATTTTTCTAAAAGGAATTTTGTTCTTTTTTCTCTAAAATAAAAATTCAGTTCAAAACTTGGAAAACTACACTAAAAGTAATTTGAATCAAAATCACTTGAAAGAATAAGTGTAAAATGTTTAAATATATTTCATATTCATGCATATTACCTTATTTTAAGATTAGCAACATGGATACAGAAAAAAATAAATTCTTATAAAAGATAAGATATTATTTATTTTATTAATTCTTTTAAGTAATTATTAATGTACTTGTTAAGTAACATTTAGGAAGTGCAATAGTATGAAATGCAAAATGAGTGTTAAATTACTCTTCGTAAGATTATCAGTAAATAGTGTCTTGACCTCTCTCATTTTTACTTCCTTATACGAAGTAGAAAGGAAGTATTGTAATCACGAAAAATTTTAGGTATCATATTTCAATGAAAATAACCATTTTGACCACTATCGAATGCAATTTAACGAAGTTTTTGCATAACATCTGTACGCAAGGACAGAATAAAAGACTCTTTTCCCCCCAGAAAATTATAAAACTGATTTAAAATGAATTCTAAAGAGAATTTTTCGCGTGGCATCTGTGTGTACGTGTGTATCTCGCATTACTCAAAAACGAGTTGCCTCAGAATGTTGAAATTCTGTATATAGGACTGCTATAAGATGTAGATGTGCACCTCGTATTTTGGTTGCAATCGGCCGCACCAAACGTATATATTTATATATATATCCACTCTGTTACCCTGGTCAGTGATCTCAGTTCCGTTACTCTTATATGTTTGTAAATTGTATATTTTTTGCTTTAAAAATGATTGAATTATGTTGTTCTTATCTTCCGGTTAAGGTTTTTATGCCTTTAGTAAATCTGCATGCAATATTTTTAGAATTATCACCAATTTTAAAGTTGTTTAAGCGCCACTAAGCCTAATAATGTTTTTGATGGGCGGCCATTGCTTGTTTACATTTGAAACAGCAGGATAGTGGATTTGTTGCCAATCTAGAGAAACTAAGCTTCGCAACAACAAAGATAACACCTTCTTTTATTATTGCAAATAAATTATGCTCAATCCATTCTGGAATTTATTCGAGGAAATAAGTGTTTAAGATTTATTTCGTAATTTCTAATATAGGTATTTTGAGTTTTTATGTATTTTTGTCTTGCCGCGAAGTGAGAACTGAATTAATTGAATGAGAGATACTGAATCGTCTGTGAAAAACTGTTTCTTTCTTTTGTTCTTTCTTCCCCCACCTTTTTTTTTTTACTTAATTTTGTTTGTACATTGTTAGATTTATTATAGTATTTGAATAGAACATGTGGCAACGATTAGATTATTCTTCAAATAATATAAATTTTGTGCATTATGAGATGTGAGATGTAAAATGAACGTGTAATGCTGTTAAGTGAACCTAGTGCCAGAGTATTGCTGTGGTAACCAAATACAGTACAAAGTCCTTAATCTGGACTCATCGGGACTTCGGCGATTCCGGATTAGGGGTTTTTCAGGATTATAGATCATCAATTTAAATCTGGTAAGATAGCATGCAGAAATAATACAATTAAAAGTATGAAACTGTAATTTATGAAATAAAGAGCAATCATGATCTAAAGGGTATCAAAATTTACAAAAAAAAAAAAAAAAAAAAAAAAAAAAAAAAAAAGCTCAATATTTATTTGTTTATTTTAGTAAACATTTCTATCAATGCAAGTTGTTTAAGTTGCTTCGTTTTTTGTGCAAATACTTTCTCTTTAATTCTATAAACAGACATTATTTCTTGTTCAGTTAGAAAGTTACACTGTTCAAGTCCTTCAATTGCTGCGTTGAGAATACCGACTAACTTGTCAATTGAAATTTTTTCGTTTTCAATAACGTTCTCTGTTACTTTCTTCACTATCGGAAGTGCGCATAGGTAAATGCTTTACGCACGTGCGTAAGTTTGTGGCTTTGAGGTCCGGATTATAGATCATTCCAGATAATTGATGTCTGGATTAGAGACTTTGTGCTGAATGAATTTTAATTTAAGAGTGCATTTATTTTATTGTGGTTTATGTGCTATCGACGAAGTAGATTTAATTCAATCCAATAAATTTAAATGAAATGCAAGAAAATATGCGTATTATTTAATATTCCGTACAAGGAACTCATGTGGTGTACACATCAGATTTTTTTTAATTCATTCCAGATTTCATCATTATCATTTTTTGTTTCACCATTGAACAGCACATCAGTTTTGCATAAGACTATCTGCTTAAATGTAGAATATATAAAATCTTTTTGTGACTTATTATACTAGGGGTGATTTAAAAGTTTCTATCTTTAAAAGGCTTTATAGTTTGAGAGATGAACTATATTTTAAAAATACATTGGGATACGGGACAGGAAGAAGTAGGTGAGACACCAGAACTTCACCACTATTTTTGGTTATATTAATATTAATAGGTATAATACCTATTACACTAATTGTAATAGCTCCATTCCAATTCCAACACCCCAGAAAACACGTCCAAAGAACTTCCATGTTTCGTTCCCTAATCAGACATTTTTGAGAGGGTTTGGACTCATCAGTATTTTAAAATGGTCCCCATGTTGCAGAGATAATGTGTAAATATCCAAGTCTTCTCTGGGATTTGAACACATGCCTAACGATACAGAATCAGCGTTGTTAACCACTATGCTGATTGAGGTAGTGCCATTAGGCGTATCAAAATTCTGTTGATCCAGTATGTTTTTTCTGTAAAGGTGACATTAGTAGCATTTCATTCACGGTATTTAGTAATGTTGGTAGTTTTTTCATGTCTTTTTGCTATTTTCTTTAATTCACATTATTTTTTTATTCATTCTGTCTTTCATTATACTATTTTTTCATTTTTGTTGTTTATTCAAAACTTTGTGTTAATGTATCATTTGTCTTCTTTAACTTCATTTACGTAGAAGTTTTCGAAACTCGATAAAAGTGTCAATAAGGCAATAAATCAGAAACACATCATTTTAATAACTCACTAGAAGCAGGATAATTTTAATCCAACCTATAGATCATGGAGTTATTCAAAAATTTAAATGCAAATATAGGAATTTATTTGTACAAAATCTATTAAACTGTGCTTTGCAGAGTAAAGAATTTTTAAATTCATTCAATATAAAAGATGCAACTTTGATGGCTTCTATTGTTTGGAAACATACAACCAGTACAATATTACAAAAAGCTTGGCAAAAGCTGTGTCCAAGTGTCGTGAAGCAAAATTCTGTTGAAAAAGGTGAAAATGAGATTATAATATATCTGACTTTTTGGACATTAACATATTGATCAAGTCCATGAGTTTTGTTGTATTCAAGAGGCAAGGACTTTGAACACTTTATAGGTGGCAAAATGAATTTATCAGCTCTCCCATTTTGAGGAAGAATCCCCGGAGAGTGTAAAAAAAAATCTCGTACCCCTCTTCCATGTCTTGAGGAAGCTTTTATCTCGACAATATTTTAAGTATTCCTTTGCAAAGGCAGTGTAAATTTACAACATCCATGTCTTCTCCAGAACATGAACCTGAGTTCAAGACCATAACAACTATCAGAGTATGTCAGCAGGGTGACAGACGAGCATTTTTATGATTCAATGGCTAAGTACCATTCTGAGTTATTGAAAACAGTTAAAGTTTTCCTTTGAACAATCCCTTATTCACTCTTTTAGTAAATTATTTAATGGATTTAAAGTGATAAAAATAACACAGATGCAGGGCTATTATGTTATTAGTTGTATTATGGAAAAGTTCAGTGGTAAATTCATAATTGGAAGTGTGTGCTGAACCAAAATGCTGCAGAGATTACCAGCAACCAAGCAGTAAAATTAATGAAGTTATTGTAGTTAGATTTAGGTTTAAATCCCTTCGAATCAGCTGACTGCATGGGTGTTTTCATGAATTTCACCACATATAACATGGATATGGAGGACTTTTCCTAAATATGACCGCATTAAAGACTCTCTACCCTTTGGTAGTTAGCCCTTGGGTGCCTTCTCATAACACACATAATCGTAATCCATAGGTGACAAAAGAAATTGAAAATGCTGAAAAAGTATAATATACAAGAAATAATCAATATTTTTATTCATTGGAATGATTTTTTACTTTCCTTCTCTCTCTCTTTTTTTGAAGAGTGGGTTCTATGAAGCAAGTGGACATTCACACTTTATTTATTTATGTGTTCGGAATTTATTTCATGCACTGGCCAGTATTGATGATTCCAAACTAAAATTTGATTGAATTTAATTAAACTGTGGATATATTTATTTACTAATAAATTCTGCTCAACAGATAGGTTTGCAGAATTATTTTATATAAATATTTTCATTCCTTAATGCATTTAGTCTGATAATCTGGAATATTTCATTGTTTGGCATCACTGAAATCTTGGCCAGCCAGGTTATTAAACTGCTGCTGCAGTTATTCCGTAATGAAATGTATTGAAGATGCCCTTCAGCAAGAAGGTCTGTTGTCTGCTGCAAAAAAATTTATGTAGCCTTCAGCATGCCATCCTATAGTTAGAACTCTCATTCTTTTACCAACTTTTCTTTTGGATATGGAACAAATTGTGCAGGAAGAAATCCCTAATCATGTGCTCCAGAGCTCCTTTTTAAGGACATCTAATTGCTTCGGAATGATGGCTGATAAAGGGTATTGTCATATAAGATGACATTTTGCTGAAGATGACTAGAATATTTCATCTTAATTGCTCTTGAAATTATTCAAAGCTAATGCAACTGTGCTACCCCTCGCAACTGCTCAAATATGTCATTGTATCATAGTCCTGGATTATATTGCTTTCTTTTAAAGCCAATGCAGTAGTTTTTTGGGGAATGGCATTATCAGTATATGCATTGCCCATTTCACATGCTATTATTACTGCAATGCATTTTACACCAATTACATTACTGAATCACAAGCTTTTTATCAGCTCATCAGGATAGTATGTGACCACAGCACTGTTGAACTGAAACTGTTTCATTGCATTAAGAACATTTAGAATTATGATATTTCCTTTCTTGGTTTCCTGCAGATGTACCTGTAAATGTAATGCTATTTAATATTCAGTCTTAAATTGTAATAAAAGTCATCTATTTGAAAGTTATATTTGAATGTCAAGTTGTTGGCAACAAATTGATTATATCGTTAGTTTTCATTAATCAGTAAATATTGAAATACTGTTGTAATTTATTTGTGTGAAATTATTTGACAAGTATATTTATTTATATTTTTATGTTTCCATTTCATTTTTTTTTGTTAGGCATTTGTTTATTTTGTAATTGTCTTAAAGAAATTAAAAGTGTGTGTTGTGAAATTAATAAGGAATGCTATATATTAGTTTATGTATGGATAACAAATTACTATGACTTATTTTAGTCCTGAAAATTCATAACAGAAAAAAATAAGTTCATTGATTTCAAAGTTTACTGAATTTGTTTAATTTTAATATAAATATATATTTTCGCACAAATTATAATTCTATGAGCCTTTTATTTTTTTTCTTGTTTTCTTTGTTTAAATTGTATGCAATATATTTATTGTGTATAATTCAAGTTAATTTTATTTTATTTTTCAGGTCAGCATACCTTGTCGTTCTTAAAATTTTAAAATTATTATTGACTACTGTTGGAAGATGTATAGTACTAGTAGAAGCTGAAGTTATGCATTCACGTGGTTCTCCTGGTTCTTTATCACCATCATCTCCTAGTTCTGTCATGCTTACAGGAAGAGCATCTGTACTGCAACAAGCTTTAACACACATCCCCAATCCAAATTCTGAGTTCATGCTACGGAATGTGTCTGTAAGATTGGCACAATTATTGCATGATCAAGTAAGTAAAATCGTATTTTTACCTTAAGCTGTACTATATACATAAAAAGTTATTATGTTTGCTACTAAAAATGTTCAATATGTAAGCTCTATGCTCTTAGAAAGTGCATAATTTTTACATGCATAATGGGATGATTTGGCACTAGCTGTAATAAATTGGCGATGGTTTGTTCTGTTGGAGATTCTTTACTGCATAGGTAAAAGGGATGGCAGTTGAAGACAGACGTCGCTGTAGATTCACCATGTTTTTTTTTTTTTTTTATTCTTAATAAAGCATTTTTTTAGATGCAGTATTGATTCACACGTAGTTATGAGTGCAATGTGCACTCACAATTTTTGCAAGATTAGATCTGTTAAGAGAATGAACAATACAGTGAGTTTTGAGAAGTGTCAGTTATATAGTCAAAAGTTTGTTTAATCTGATTGAATTGTCCATATTGTAATGTGTACATAAGGTGGAATTATAGATTGATTTTGAGACGACATTCATTAGGATAAGAAAGGGATGTAACCAATCTAAAATGAGGAATAAAAAGGCTTATTGCCAAAATTTTACGTATTCCTCAGGGAAGTAATGTTACTCAATATATATTACTTCCCTAAATACGTAATATAAAATATTACATATTTAGGGGAGGAATACCTAAGATATAAAATATGAAAAGAAACTATTAACTTTAATTTTGGCAATAAGCCTTTTTATTCCTCATTTAGAGTCTTATTAAAATTTTCAATTCAATTTTAAAAATTTACTTTTGTTTTCTCTAAAAATATAAAAGTTGTCGTAAAGTTTTTGAGAAATAGTTGCAAAAGTTCACAGTTTATTAAATCCTCGTTTGCATGTGAATCATGATGTGTTTAGCCCTTCTTTTGAAAGTCTTTTGCAAGACTGTTGTATTCAATAGAAAGCGAAAAAAATCTCTTTTTACGTAGCTATGAAATTCTATTAAAATTCATTCTTTACTCATTATAAAACAATCCACATTTTCGTATTGTAAAGCAATGTAAAATGGACTTGAATTAATAAACACAAAGTTACAAAATATAGTACAATAAGAAAATAAACTTTGATTTAAAAAAATGTGCAAGTCCTCAGAAGCAGATCAACTTAACTACTTGTTGATGGCTTGGAGATGTTTAAAATACAATAGCAAGTAAAAACCTCCATTTTACTTGCTTCCATTTACTTGATCAACTGGCTTTTAACATTTTATAAATATATCAAAGTTATTAATTACGAAGTATGACCATAACATTGTTCAGTGTTACATAACTGAAATAAAAACATAACTATACAAAAATTCAAAGAAAGAAGAATAACTTATATTCAAGTTAGGTCTTACAATTTTAGCGAATAAAAAATTTACTCTAACTCACAATAATAGAGCTTGTAAACATTTATAAAGAATTTACAATTTATAATAAAATCAATATTACATTTTGTAATAGAATCAACATATTCTTTATTCATTACGATGACAAAATAATTTAAGCATATAAAACATTGCAAATAAATTATTAAATAACATTAAAATTGCTCATGAAACTTATAAATTCAAAAATGGTTTAAAACAAACAATGAATTCTATGCCTTTAAACTGTAACAAAACTGCTTTTCAGACTTTTTCCCTCTTCAACACTAATTTTAGAGATGCCACGTGTGATAAATGAATTCATGCATAATTTTTTATTCCTGACACTGAAAACAAATTTGATTTAATTTACTCAATGATATTCATGAATGTAATGCTAATGATGATTAAACATGATGATAACATAAAAAATTTTAAGTACATAAATTTCTCACACATTACAGATAGATAGCCTTGGCTATAAATGCCGTCTCATTGATCATTTCGAAAACACTTTTTTTTTTCTTTAGGTAATTTTTTGTTCACACACAAAGTAGAAAAACACAGTTGTCGGCTCATGGTATGCTTCCAAGTCATTGTAGTGGGATGATTTGGATTGGCAGCGGTTTGTTGCATTGTAATAACTTGGAGATTCTTTACTGCATAGATAAAAAGATGACACTTGAAGTCAGATGTGGCTGTTGATTCACCAAATAATTTTTATTTCTTGATAAAGCAATTGTTTAGATGTAGTATTTCATTCACACATTATTATGGGGGGCAGTATGCAACCCACAATTTTTGAAAGCTTAGCTCCTACTAAGAAAATAGACGATTCACAGAAGTCGGTAGCAAGGCATATTTGCCACAAGAAAGCAAAGGGGGAAAAAGGGCACTGCATGTAAAGGTTACATAAAAATTAATCTTAATCTATTTTTTAGTTTTAGTTTTGTTTGTTTGTTTGTAATTTTATGGGCGTTATGTTTAGGACGAATATTTTTTTTTTTTTCTGTTAAATTTTGTAAATTTTCAGTTTTATTTTGTAGTTTTTATTTAATGTCTGATTTTTTATTTTGTGCATATTTTCATGGTTCAGGTATCTTGCACAGCATTTGAGTTTTATCAATTTTGTCTTGTTTAATTTTTTACTTGTACGAAGTAAAAATTATTAAACAATTACGAAATTACAAAAAGTTTCAGGCATCATATTTCAACGAAAATATCCATTTTGACCACTATTGAATGCAAGTTAACAATGCTTTTGCCTGACATCTGTATATAAGGACAGAATGGAAGACACTTTTCCCCCTTAAAAATTAATAAAACTGATTTAAAATGAATTGTGAAGAAAATTTTTGTGGCGATGTATGTATCTCGCAAAACTCAAAATCGAATTGCCTCAGAATGTTGAAATTTTATATATAGAACTGCTATAACATGTAGGTGTGCACCTCATATTTTGGTTGCAATTGGCCACATGAAAAGTGTATAAATATATGTATATATGTCCACTCTTTTACCCGGCTCAATGATCTCAGTGTCTTTACTCTTATATGTATGTATATTGTGCATTTTTCGCTTTAAAAATGATTGAATTATGTTGTTCTTACCTTCCGGTTAAGGTTTTAATGCCTTTAGTAACTCCACATGCAATATTTGTAGAGTTATCAACAATTTAAAAATTGTTTAAGTGCGGCTAAGCCTAATTATTTATGTGATGGCATCCATGTTTGTTTACATAAACTTTGGATGTTTGACTTGGCAGAATAGCGGCTTTGTTTCCAATCTAGAGAAACTAAGCTTCACAACAGCAAAGATAACACCTTCTTTTATTATTGCGAATTAAATCATGCTCAATCTATTCTGGAATTTATTCGAGGAAGTAAGTGTTTAAGATTTATTTCGTAATTTTTAATATATATATTTTGAGTTTTTATGTATTTGCCTTGTTGGTAAGTGAGCACTGAATTAACTGAATGAGAAGTATTGAATCGTCTGTGAAAACTGTTTCTTTTTTATTTTGTTTGCTTAATTTCTTTTACATGTCGTTTTAGATTTATTATAGTATTTGAATAGAACATGTGGCAACGATTAGATAATTCTTCAAATGATAAAAATTTTGTGCATTTTGAGTTATAATATGAACGAAATATAACATTGTTAAGTGAACCTAGCACCAAAGTGTCGCTATGGTAAACAAATATAGTGAATTTTAAAGAGTGCATTTATTCTATTGTGGTTTATGCGCTATAGACGAAGTAGATTTAATTCAATCCAATAAAGTTTAAATAAAATGCAAGAAAAAATGCATATAATTTAATATTCTGTACAAGGAAGTCGTGGTGCACAAATCAGATTTATTAAAACAGATGAGCAGGATAAAACATGATCAGATCTCAATAATTGTTGGCTGTTTTATCAAGAAAAATTAACCCTTTGAAAAATCATCCTTTTTCCATGGAATAAGCAACAATTAATATATTTTTATTTATTTATTTATTTTTAGTTTTTAAGTTTATTTTTAGCTTAATGACACTAATTTTTAAGTTTCATGATTACAATAGCTAATACACTTGCTTTTTCCAGACAATAATCTCTATTAATAATAATTTAATTAATCTGAGCTTACATTAGCACTAGATTTTAATCCTGATAGTCCATCTTTACCATTTTTACTTTAAGTTTTAATATATATGTGTGCGGACGTAAACTGAATTGTAATCAATTGGCAGTAAATCTTCAGATTCCTATATTTTAGCTAAACACATTTCCCACTTCAAAGGATATGCTTTACTGTGTCACTCTCCCGCATCAAGCATTCCCTGCAGTTTCTCTGCACTGTGACATATATAGTCCAATCATTGCTCAGAATTAAAGCAATGGCTTTTCCACTACAAATAGGACCGAGGGGAATACATGTTACTTTTTCTCATTTGCTGTGTCATGAGTAATCCTTGTATCTTGCTTTGCTGTTTTCTTCATTGTATTAAATATAAACTGCGTGTATTGAAATTGTGGGGCATGTTTAGCACCCCTAATGTTGTATCAGTTTTTAACCAGAAGTATATTTATGAAATAATTCTTCTTGTAAAAGTTAAAAACAATGTTTTTTATAAGTAAGCCAGGTGTGATTTTGCAACAGTCCTAGGAAACAGCCTTCTTGGCACGACTCGGGTGCGATTTGGGTTGCATCTTCTCCCCCAAAACTACATCATCACAAAGATCATCACACGTACATATATATATCTGTATATTACATTTTCAAATGAAGTAATTTTAGCATTCCATGTACAAACTTTTTTATGATGCAAGATTTTTGTTTTTATAGGCCATAAGTCATCGTCCTGATCTTGCTACTGTTAAAGCTATTATGAAAATGGCTTGGGCATCATCTTCAGGCTCTATGGACTTAATGCAAGCATCATATGAAGAATTACATCAGTTGGAGGAAAAGGTATTCTTGCTTTGAACAGTTTCCAATTGTAAAACCCATTTCCATTTATTTTAAACTCTGTTAAGTTCTGAATTCTTACATTAGTAGTAAAAGATCTTTCATCTTGAACTCTGTTGTACTAATCTTCATGCATAATCTTTCTTTTATCTAATAAAGATCTATATATCTATCTTCTTTTTGCATAATGAAGTTAGATTCATCTCCCCTACAAGGAGAAAGAAATAAGGTTATACTAATCAAATGTCTGAACATCATGTGATTTATTCATTAAACTTCTGCTATATTTTTAGGATAGCATTAGATCAAAGCAATTTCATATATTCTATTCCAGTTCCACGTACCACTTTTTCAACAAATCTGTTAACTCTATTATACATTCTAAAGCATGAATGCAGAAAAAGTTTTCTTCAGATCTGTTTTATGTCATAAATTACACATGTTCAAAAGTAGCTGGACATTTATAGGAAGAGTTATGGATTGTTACATGCCTGTATACTAGGAATTTGCATTAATTGGAATTTCCTTTGGCTGCAATAACAATGGCAACTCAGAAAGATATGCTAGATCTCTGTAATTTGCTAGTAGAATACTTCTGCATTGTTGTAGAAGAGCTGCAGTTAGTTCTATCAGCGATTTTTTTTTTTTCTCCTTGTATTGTAACTTGTTTTGCAAATGACATTTTAACTTCTCCCATAGATGTTCTGGAGGATTTATTGAGTTTGAGCCTGCTGGTCCATTTTCCCAACATCTATGTAAGAAAACTATATTTTAACAGCATGTGCCATGTAGGTTGGAGTTTGCTAAAATATGAAGGCCCCCATGCCAAAGGTCTTCCTCAATGCTAATAGTTTTGAACTGTGTAAAATATGCCTCTGTGTCCATATTTCCCCTCACGAGATTCAAGTGGCCAATTCCAAACTGCAAGAAACAGGATCGCACTTCAGTATTCCCACCATCAAACTTAAAGAATAGCACATTACCATAAATGTCATTCCCCTGACATTCTTCTGATACAAACAGGATTTCTAAACAGCATACTAGGCTTTAGTTGAACTTGCTTTAAGTTTAAAGATTTGCTATGCTGTTTCTGAAACATGACCACTTTCTTTTATATCCACTCAGCATACAGTGTTTTGCCAGTTAGCAGGTAGATTACTTTCTAGAGGTGTCCTGACACTTTTGATTACATCATGTAGAATCAAACTGTTCTAAAGGGGCTCTCGCACATCTAACCAATGCTTAACATCTGTCGAATTGTTTAATAAATCAGTAAGATATCAATTCACAATTAAATAGCATTTAATTAGTAACAAAATGAAATTCTGCATTTAAAAGAAATAAATTCAGCTTTGCTGCATAGCAGACTCTTGTACACTGTCAAAAGGAAAAGCAAAATTGACTCTTCAGTTCAGTTCTTTCACACTGCTTGAATAAAAATTCATCGATAACCTTACTTCGAATCCAGTGTAGAGTGAGGCTGGATTCAAACATCCCCTCTTTTGAGGTCCATAGCTATTGCAAGAGGCTCAAAACTCTTGAGAAATATCACTCGTATCAAGGTGACAGAGCACTTCAACAATTCTTTGAGTGGCTTGGGCATCTGAAGTCTATTCTGGAACAGTTTCAATCTGACCAGTATCACTGTCTTTAACTTATGAAAGACAAGTTAAAAAATCACTAGATGATAAGCTATACTTTATTAGATTGCCATTTTTCAGAATTTTTGAAGAGCCATGATGGACGTTCCCAGCACTGAGTTTTAGTAAACTTTTTTTAGCATGAACATCCTTGAGGAATAACATCAGCAACATTCATTTCACCAGGAACATTGTAATTTTCTAGTGAGGTCAACTGGTGGGTCGTCTTTACTTGAGACAACCTCGCCTACCCATTCATAAATCCACCAAAAGGCCACTGCGCCATGGAATTGCACCAAAATGTAATTTTATGCCAGACAAATAAAGAATTAATCTAATGGAATGTGCTAATAATGCTTCTACATAACATGACATAAATTCTAATTTCAGTATCATCGGTTTCTTGAGTGGTGCAGCTATAGATTGGGCTCGTAAGAGACAAATTTTGACACCAAGAGAAACCTCTGTTCATATAAAAACACAAGCATCATACAATGTTTTATATGCATTTGCAGGTATATATATATATATAATTCAGACGTCTTATTTATTTCCACATATTGTGCAACTTCAACATTATTTAATATCAGCAGCTCTGCCAACCAATCTAAAAATTAACTTTTCTGCATTGTCCGTTAAGGGGCTGTCCCAGTTTAGCTTATTTCTCCATGCTTCCTGCATCAATAGTTTTGGCAATAGGGCACGAAATTCCAAGTAGATCAAATATTTGATGTACCAAAGACAAAACAGCTGTGTTTGTCTGATTTGTTTAAGTTTGATTGTAGTTACTAAGCATCTCTGGGTATCTCAATCCAAATTCCATATAATATCCAAAAAAGAAATATCCTCAGTGAGTTTGGATATATGCAAACTAGTCATGCTGCTTTCCCAGGGTGTTAAATTAAAACATGCACTTTACAGTAAATTTTGGGCTGTAAGGGACAAATTTCTGTAATCCATCTAAACTAAATACTCCTGTAACATAGTTATTTACATAAAATGAATGACAGTCGAGACATAGCATCAGAATATTCATCAGTTGAGAGATAACATCAGAAGCATTACTTAGCAAATGATTTAAAGATGCCATGAGGAAAAAAGGACTTTTGTAATCCCAAATACTGCTCTGCAATGTTTATAAAGAATTTCTTCACTTTCAAAAGGAAAAAAGAATCTAAGAAATTCCTGTTCTGTGGTCGATAATCCTATGAGACGCAATTTACTCTGTCCATTATATCAGGGATTAACTCAATTAGGTTTAATTCTTTAATTAAAAGATCATTTACAGGGATAATCCGTGATATATTACATTATATCAGTTAATGAGTTAATCCCTGAATTAAGTTTAATTCTTTAATTAAAAGATCATTTACGGATCACTGATTTACCTCTTTTGGTGAGGTCAAAGATTGGTCTGATTTTTTAGGTTAATTTTTCTTTAATTATAAGGCAATGGGGTAAATGGTGTTTGAATTCATTTGCTTCTTCATTTTGAACCTTTTCAATAATTCCTAGCCTTTCTTTAAATATGGAAATGTAAACAGGTAGATATCCTTCTGCTTGTGTGCTTGCATATTTTGGTAATTAATGCATTTTCAGAATCAGTTCTTTGTTACTTAGCAAAAATATTTTTTTTTTTTTAATGGTAACGATACCTCATACCCTCCAGTAGCAAGAATAGTCAAATTATTTTGGAACTGGTGCATTGCATCAGATAGTAATAGATCAGTTTTATTTATTTATCTGTATTTGTTTCTATTTTCTATTTTTTTTTTTTTTGGACTTGTTCTTTATCATTATATTAAAATTTTAGACAATTTATTGTAACTTAGAGATGTTGGGAAATGTTGTAGTTCCTAAATAGCAAATGCTCATAAAAATATAGGGGAATTTCTGAAAAATTAAATCCATTTTCCTGAGGGAAAAACTTTGGCTATAATGCCATGATTGTGTATTTGAAAAATATGTTGAATGTGTAAAATAAAAATTATATATAAAAAAATAAATAAATAAAATTTTTTAAAAATCAATAAATAAACTTTGAACTGGCAAACATTCTTGTAGAAAGCAGGCACATTCTAAAGCTGATTTATTAAATATCAAAGTACTAATTGTTTCTACAAAGAGGCAGAGATAAAATTTTCCAGTAAAATCGTGTTGTGACACATGAGTAAGTGAATTTACAAAGCAAAACGTAGTGCATCTTTCATCTGTTATATTATGAAGCATTGTTTTATGTAATAGTGTAATTTATCTTAAACATATGTGTTGTATTTCTAAGTACTTTTTCCACTTTGCACACAATATAGATTTGCAAACCTGTTGATTCTGAAGAAATCCAGTTATGCAGGGAGGCTTTAGAAGTGTTAACTATATCTCTGGCTTTATGTCCAGAAGCTTTAGATACTCTTATGAAAGAAAAAGCATGGCATGTCTTCATAATTGATTTATTACTCATTTGTAAAAATCGGTAAGTTTAATTATATGTAGTTTTTCTTTTCTTCCTCTCCTCTTCATTGTAATTTTTTACATTAATTGTGTTAAATGTCTTTCATTTTTAAAACTTGATTAACTACAAATACGTTCTTATCATGTAGCTCAAATTATTTAATATACTTAAACAATATATCTGGTTGTAAAGAAAGTTTTTCACCAAAATACATTTTAATAAAGTTAGAAAAAAAAATGACATCAGTAGTTTTAGTGCAGGTAGTAATCACCCATGAAACATTACCTTTTTGCACCAGAACTCAGTTTGATGTATTTCTGTGATAACAGCGTCAACACGGACTAGCATCAGGCTGTACACGTTACTGTCTGGGGTTTTTCCTTTTCCTATATAATCTTTGTGGATATTATCTTTGCAATCGCACCAGATACAAAGCATGATTGTTTTGTTAATCAAATTGCACTTAGCGACATCACCGATGGGCTCACCCGTTGCAGAACCAACCCTCTTTTCATCCTGTGTTGTTGAAGTAAATCCTCTTTTCATCATAAGAGAGGATCTGATGCAGACTTTTATTCTTGCTTTAATAATCGAGCAGATTAGTGCCCAACGAAGCAAACCCATCAAGGCTATGAAAAAATATGCTAAAAGGGGCTAAAAATTCCCCTCTTGCCTCACGTGCAACAGCTTAAGAAATCTTGGTTGGCACTCACGAAGAAACGCCTCTAAATCACCATTGGCTCAAACAACACTGAAATTAAAAATTTAAACAATTTTAAAGAAACTTTGACCCTCTCTGGCCATATACAAGCATGTGATAAACCATTATGAAATTTCCAAAAAAATTCAGAACTCTCAGCAAGATAACAGACCCTTTCTTTCCCATGCAAAGAGGTTTCCAACCTATAACTCTGTCATATAATCGCCGCCCCTTAGAACTATTCGCCTCTGAACGAGCAAAACACGTGTTTTCAACCCCCCGAAAAGGAAATTGCAGCTGGCCGCAACTGACCGCTTCATGATAAACGGAAGTAACATGCCTTGCCCTTTTTTCTGAATCACACTCTTCAGCTAAACTTAAAAGAGTTTTGCCGTAATTGAGTCGTCGAAATTGAGTTAAAGTTTAAGCAATACTAAATACTATACATTAATTCTTAAATAATAACTATACAAATTCATTAAACAGTGTAAAATAATATAACTAAGAATACCTTATGCACAGTAAAATAATACATAATAACTGTATACAACAAATAATACATAACTATTTTCCATAACATAAATTTTAAAAAATCAGTTATATAAAAGTTATAAAATCAATTTTTTTTTTTTTTTTTTTTTTTTTTTTTTTTTTGTGATTCTCGGGTTCCTATGTTTAGTCATACTTGGGAAAAGTGTCATTATAAAAAATAAAATAAAAAGTATGACTTCTCGTATGACAAAAATCATAAAGATATTTACTTTTTGAGACCAGGGATTACAGAAAAATTACGAGCTAAATGTTTGCTTATATATATAATGAAATATTAGTTTGGTTTTTAAAAAAGTTAATAGATTAAGGATGATTATTGCTTTACAGTTTGTCATGAAAGTGTTGATCAATATTCCCCCACCCCTAAAAAAGCAATATCATATTCAGAAAATCCTACAGAATTCATGTTTCAGAAAACAATGGCTGGCTTTAGTTTTGGAGCATAACTGACTTGTAACATTATTTGCATAAATTAAAATTAAATATATTTCTAATTTTATGAATTTTTTGTGTAATTAGATTATAATTCTGAACTTCATGATAATATTAATGCATTTTTAACAATTAAAAACTTATATTATGTGTACAGAATTTTTTCAGCATACTGTATGTAACAAAGTTACGGTAAATCATCAAAGATATCATTGAATAACATAGAGGAAAAGGGGAATTTTAAATTATTATATTTTATTTTTTAATGTACCTCTCAGCTGAAAAGGATGTCAAAAGCTCCAAAATTTTGAAATTAAATATCTCAGCCAATTTTTTGTCATACTGAAACTTTTGTTGTTGTTGTTGTTGTTTTGTAATGAGTATAAACTTTTTTGATGTATAACTAAGAAGTTAGAGGATTGTACAAGTTAGATTTTTGCTATTTTAGAAATATGGCTTTTAAATTTTAAATATGCCAAAACATGAATAATCACATCATTTAAAATACATTTGTCACTGGAAGTACATATGTCTATGACCAACAGTTGTGAAAATAAAGACTACATAAGGACTTTAATGAACATAATGTGTAGTGGTATTCTTAAATATACATATGGTATTTTTATAAGTATTTACTAATGCTGCTTTGTGCATCTCGCATTTTCCATCATATTGCAACAAAGCAGAATATTTTTCATGTATATTAACACTTTATATAAATAATATGACTTGAAATTTTTCATTTTGTAATTTAACAGTGGATGTTTGCAAGTGGTTGAGATCTGAAGTTTTCTGTATTTTCCTCTCCCTGAAAGATAGTCTCGTCCATTGACTTGCACATTGACTGTTTAATTTGACTTGCACATTGACTGTTTAATAACTAGACACTAAAAGTTACAACTAAGAATCTCATTACACTAAGATTTTAGTGGAAGTTTTTATTTTCAGCTGATATTTTCAAATATTCTCCTCAGAGTTTCTGATTTTCAAGTATGTTTCCATTGTAAGATACGTCGTAAAGGCATGACAGAGCTAGTAAATTTGTCTATCTTTGTTTCTCATTGCTTATTTCTGAAATGTGTTTTTGATATTTAATAAATGTCATAAATGAAAATTTTGCTGTTGTCAGTCAGTTTCTTAAAATGAGAAAAGTGGTTGCATATTAACTTTTTACCCACATTAAACTGATAGCGTGATACTTCTGCGCATGGGCAAAACTCAATCCAGTTACAAAAAAACTTAGTCAGTTTTTGTAAGATATCAACTTATTTCATGTTTTGCAAGATCGCACTGCAGTCGTATTTTTTTAAGACAAGCAACCGAAAAGCACAAGGAAAAAGTAGTTAGAATGTTTCCAGTAAATAAAAAAAAAAAAAAAAAACTATCAATGTTTAAATGGGAAGAGAAATCTTAGAAACCATTCTTTTTCCTCTAAATAAGAATCAAACTTTCCTGGTAGGCTTCCAGCAGAAGCTCTATCATTGGTGAGTAGAATGTATGTATATAAAACAAGTTCTTTAATACACACTTTCTTTTCCAGCTCCATTAGAATATGTGCAGCAGATCAATTTTTACTTATTGCAACAAAGTGTTATTTTGGTCATCAGTGCCTTGTGTTCTCCATAACTTTACTTTTTACTCAGCTGATGGTAAGTATGTTTCGTCAAATTTCATTTAAAGAAATTTAGACTGCTTTTTCAATATCAGTGCTTCAAAATCTGTATTGCATATTTTGACAGTGTAAAAGAAATACCCCCTTTTTTTTTTAGTAAAAAGTAATTAAATTATTTTGGTATCAAACTTTTTTTACAGTTGTGCTTTATGAAAATCGTAAATTATAGAAACTATAATATCATTACGACTAAGCAATAAATAAGAAGTGTAATATATATATTATAATTTTTTTTTTTTAATTATAAAAGGAGGGAGAGAAAACAAAATTTAGAACAGTCAGTTTTAAGATTACCAACCATTTCTTAGTGCCACCATCATATTTTATTATATCTTGTATATATATGTGTACACTGCTGGCCATTAAAATTGCAACGCTAGGAAGGAATGATCTGGCAAATGTCAAAATCACATGAAAGGAAGAAGAGATGGGGATATGCAAATGATTAATATTTCAGCACATTTAGACAACACAGTAGAGAGAAACGACATCTGAAGCACTGCATAAAAGAAAATCTGTATAAATATTGTATACCTCTAATAAGAAGAAATGCTTACCAGCATGTGTCAGAATTCGATAGAGGCGGGATCAGTTGCTATCGAGTGTATGGATTATCGTTCCCTGATATCGCCCGTCGATCTAGTCGACGTTCAACCATTGTCATGCGAATATGGAATCAATGTGTTGCTGAGGGTCATATTGAACGGCATGCAGGATCTCAAAGCGCTCCCATGACTAATGCCCGAGAGGACAGACATAGTGTTAGGTCAGCCCTACAAATATTTGCTTTTAAACATAGCATAGAAGAAATTACAAATACGCTCATTGTCATAAAAGTTTGCGCACCAAGAAAGAGTTGTCAGAATGAAACGAAATTTTACGTATGTAAGTACTACTTTGATATAAGTAAATGATTAGAAAAATTGAAGAATAAAGGATCATTTATTGCAGAAAAAGTACACATGAATGAAAGTTTTAGTACTCTGTTGGACCACCTCTAGCACGAATGCACGACGCAATACTAGCGGGCACTGAGGCATACAAGTTCCGTATGGTGTCCTGACACATCTCGTTCCACAGTTGCTGAAAACACGCCTCTAGTTTGACCAATCTTGTAGGCTGTCCAACTTGCCGTCGCAAATGATCCAAGATATGCTCGATTGGTGACAAATCTGGGGATTGAGCAAGGCAGGTAAGGGTGTTATGTAGCAGAGGCAGTCTTGTGAGATCCATGCTATGTGTGGCCAAGCATTGTCTTGTTGAAAACAGGCTCCCGGGAGCCCTGCCCTGAGTGGCTGAAGGATGTCATGGATGTACTGCTGGCCTGTCATTGTGCCATGGATCAATAGTAGGGGTGACCGTGTATCGTAAGCAATGGCACCCCATACCAACTGTGGGAACGGTATGTCACTGTAAAGCGAAGGCAGGATTGAGGTATTCACCACGGGGCCTCCACACACGAATATGATTGTCATCACTAGTCAAATTGAGATTAGTCGATTGTCATCACTAGTCAATTGTAGATTCGTCGCTGAAGACGACCTGGTTCCATTCCGTTAAAGTCCAATCCTGTTGTGCGTGACACAACTCCAAATGAAGGCATTGGTGGGTGGGTGTAATTGGCAGCACACGTAATGGGTGCCATGATACCAGATACTGTGTGATGGTTTGGGAAGACATGGGCCCGTAATGAAGCTACTGCCTGCGTCTGGATAGCGGCCAATGAGGCAGTTGGCTCTACGCGTGCGTGTCATATGATGTGCCACAGTGACTGGTCTGTCTAGGACGTCCTGAGCCTGGTCACCGTGCAAATGACGTCTTTTCTGTCCACTGGTTCCAACACCTCCTCACAGTAAAATCAGAATGGCCTACCTCACGAGCTACTCGTTGAGCTGACCATTTAGCTTCTATCATCCCAATGATTCTTCCCCTCTCGATTTCTGATAGCTGCTTATATTGACTTCAATGGCGGCGTAACAGCATGTCTACCTCAAGCGTTTCCTTAGCAGAAGATTAAGGACACTCGAACAAGCTCTGCTTACCTCTTTTATACTCCAAGAAGAATGAAGTTCGGTGCTCTCTAGTGGCATTACGCAATGCACAATCATGCTGCATTTCTAATCATTTGCATATCTACCCGACATACACTTTCATGCCAAGTTTCATTACGATCCCACAGTTATTTCTCGGTGCACAAATTTTTATGGCAATGAGTGTAGATACATTACAGCTTGAGGTGGAATGTATATTAGGCATCATGTGTCCAGAAGACAATTGCACAATCCTCTTTTTTCTGTCCTCCAGTGGAGATGTGATCCGAATTCAAACCCTGGGGGGGGGACAAAGTTCCTCCTGCGAGTTCAACTTGAGAAAATCAGGCTGATGGGAGAAAAGTTGTACAGTTTTTTTATTTGTTACAGCCTCTATCTCTGACTACAGCATTGTCCTGATGAGGAATCTGCAATAGCTTTTCAAGGACATCTTCTTTAGCACCATACTGTCTTGCTATAAGAACATCTTAATCAACATCATCTTTCTTCATCATGTAATGGTACTACTAGTTGAGCTTCGTCTGTTTCAGAGTTTGAGGATTATCATTACAAACTTTTCATCATGTAACCTCATCTAGTCCGATTAGAACAGTTTTCATTTTTCACTTTACATTCAAAAGATTCTATGATGTTTTTAAGATCTGTATCCTTCAGCTGTTCTCAACAGATTTCTGCTGCACTTCTAGTTGATATATCAATGGCTATCATACAAACTCTTCATGATTATCATTGATAATTGCACACAGGGCATGGCAACATATGGGCAAACAGGGTGTGACTGCAAAATCAGCCTTCCAGGGATGTATTCCATCTTCATATTTTAGGACTGTAATTACATGACTTACCTAGCAAATCTGCCCATAAGTGACTGTAAGCTTAAAATCTCTGTCACTGGTCACTGTAATTTTCTTGACCATCAATATAGCCACAAAATTTATTCAAGACCCATAGAACAGCAAGGGCTTCTTGTTCTGTTGTAATTTCTTTCGATGGCTGACAACAAATGGCTAGCATATTCTGTTGGATGCTCCTCTGAAGCTTTTCCTTGTAATAGCACAGCAGTCAAAATGTAATTACTAGAATTCGCTTGAATAATGTAAGGTTTTATTGCATCATTTTGCTTTAAGATGGAAAGGCTATCGCAATGTCCAGTCAGGTTTTTCTCATGTCATATTTTCCTTTGTTAAATTACTTGAATGTCTAACTAAATTTCAGATTTATCCGCCATGCCAGGTACAGATCTGCATTAAAGGCTGCACTTTTTTCACAGTTCTTGGAGCAGGCATCTTCTGTATGCCAGGTGACTTTTCTGAATCAACCTCTGCTTCTTCGTCATCTTCATCAACCAAAATATTTCACTTTACTGCAAGTAAAACTGTTTCTCTCCATTTGCATTAAGTTTAAACTACAAGAGCCTCTTGAAAACTGCTTCTAGATCAGCTGCATGTTTTTTAAAAGTGAAACTGGAGAATTATTCCCGGTATTCATATGGTATTCAATATAGTGAGGTGCTTCTCCCCCTAGTTGGAACATAGCCTCATATTTTGTTAACAGAGTATTGAATATTTCCTCTTGATTTTCAAGTTTGCATTATTTTCTGGATGCTGTGATGATTTGAAAATGTCTCACTAAATTTATGTTTGGGGTGGTTATGGTAATGCCACCTATTATTTGGAAAGTTTAAAGCAGTTCTAGCACTATGTAAAAAATTAGTCCCTAAATGTTCTGTTATCTTTTGCTGTACATTTGCTGGAAGTTATTTGTATTGACCATCTTTCAGTGTCTACTACTACAGTGAAAATAAAATTAGTTCAGGTGACCGGAATTGTTAACTTTTCTTTAGTTCTGATCTTCAAGTTCTGTCTTTTAGCTCTGATCTTCTGTTCAACAAATCTTCAAGCATTAAAGTTTACTTAACTTGTACATTTCATGGAATTGGTCATCGCCATTACTTTTGATTTTGGAAATCCATATGGGTTTTCAAACAAATGTTTCTTCCATATAGTTTAGATTTTCAGACCCATAGTGGGGCTGCCATTTTTTGCAACAGGAATATAAGCACTTGACAAATGCTGTTTAAAATATTTACTTTTAAACATAACATAAAAGGGATTAAAAAGAGATACATTGCAGCCATAGTGGATTACACGAAGTTATGCCATCGCACTTCCAGAAGACAACTCTGCAGTCGTCTTTTTTCTGTCCGCCAATGGTGGCACAATCCAAATTCAAACCTTAGGGGAGGAGAGCAAAGTCCATCCGACAGGTATAAAAGCAAAAGTAAAAGGTTGTGCCATGTTGCATAAATAAAAATGACATAACAAAGGAAGTTAACCAGGGTTCGTAGCCGTCCTAACAAGTGTTTATAAGTCTTTATATTTGAAAATAAAATATAAAGGCCCTTATAGGTGCTTACTTTTTCTTTAAAGCCCTTATTTTTTTTGTTTTTAGTGCTTATTTTTTGCTTTTAGTGCTTTTTTTGATGAACTCGCATTTTCCCTCCCGTACCAAAGCCGAAACTAAATAAACAACTTTTCTTCCTTATATGGAACGTCAGATGGTGAATCATACTCCCGGAAATAGCTTTTCCCCCTTTCTCTGCATTAACGTAACCTATGGTGCGCGCGAGAGTATAGACAGTTGCACGTCGTTCTTTTGGTCAAAGAATTGCGAAAACCGTAGAAAATTCCGGTACATTCGGTATTCTTTTCCGCCCACCCAAATACTACACACGTTTGAATTTCTATCAAGATTTTAATAATTTGCATTCTAGTTCCGCCTGGTCAGTTCATATTCGTGTTTATTATGATTGTTATGCTTATATTATGAGCATATGTATGAATATTTATAATAATATAGTTGCAGTAGATAAACTTCCAAAAATTGGTGTATTTTTACACACATTAGCTTTCCAAGGAATAATATTCGGAATGGCTTAAATAAGGAAAGTAATCGAATAGTCAGAATAATTTTTCCCCCAATACATTATACAGTACGGAAGTTGGGAGGTTTTCCCCTTTCTCCGCAAAATCTCTAATATTGAAGCAGCGGATTTTTTTTTTTTTTTTTTTTTTTTTTTTTGTCGTCACTGTCCAATCTGGATTGAATAGGACTAAAAGTTTTGCGGTCTACCCAACCCAAGCGAAGAATGATTATATTCCAGAAATTTAACGCAGTCTGTTCAAAATTAGAATAAAAAACACCCCAGATTAGTAAGTCATTTTCTTTTCCTTTATTTAGTTCTTTATTCTCCGAATACCGGCTGCTGTTGATTCGATTGCGTAATATCACATATGGAAGAATTACGCCGCACGTATTGCGCAATAATGTATGCGATATTTTGCAGAGATAATTAATTTTGATGTTCAGTCTGAGATTTATTTATGAACACTTAAAAGGGTTTTACTGTGCTTTCTAAGCAGAATACTTCTCAGTTCCGTTGGTCTATATTTATATGATGCACATATCGAAATGTCAAAATCTTTTATTTAGCCGAGAAATCTAAAGAACGGCTACAATCTCCCCCCACTCCTCTTTTTCCAGTTATGCTCGACTATATGGAATATTCGGCAATTTCCGAGTATGCGGGTTAGTTAAGCTTTTACTGTTTAAGGATGACTGCATGAAGCAATTTCCCTTCTCCTGATTTCAGAAATGTTCTTTTTTACTTAAATTACTTTGCTTGGAATATATGTTAAGGGAAAACTGTTATGCAATGAAAATTTAGAAATTGTTCAGAATTTTGATTTAAATTATTTAAATATTAATATGAGTGGAAAAATAAATTGTATTATTAGGTGCCAAGCGAAGACAATTAATATGGCTTATTATTATTTATTTTCTGTATTTTGAACTGAAATTTCATCATTAAATCTTGTAATATAGTTTAGTTCTGCATAGTTTTTTTTTTCTCTCACTGTAAACTAATTCTGTAAATTGAACTGTCATTTAAAATTTAAAAAAAAAAAAAAAAAGTTGTTTTCCATGGTTGAGGTAATGCTCATTCTCTTAATAAATATTGCATTGCTCATATTTTAAATTGCAAGTCTAATTTTTCTTTTAAGGTTATGCAGTTGTGTATAATGTAATTAGACAGGTGCTTACTTATTTTTTCTTAAAATGTGCTTGAAAAGTGCTTATAGGTGTTTATTTTTTTAACTAAAATGTGGCTATGAACCCTGTTAACAGTGTTCCAGAAAATGTCTCACTAATTTTATGTTCTCACTAATGGCTGTTCAGATCAATAAAACATACCTGAATATCATCATTCTATGCTGGTAACTTCTAGTGCCTAGAAATGCTTCTTCCTTGGAGGGTGGGAGATAGTAGTAGCTCTCAAACATTTTAGTGTAATTCTATATTTTAGAACATTTTTTCTTTTATAGCATCTTGCTTTATATTGATTTATTAATTTTCTTATGGCTTTTGATGCTGCAGATAAGAAACTCCAAAATTGGGTAAAATTTAAAAGCTAATGAATTGCTAACAAAGCAAAAAACAAGTTAACCTGATTGTTTATTTTTAATGATTTACGGTTATACAAGTGGTTCAAAAATTTAGAAAATTTAGGAATTATTTACACTTTTAATGTATATTTGGTTTTGTTCATTGTGTAAAAGTTCTGCTCTGCAAAATTGAAAAATGTTTTATTCTGAATTTCTGCATAAAGATCTGTATGTGTACTGTATATATACTAAAAGTTTTATATGTATATTGTACTTATGGCACCATACAAGTGAATTTAGTTTTATAATTGAATATTTCCACTACAAATTGTTTTGTGACTTAAATGTTGCTTTTGTCCTTTTTTTTTCCTTACTTTAGACCACTGTTAAAGAGTATGCAAAAAATTCACATGAATTCTTTACATTACTATGTCGATTACTTAATTATGCATGTGGGTGCAACTGTCCTCTACCAACAGCTCAGAATCTCTTGAACAATGAAATTGATTGGCTGAAGTCAGTTAGAGTAAGTAATTTTTTTAATTATGACTGATTCAGTGTTCGGCATTTTCCTAAAATTGTATTCGTTCAATTAAATGCGAGTCTCTAATCAAGCAGTAATTCAAGTAATCAAGTAAGTCTGAGGTACAATAACATACAGAATGATGGTTATAGGAAAAACATTATTGGAAATGGCAACAAGAATCTACTAAGGCAACAACTAAGATAACTAAGGCAACAAGAATCAACATAATATTCCTAAATTGTAGGACTGGTTTCAAAGGTTTAAATACAAAAACCTTCTTCAGTTGCAGAAGTGCAAATGACTGCTCTTTTTGCACTTTTGCAGCTGAAAATAAAAGCTTCTGTATTTAAACTTCTAAACTAGTTCTACAAATTTAGGAATATTGCTCTGGTTTTTGTTGACATAGCACTTTCAGTAATCAAGGAAGACTGACTACCCTCCTTAGCTAATGCATTAGATACTTTACTTATGCTCTTATTATGCATCTGGTATCATGCTTGCTTGTAAAGAGCTTGAAAAGGTCAGCCTTCAAATCAACATAACTGTCACTCCTTTGTAAACAGTAGTTAATGCAGTGTCAAGGTATTAGATACTGGTATCTCTAATATGATATATATATTTTTGTATATTTCAAAAGTGACTGCCCTCAGTGTACTGATAACTGAAAGCAGATTTGATTCCTACTATAGTAATTTTCAAATGCATTGAACCTAATCTAATATAGCCAGTTATAATTCTAGACATTTTTATCGTCTGTAGAAAAACCAAGTTCAATGATGGCAGTTATTGAATTTTTTAATGGATTTACCCTATTCGGGGCAGTTGGATTCTTTTAAGAAAAATATTGAAGTAAAACCTTATTGTATTGGTTTATACAAGTCATATTAATAAAATTATGAATTACAAAGCTAAAAAGTATATACTTCAGGAAACATAAAGAAATGAATATGTAACATATTCATACAAATGCCCCGAGTAAATAATACTTTAAAATGCATCAAAAAAATTTCTCATGTAAAATAAAAGCAAATTTGAATGAAATTGTACATTGTAAATTTTGTTTACTTAAAAGTACTCATTGCTTATTAAAATTTAAATTCCCTGAAATCTGCTAATTCTTTTTGGAGTAAACTGCCAGTAGTATTATGAGCATGTATGTAGTTAAGCTGTGTTTCCTGAACTTTTAAATTGAAACACTTGTGTATACTTGCAAATTATTGCAATCCTCATGTACCTAGTTATAAAGGACATAGAGGGAAAAAATCTGAAATGTTTCAGATTTTAAACTGCGTCCAAAGGGTTTTTTTTTAAATGTTTTGTGTGTTACATTTGTTTACTAAATATCATGTTCTTTGCACTTGAACTATAAAATTCAGTTCAACAGCAATGTCACAAAATAATTTTAAAATAAGCATATCTTTAGAATTTCCAATACACAGTTCTGCGTGCTGGAGATAAAAAAAGTTCCCCCGGTAGAGTGTTGCCATTGCTCACTTTTAAATCATTCAATTTGTTAATCAAAAATTCGTTAAAAGTTTTACAAAATATGAAATAGGTAAAAAAACAAATTTTAAATTTGGGCTTCGAGATGCCCTTATTCGCAGGAAGATTGCGTTATTCAAAATTGGATGGCTCTAGGTACCATTGTTTATCACAGTGCGAGAACCATACATACACTTATGCAGATTCTTTATTATTTGATTTCTTTAAATGTAATACAGGGTGATCATATTTGGTGGCAATAATTTGAAAAGTGAATTGGACATTTATAGTTAACCAACACAAAATGCCAAAACGAAAATAATAGTCCTTCAGGACAAATTACTTCTTTAGACTAAAAATTTTTAAAAAATTTTAAAAAAAGAAAAAAGAAGAAAGGAAGGAAAGAAAACAGGGAAAAGTAATGTAATAAAAAGCTAATAATGACAAAAGTTTTTAAAATGTTTCAGGACCACATAAAGTTGTCTCCAACCTACTACCAGTAATCATTTGTAAGAAATCTGTTATTTCCAGGAAATATGCATTTCTGTGTACATTTTACAGTTTCTGTTAAAACTATAAAAGATTCAATGAATGGAAAATATAATAAGTACAGCCAAAAGTCTTTAATCCAGACGTCCATAATCCGGAATGATTTATCATTCGGACCTCAAAGCTACAAACTTTCTGCACATGCGTATGCGCATAATACATTTACGCATGTGTGTTTAATGTATAACGGATGGTATAAGCTAAGCTAAAATTATCTAATTATCTATTTCAGTTAATGTTGCAGATTCTGTAGTTCCTTAATCTCCGAATTGGATCCGGCTTATTATTTTTTGCAGACTGTTAGAGCAATTTTTTAAAAGTAAGCTGAACTTTCGATTATGTCAAATAGAATTTCCAATTTTGGAGCTGCCAAAGGATCTACAAAGCGAAAGCATGTTTCGATGTCCATCAAGCAAACAGTGGAACTGCTGAAAAAATGGATAAAGGCATATCCTTTGTTTCTCTAACCATTCCGAAATCTGTTTATCAATTTCACGATGCTGTGGGGGGGGCGTCGCGGCACGCAATTAACTGGAAGTTGATCTGTCAGCACTATCCTTATCTTCAGGGCAGATGTTTTTATTTTATTCGGCTTATAATTCCTTCCCAAATGTAGTATTTCATCTCGATGTACTCCGTCTTTGATATGATTTAAATCAAATTCCTCGTCATTATAAATATCATGAATACACATCAAATAGTTTTCTGGTTGCAATTTTCTAATTTCGACTATGCGTAATGTATGCTTTACTTTGCGCATGCACATGTTAAAAGAAATTTTTAATAAAGTAAAATAAATATTAAGCTTTTTTTTTTGTAAATTTTGATACCCTTTAGGTCATAATTGCTCTTTATTTCATAAATTACGGTTTCATATTTTTAATTTTATAATTTCTGCATGCCATCTACCAGATTTAAATTGATGATCTATAATCCGGAAAAACCGATAATTCGGAATCGCCGAAGTCCCGACGAGTCCGGATTAAATACTTTTGACTGTACTAATCCAAGATCCAGAATCGTCAAGACTTCAGTGTTTTCAAACATCAAAAATGTCTCGGTTTTAGATCTTTAATATAAGTCTTGTAAGGTTACATGAGGAAATTATAAAATTAAAAACATGAATGGTTGATTATGAAATAATAAAGCATTGTTGAACAACCAACATTTACAGTGAGGAGGAGGTTTAGTGTTATTTGTGTTTGTTTTGTCATTAACATCTTTTTCAACATAAATTGAAGCACCTAGAACATAAATTTCTTTTTAAGTATTAATATTTCTTCTTTTGTTTTGTGGAGAGACAAAATTTCTTGTTTTACGGAGTAACTGCCTTATGTTCGAGGCCTTTAATTATTACATTGAAAATTTCCTGTAAATAGTGAGTTGAAATCTTTTCAACACCTTCTTATTACTTTTTTCACAGCCAGTGGCAATATTTTTTTTAAATTTAAGATTCAAACTACAGTTTTCACTGTAAATTGCCAATGATTGGGGCATTGTTATCGCAATGAAGGACTTTGACACTTTCTTTTTTGTAGTTGTTATTTTTTGGCATCTTCCCTAATGCAGGCACATTTTTCATGTAATCATGCTCATTTTTCATATAATGATAGTTTTTATTTTTATTTAATTTAATTTTTTAAAATTTATTTAAAGGCTGGTTGCATAAATAAAGAGTGTGTTTGAGTAACCGCCTTATGAAGTTAAAATGTAATTCAAAGCCAAAATGCCAGTATTTTTTCTCATTTCGGCTTATTATTATAAAGTTTGCCATCCGTTGATTGATGATTGGGCAATTGCCATTTAAGTGGAAGACTTTAGTTATATCATCACACTTAAGCATTTCTTCACGATATTACATTAATAAAAAAGTTTAACTTTTTGCTTGCGATGTTATCTGAAAATCTTCAAATTTGCATCTCTCCTCATCCTTATCATCATGTAATATGATAGCTGAGCTGTAAACGCGCCTGGCTCCAGCATTCTCAGCACCCTGTGTGATCAGTGTGATTGATGCCCTGTATAAATAAAACATATTCGAAGCAAAATGTACCTTTAATTTTTAATTATTGCATGTGAAAACAACTTAATTGGCACCCTGAAAAGTTTTGTGCTGTAGGTAATTGCTTATATCACCTGAGCAAACATTTTAAAAGATATCTGCAGATCTGTACTGTCCTGACCTTGCGATGTTTTACACAGTAGATTTTATATTAAAATACTTTTAAGAATTCTAGGAGGGTCTTAATGCTGCACTGATTTTAAAAAGGCTACTTTATATATACTGCTTAACATTGAAAATGCAGCACCAAGAAGGAGTGATCAGAAATTTATGCAAATTTTAGAGTAGATGCACGCCACTGAGTTATGCGAATGATGTGAAATGTGCAGCTCTCCGACACACGTGAAGTAAGATATAAGGAAAGGAACGTGCAGAATGGGCAATATTTGTGTCGTTATTTCTGCCAGACGAATTATCGAAGAAAGTTGGTTTTTTGTCCTGGGGGATACGTGTAATAGGAGAGATTGCCAGGCTGCCGTCAAGGAAGGCACTTCCAGCAGATAGACGATTTTACGAGGGGTATGGTGATTGGACTGAGAAGATTGGGTTGGTCCTTACGTCAAATCGCAGCTGATACCCACATGGATGTGAACACGGTGCATCGGCTATGGCGAACATGGTTGGAACAAGGAAATGTGGGAAGAAGGAGGGGTGCAGGTGCAGCCAGAGTGACGTCAGCATGCATGGATCGACACATCTGCCGACAAGCTGTGGCGGTGCCGTAAGTCACTTGCACTGCAATTCTGTAGCATGTGCAAGATACCCTAGATGTTCCCGTGTCGACCAGAATCATTTCCCGTCGATTCGTTGAACATGGCCTGCACTCACGCCGTCTGTTAAGAAGACTGCCATTGACCCCACAGCATAGATGCCAACGTTTGGAATGATGCCGGACTGGAGCGTTGTGGATGACAGAATGACGAAATGTCGTGTTCTCAGATGAGTCACGCTTCTGTTTATCCAGTGACAGTCGCCGCATATGTTTGTGGCGTCGATGTGGATACAGATCTAATCCTGCAGTAACTGTGAAACACCCCACTGCACGACAATGTGGCATAATGGTTTGGGGCACTATTGCCTACGATTCCAGGTCACCTCTAATTTGTATTCAGAGCACTATGATGGCCCAATAATACTTGGATAATGTACTGCGGCTGGTGGCAATCTCCTAACTTCAGGGGCTGCGTAATGCAGTTTTTCAGCAGGTTAATGCCAGACCACACAGTGCTCCCATCTGCCAATATGCTCTGCAAGGTATACAGATGCTTCCCTGGCTACCATACTGTCCTAACCTGTCAACAATCGAACATGTGTAGGATGTGATTGGATGCCATTTGCAGACTCTGCCCCTGCCTCGTTCAGAAGACAAACTGCGACAAATGGTTGAAAGGGAATGGAGAGCCATCCGTCAGGACACCATGCGCTCTCTTATTGACTCTATGCCTAGACGTGTTTCTTCGTGCATCGCTGTTCGTGGTGGTCCTACATCCTACTGAGCTGACACTGTTCTTGCTCTGTATTCTGACTCATTTTGAAATAAAGATCACGTATTGCTGCTTGCTGTCTCTGTCTTTTTTCCAAATTTCATCTCTTTCTGACCACTCCTTCTTGGCGTTGCATTTTCAATGTCGAGCAGTGTATGTATTTTAGCGCGTGCAAAATTTTGGTACTCTTTGTCTGATTAAGGGATATAAATTATTGCATGTGAAAACAACTTAATTGGCACCCTGAAAAGTTTTGTGCTGTAGGCAGAGTTGCCAACTCTCCCGATTCCTTTTCGACCGCTCTCCTGCCAACCCGATTTACAATATATTTCTCCAGACTTTTTCTTATTCTAAAAATTTCTCACGACTTTTATGCAACTTGGCTTAATACATTGTTATATGAATAAAAACAAAGTGCTTTTGGTTGTCTGAAAGCAATTGAATTATTCTACATTATATCTAAAACAAAACCTTGCTAATCGGATAGCTTCTGCTTTGTGAGTGAGAGCATTATACGTATCCAGAAACGTCGTTCTCCAGTTCTCCAATGGGCTTCGAGCTCCACTGCGTGTCAGCTGGCATATATTAGGCAATGAGGACAAAGCAAGTTGTTATTTGGACGTTCTTTTTAGTTATTTCGTTCATTTTGTCCTGAGTTGTGTGAGTACACGTGGCTTAGGGAAATAGTTTTAGAAATTATCATCTTTTGTTACGTCTGCGAGAAAGGTGAAATACTCGTGTACGTTTCAAAAATCGTACACAGTTGACTTTCCTTCCATTAATTCCTCAAGGAAATGTAATAAATTTGCGATGTGTACCACCTGTCGTTGCGATTTTTCGATTTCGTATGTTGGAAGGGCGGATGTTCTCAAACATGTGCGTACACAAAAACACAAGGATAACATGAGTTGTTTTGAAAAAACGAAAAATTAAATTTTTCTTTCGGAAACAAAGGACCAAAAAGTTATTAATGCAGAATGTCTGTTCTCTGCCTTTTTACTGGAGCACAACCTGCCACTGAATGCATCGGATCACGCTGCAGCTTTATTTAGAAAAATGTTTCCCGATAGTAAAATCGCTAAAAAATACTCAAGGTGCAAGATTCAAAACAGGATCAATTGTTAAAGAAATGGGTTTGAAAAATAAATCTTCAGTTATTGATAGCATTAAAACAGCTCCTTTCTGCCTCTCTACAGATGGAAGTAATAATACCAATTCAAAACTGTATCCAATTGTTTCTTTTTTTGATCCAGAGTCTTCAGAACTTGAGTGCAGTTTACTTTATGTTCCTACTTTAGAAGGACATTTGACAGGCTTTAATATAGCACAGCTAATTATTAAAACTTTAAAAGAAAATACAGACCCTCTGGATAATTGCTTAGCACTTGGTGCCGATAATGCACCAGTATTGGTAGGCTTGGAAGACTGGTGTTGCAGGCATCTTAAGAAAAGGAAAATTCAGATTATGAGGTGCACCTGTCACCTCTTAAATTTAGCAGCTGAAAAAGGGGCAGCTTCTTTACCAATAAATGTGGATGAACACATACTTGATATTTATTATTATCTTGAAAGGAGTTCTAAAAGGAAGGAAAAATTGAAACAATCCATTCAAGTTTTCTAATTGTAACAGCTGCATAACAGCAGTTTACAATTAGAAAACTTGGATGAAGTTATAAAATCAGCTAGGATTGACACCCAGTGGAGTTTAATTGGAAAAGTGAAAGGTGCTGATGGAACTGTAAAATATAGTGAACTGTCTAGAATTGTGTTACCATCTTGACAGTTCCCTATAGTAATGCAGAGTGTGAGAGGATTCTCAGTGTTGTTGCGAAAACGAGGACTAAATTTAGATCTAATATTAGTGATGACACATTCGAAAAACTTTTATTAGCGAAAACAGGCCTACGTGGCAATTGCTGTGAACAAAATTATGAAGTTTCTTTCTTAAAGAAAGCAAAATCTGCCACTGTTTATAACATTTGTACGAAAACTAAAGTGTTTTTTTTTTTTTTTTTTCTTAAACAATGCAAGTAATAAAAATGTTTTTTATGTGTAAGGTATTTTTTTGTTGCTTGCATTTAAGAATTAGTTACTATTTAAAGTTAATTCATTATTAAAAACTATATTTTTATCATTTAAAAAGTCTTTTTAACATTGTGAAAAATCTCCCGATTTCTTAAAAAAATCTCCTGATTTTTGAGTGTCATAGGTTGGCAAGTATGTGTAGGTAATTGCTTGTATCACCTGAGCAAACATTTTAAAAGATATCTGCAGATCTGTACTGTCATGACCTTGCGATGTTTTACACAGTAGATTTTATATTAAAATACTTTTAAGAATTCTAGGATGGTCTTAATGCTGCATTGATTTTAAAAAGGCTACTTCAAAGTATTAATTTTGATAAGATGTTAATAATGGAAAATTGCAGATTGCACTGCTAACTGAGCATAAATTAATCAGAACCTAATTCGTTGCTATGCCAGCAAAAGAAAACAAGTATGAGCAAAATTCCACTCCAACCAAGCATGGGTCTTCAGAGTTGTTGTGTATAGAGAATACTTTTTGTGTATAGGATTAGATAGGATGGGAAAATGCTGCCTCTCCCACATACGCAACCATTCAAGAGCCAAAAATAAAAATGGGATTCACTAGCCAGCAAGTGTTTAAAGCTGAAACAGTTGCAGGATGATTTAATTATTATCACCATTAATGATGCCTCCCCCCCAAAAAAAAAGACTCATCTAATCAGAACAAAAATTGATTTACGGCATACATGGCTTGAGTATCATATTACCCATACCTGCGCTGCATGAGAAAGAAAAGTGTTATGGGAATTCCAGATAATAGATATCATTAATGATTATTAGATATTCAGATAATAGATATCATTAATGATTATTAGATATCATTAATGATTATTATATATAATTCCAGTTATTGGATATCCAGATTTCAAACTTTGTACCATATATGTAACATGTGGTAGAATGAACATTCATTGCGAAATATGTAATTGTCTTTCACATGGTGAAAGACACAATTTGAAAAATAAATGACTAATTTTGCATTTATATTAGTATGCCGACTTGGATATAAGATGATTTATTTTTATTAACCTTCCAGCGCTCGTGTATGCGCAAAATTTACGACAATTCAGTTTTTAATGCACATTTTTTGCATATCGAAGCCGAGACGTCTGTAGGTCATATCTGTTTTTCCTTTCTATCCTTCCCCACATCATGAAATGTGCCAACAGGAAGTCATTTGGCTTTTTTTTTAACTGGGCTTCTTTGGTACGTGGCAGCTTTTTCATAAAATTTACGACACGCACGTGGTCGTGTTTTAAAATTCGAAAAATATTTTTTTCTCAGATATTTTGTAATTTTATGTTATTAATTGCAGTGTATTTTTTTTATTTGCATATATCTGGCTCTGTAAATTTTATATTGGTTTTCATGGCAAAAAAATATGTGCAACCAGCTAATTTTGCTGAGATTCAAGAATTAACGGATGAAGAAAAGGAAACCTTTAGATGGGAGAACGATAGCAATTTCCGTTCTTTATTTTCTTTTATTTCTATTTTTTAAAAATAGATAAAAACATTAAAGTTAGTTTAAAGTGCATTTTTGTAACCAGTAAGAAGTAAATTTCCTTGCAGAAGTAAGTAATGCTAAACTTACTTTTTTTCCTACCAAGGTGTTTTCCTTTTTTATTGTCTGTACTTGTCTTTGATGAATATTAAAATTAGCTTCGATTTTAAAGTATAATTATTAAATAATAAATTTAAAATTTTCTATAATGAAATACATCATTACATTTCTATCTCACTAACATAAGAACTTAAAAATAATTTATATATATTTGAGTGTGATATCATTTGTATTTTGCAGTAATAAGATTAATATTTTATTTCTTAATACATTTATTATCAATATTCACTCATTTCTGTCGTTTTTCATGCCAAAAACGGTAAAATAACAGATGTAAAAAATACGACGTGCGAGTGCTCATGTAAAATTGCTAAGCGTATGTGCTGAAAGGTTAAATACCCATATAAAAATTGTATTTGCCCTTTGTGCCTAACCTGACATGTAAGAAAACATATTTGCTCTCTCTCTCTCTCTCTTTTTTTTCAGTAAGTTTGTCGAGTATGTGAGATCATTTTATTTTCAGACCAATATGGTATTTTAAAATTTTATGTTTTTGCCAGAATTTCATAATTATAAATTTGATCTAATATTTAGTTAATAGAAATATACATGAAGGCTGCTTTTGTAAACTATATTTATGGTTTATGTTTAATGTACTTAAAAATGTATTTTCAATTTTAGAATAAAGTTCTTTCTACTGGTGACAGTCAAGTTGATGAAGCCTTGCTAGAAGGTCATCTAGGTGTAACCCGAGAACTTGTATCTTTCCTTGGGCCAGACCGAAAATATGAAGTTGGAGCAGATCCTGGAGTTCAACGAGGCAATCTTATTAAAGTAATTAATAGTATTTTTCTGCATTAAATTTCTTAGTTTGTTTACAGTATGAGAGCAAAGAAATTAAAGCAATACAAGCATGAAACAGAAAGGTGACGAAGCTGTGGGAGCCCAGAGTTGAAGAAAGATCATAGTAATCTAAACAAGAATCCTTGTTGGTGTACATTTGGGATCAAAATCTGAGATTTCAAGATGGTTTAGCATGTCCCAAATCATTCAGAGCTTTGAATATGTTGCCAGAATGAGAAGACAGTCATTGTATGTCTCATACTTGAGATGTCTTTTTCCCCATAACAACATTAGTCCAAGATATGATCCTTATTTGTTTTAACTATTTTGCATATTTGAAGCTTGGCATTTCATAGTATGAAGAAATCTTGCTGAATAACTTTCATCAAGCATACATAGAGTGTTGCTGGGCAGTGTTAAGACAAGTTCATAAGTGCAGGTTTTTACAAAACGTCCCAAAGTGTGCACAAAAATGATTATAATGGAATTATAAATATGCCAGTGGACAAATTTTTAGGAGTGATGGATTCTTATGCTTTTCTCTTATGAATTGCACTTTATTATGCAAAATAATTCTCAACATGTCTGCTTGTACATGAGAGTGAATTATATGTATGTTCCTAATTAAGGGGCAAATTAACTGAGTTGATAGTTGATAATTAACTAGACCCTCTTTTTTTCTTTAAAAAAATCATATTTCTTTACTGTGGTACAATGGCAAAATTACTATTTATATCAGTATAAAGTAAAGTTTTTATAGAAAATATGAAAGAAGAGCATTATACTTCAGCAGCAACAGCAGTGATAGCAGATGGTGTCACAATATTTGGAAATTGTTTTTACCCACAACAGTACATAATGTAATTGTACAGGATTTGGAATATAAAAGCTGTACAGTACATAAAACAGATTAGCAGATTAAAACAGATTTGATTTATAATCGGAAAAAAAACTAATCCGTAATCCGGAGATTCCGGATTAGTTTTTTTTTTTCCGATTATAAATCATCAATTTAAATCTGGTAAGATGGCATGCACAAATTATACAATTAAAGATATGAATCCATAATTTATGAAATAAAGAGCAATTATGATCTAAAAAGTATCAAAATTTACAAAATAATTAAAAAAAGACTAATATTTATTTGTTTACTTTATTAAACATTTCTTTCAATGTAAGTTGTTTAAGTTGCTTCATTTTTTCATTCATAAAGCATACCAAAAAAAGTTGTGGCTTTGAGGTCCTAGATCATTCCGGATAACGGACGTCTGGATTACGGACTTTGTACTGTATTTTACACTATCTATTAAAAATAAATTATTAAATGATAAACATAAATCCAAGCCATTAATCTTTTGATTTCCATAGACTCTTTTGAAGTGCAAGAGTAATATAAACAAAAATGCTTTTTGTAAACTGTGTGTTTGTTTTAAATGGTGATTTAATTTATATTATTAAATGAACTTAATTTCCAAATCAAACTGCTTAAAAATAAAAATAAACTGTTTTATATTTTACTATTAATTACAATAAGAGTTAGTCCTCTTTCCCCCTTCTCCCCCCTTTTTTTTTCTTTTCCTAACCAAATCAGCTTGAATTAGTCAGGTCTTGAATTAGTTTAATTGTGTTAGTTCCTGATATTATCCTAGTTAATCAGAAATCTAATCTGTTTTATGTATGGAAATAAAGCTTATGTTGCGAAGGCTGGCACAATTTGAAATTGAAGAATTAGCTTGATTCTTCATGATAAGTTATTGTTGTAATAGTTATTGGTACAGGGTTGCCATGCTATCTTGAAAACTTCGAATTCAACAATTGACCAAAAAAAGTATGGGAAAAGTCAGGAAATTTAAATATTTTAGTCAAAATGTGGAAAAGTTAGGGAATTTCACTCTTTGATCCTCAAAAAAGCAATTTTTGTGCCAATTCAGAAGCATCACATTCTTGGTGAATCATTTGCCAACTAGCATAGAGCCAATTTTTACAACACCAATCAGCTTGTCTTTTAGAAAGGCAAAGTAAGCTTCCAGCATCTTTTGGTTTCCAGTAACTTGAGAATCTAGAGATTCGCATGCGCATGTGCAGTGCACGTTGAGCGAAAGTAAATTACCCCCATTCTTGTATAAAACAAAATCTTTTAAACCTTTTTTTCTTAAATGCCTTATTTGTCATTTTGCAGTAAAATTAAAAAAATAATAATAATAAGTCATCTAGGTTAACCATTTAATATATCTATCTATATTTGCCAAAATTCCATCGATTTTTGTAATTCACTTTTTAATCCTTAAGTAATTAACTTAATTGTAATGTTATTCATATCATTTAATGTGTCTTCTTTCTTCTAAATTTATTTATTATTAGTTAGTAATACTTTTAAATTTCAGGCAATATTCTCTGGCATACTTATGAAACTAATTCAACAGTAATATGACATACCATTACTAAATTTAGTGCACATATATTTTACTTATGTATGCTGCTAAATAAGTATAAAATACTTGAATTTATTTAAAAATAATATTGAATAGATTAGCTGCAAAATGTGTGCAAAAAAGACATTTTAAAATCCCGATTGGGCAGATTCTAATTTTAATCCTCAGTGGAGAAAACAGCTCATGTTATATAGTTATAAAATAATTCTTTGGAGAAGTCATATGTAATTGGCAAATTTTTGTGTTTTTAAGTGGTACCATAATTAATTTGCCCACAGCACAGCCAACGTGTATTATGTGAATAGTCTGGAATTTTCTTGAAATGCATCTGGAAAAGTCGGGATGTCAGTCTCCTGTTTGAGTGGAAACCCTCTTGGTAACACATGTCCACTTGTTTGCGTGCCTACTTGGCTCTGCATTTCTCTTAATCTAAGATGATGCTCAAATTGAGTGAGTTTTTCTGTAGATGACAAGATTTTTGGGGTTGCGGAATGACAAGCAAGACCTCTAAAGTTAGTCTAACAGAGTTTTGAGATGTATTGTGGATGAATTGTTGTAGATCTGCAGAATGTCATTATTTATCAGATTGCTTTAGATTTGGGATTAGATAATATGCAAAAATGCTGCAAGGCTTTTATCATTATAAGGGAGTGAGTAACCCATTGTACTGAGACCATGTTCGACTCATTTTGTTCCTTGTTCTTAAGTTTGTCTTTTATCTTTTAATTCTGACTGTCTTGTTATTTACATCATCTGTTAATTTTTAAGATTAATATTAATGTGTTATTTCATTTTTCAGCATGTTATGTATACATATTACATCTGTGCCTAATTGTATTGCAGCTTCCTTCACCTTTGTGATTCCATTTTGTTTTGATATTTGTAACCTAACTGCACTGTGTTTTGTGTACTATTAATGCCATGGAAGATATTGTGAAAAATAAGTTTTTGTAGCCTGATACTTGAAGCAAGTAAATAGAAATTTGATTAGTGAAAAAATGTTCTCATCATAAAATAAATAACAAATAAAATACACCATTTTTGCTTCATTATTTATGTTAAAATTAGCTTTAATTTAAGTATAAAACTTTGAGATGTGCAATAAGTTTGAAAACTATTATTGATAAAAAAAGGATCCTCAAAATTTGTTCTGTATATGATATAATATGTTAAGTTTTATGAAAGTAAGAAATCTTCCATTTGCAAAGATGCTGTTTTTCAACTAGAATTAGCTACTTTGTTCATTGTGAAAGGCATTATTGTAATTTTATTTATTTATTTTAAATTAAGGAACTTGTTGAAGATTTCATATTCCCAGCTTCAAGAGTTGTTCTTCAAGTTCAGCGCAGTGGTGGAGAATTGCCATCAGAGCAAGCAATCCCAGTTTGCTCATCATCATCATCAGTGGTTGCTGCATTTGATTTACTTGTTGGTCTCTGCACAGGTTGTGCTCAAAATTTGAGACTTCTTGTTGAAATGCTTTGTGAGATGTTTTATTCAGGTATTATTTTTATTACAATTTTAGAATTTTTCTTACTTGCCTGATTTTATTACATTTTCTATTATTTATTATAATTGTTGTTGTTGTTCTGTGGAGTTTCTCAGCTGACTAAATGAAATTTTAACTTTGCTTCGCTAAGTAATTAACCTTTGACAGTAATCAAAGTCTTTTGTCATTGCTTTCTTAATGATAATATATACTATTCTCATTATAGTACAGCAGCATTAGCTAGGAATAACATCCATTTTTCATACAGTTGCTGTAATAAAAGGACTCAATTTTAGTAACATTCCGTTAAACCAACATAATAATTTTAAGACAATCTGTGAAATTTAAATGTTTGTGTAACATGTATGTGCATACATGTTACTACTGTCCCTAAAAGGCACTGCAAGAAAAATGTGGACATAATATTCTTTCAAGTAATAAATCAAATCATGATATATGTCATAAAAAAGAAGAGGGGAAACTAATTTTAAGGTTTGCTGCATTAAATGTAATGGTAACTCATCAGTACTTTTCTCACATTTTCTGAAGTTGTTGATCACGTTCAGAAGTGTTGTCATAAATGACTGATAAAACAGTTAATGAAGATACATAAATATTGGGATTCTTTCCTTTTAGAGAAGAAAGGAAGAGGGTTATTTTGTAGGCATGGGATTTAAGTTAGTTTTATAGCTGTAAATGTTATAATAGTTTTAAACACTGAAAATCCAGTACATATTGGGGGTGCCTAATGTAATCCATAAATTTCTCAAATAAATGACTAAACTTAATTTTTTTGTGGGTGAGGATTTATTTTCTCATTTTGCCTCCAAGACAAATTGTTGCCTTAATTAATCTGTACTAACTATAGTATGAAATAAGAGAAAATTTCATATAATATATGGGCTTTTATCTTCGATCATATGTATGTAGAAACTGTGGTGTATCATAAATTATCATAAGGGCTATTATGGCTGGACACAAACTTTTTAAAAAGTCGGAATCATTGGTAATGAAATAATGTATCAGGGATAATGGTATATATACTCCATAGCCAGTTACACACTTAGATGTGAAGAACATTTAGCATATAAAATATTGATGAAATATTAAATTAATCAGCTGATTTTTTGAAGAGGTTATTATGATAGTCTACAATTTAGTTTTGCATAATTTGTTAATAATTCAATATAGGCTTTCAGCAAATATGATATTCACTATGTTGATTACTTTTATTAGAATTGAAATTATTTAAATTTGAATTCAACTGTTCTTTTTTAAATACTAAATTTCATTCAAATAAAATGCAGATGGTACTTGATTTTCAGCACTAGTTTATTTTCACTAATTAACTCTTCAATGGTCATAAACAAGCTTAGCTCACATTCCAGTTATGGACCACAGTGGGCGCGAATGACCCTGCTCGCATTCCTGATTTACGTCTGACAGATATCGCGCGTACTTGGGAAGAAAGAATTACTTAATCTCGTAACCACCGAAGGGTTAAATACTAAGTGCCTTTGATGGCTGTTGTGTTTAGGTCACTCTAATATAGCTACCGACTCTTCTTAATGTTAAGAAAGCTGTTTCAGTTATGCAGTTGAATAGCATGGTTCTTTGTAAGTGTTCATAAATAAAAATGTATTAAATAGTAAATCACCATATAGAAATAATAGATAATCATTATATATTATGTAGTAAATCTCCATATAGAAATAATGGATAACTATTATATATTAAATCGTAAATCTCCATATCGAAAAATTATCTTTGGTTGAAATATAGCATTAGATCACTTTAAATTTAGTGAAACAACAATCACTTTCTTCTGTATAGTTATAATGAGAAAACATGTAGACTGCTAGAAGTTCACCTGTGTCATTCATATTGTCGAAAGAAAGGAAGACCAAGTGAAATTCATTGTCACAATTATTCTGCTCTTCTTGGAGAATGGAAGGAGTGCACATATAACACTTTTTCATGTTAAATTTTCTTCCCCTTAAGCAGTACACAGCATATAGGATGGAAAGTGATATAAGAGGCCATTCTCAATCATATATTTCTTAATTATTAAATGAATTACTTGTACATAGTCTTAATTGTGGAGAATCGCAATCGTTCCATGTAGTTATCCCATGAATTTTAGAAAGATGCTTTGTATGCACACGCATGCCTAGGTATTTTTCCACCAAAACATGTGCAATAAATTTTTATAATCATGATTTTATTCAAAAATTTGTTTTAGATTGTTTTGATATCAAAATCTTCAATTTTTAAAAATATTTTATATATGTTAATTAGCTAACGACCACCCTCTGACGGAGTGGGAGTATCTTCCACCTGTTGGACCAAGACCTCCTAGAGGATTTGTAGGCTTAAAAAATGCTGGCGCCACCTGCTACATGAATTCTGTACTTCAGCAGTTATATATGATAGAAGACATTCGAAATGGCATTCTTTCTGTGGAAGGTGCAGCTACAGATTTAAATGAGGACTTTTCTGGTGAAGAAAGGATTGAAAATGAAGTATGTTTTACATCTAACAGTCATATGAAAATCTAAAACAGGTTTTCAAAAATCTTATATAATGAATTGTTTTAGCAAGGGCCTTGATCGATTACAGTACAGTTGACAGTGCCCAAATGTAGCCAATGCAATTTTTAATCAAATACAGTATGATTAATAATAAAAAAATGATATAATTACAATTAAGGCTGGTACAATTACATTTACTACAGTTAATGTAGCTCCAGGTTTTTCATCAGGTCTCCTAGCCTCCCACTAGATCTTCAAATTCTCATTTTTTCCCCCCCTATACTAAAATGTTTTTCAGCAGTAAATAAAATTTGAATTGTGAAAATTCTCTTGCAGATTTCATTACAATTTTTCTTACCAAATTCTATTTTATCAGAATTGACTTAATGTATAGTAGACATTTGTGAAACTTTTCAAGCACTGTTTAATTAAGTTTACATCAGTATGTGGTATGTTACTAAGGTTATCCATACAACGGTATGTACATTATTTATTAATTTTATTCTCATCTTATTTAAAAGTACTTTTGATAAATACAAGTTTTTCTTTCCCGTTCATAAAATTCCCAGTGTAAAAGTATTAGAAAATTACAAAATAAAACTAGCCAAAGAGCATAAAATTTAGAATATGTTGTTAAATATTTAAAAGAATAATGTAAAGTTAAATTTAATTTTAAATAATTCTCTTGTGCCATTGCTGCAAGGAATGAAATTTAAATTTAACAAACATTCTCTATTCGTAAAAGCAAATTTAAAGTTAATAAATTTAAAGGAAATTTAATGCAAACAAATAAATGATTAAATATTGTGAACTAATCTACAATATCATTCAAATTCGGAGAGCATATGTAAATCAAGTGCAAGTATCAAAATCAGTGAATAAATATAAAATTAAAATTCCAAAAATAATGTAATCCTAAAAATTTTATTAGAAAAATGCATAAGTGAATGTTGAGCAGGCAGGAGACAGACTTATCAAGGGGAAGTTCCCTCCAACCATAACTCTTTAATCATTCAGTTCGTGGTTCATCATCCATCCATGTAGGCAAGGGTAAAAGTCAAAACCAAAAGTAATACCAAATGAGGTGAATTACTAAAAAGAAATTTAAACAAGTGGAATTTTGAGATTAAAAGACTAGAATTAAAAATTTAAAAATGAATAAATAAGGGTAAGAAACCAAAGTAATTTAGAAACTTGCCTACAGAAACTTCCCCGGCACGAATTATGCATATAAATTAAAAAGAAAATAGACATTATCTATAAAAAATAATACATAAATTATACTTAAATAATACTAAAAAGGCAAGTAAATAGTAAGTTTTAATTTAATTTACCAACTATATTTGTTTTTGGGGAGTGGAGAAGCATTGCCGAACTAAGTGATGTTAAGAGTGTGTTTAGAGTGCGCTAATGTAAGGTTAAGTTGAGTGTAAAGCTGCTATCTGTGATCAATTAAAAAAAAAACCTATTTTGTAAACTTTTCAGTAATGTAAAATGTGTGTTCTATTGTGAAAATGTATAAAAAAATTGTAAAATGCAAACTGTAACGTTATGTAAAAAAATGTTGTAAACTATTAAGGAATGTAAAATTAAGGATGTAAAAATTGAGAATGAATGTTTGTTAAATTCAAATTGTTAAATATTTAATATACTTTCACATCTGAATCATTATAAATAGTATAGTTCAATAACCTGAATTATGCATTATAAAGTATTATTTGTGCTTTGTAAAAAAGCTTTCATTGATTTTTATGTATATCCAATTTTACTGGAAGCTGTGCATAGAATGATAAGGGTACAAACTTGCTGCAGGCGATTCTTTCAGTCTATTACTGTTTTGTCAGCCTTACACTGCTGTCTTGTGCCCCATTCAGTATATGTTAATTCTCTTGAACAGCTATAAATGAACTGGATTGTTATCATGAATGTGATTTTTTAGACCTTGAAATCTTCCCCTCACCTCGAAAGTGCAAGGAAGAATTACAGTTAATTTTAACTCTTGGTCATAAAAACAGAAGGTGGTCAGTCTATTGAGAATAAATCGAAATTACATCAATGGAAAGCACAAATATTACAAGTGTGAGGTGTGTTGTGATATCTTGCTTATTCATTATTAGTACTAAATCATGCTGCTTAGCAAAAAGATTTCTGTAAATGTCAGGAAAATCCATGTACATATAAACCAGAACCTCATTTAATAATTAAAATTCATATTTTGAATTGCTAAAGTATGTTTTCTTTTGATATGTTGATAATATTTTCTGACTTATGCTAAATATTGATAATTTGGCGATTTAAAAAAAAAAAAAAAAAAAAAAAAAAAAAAAAAAGGTAACTTAGATCCCATAAGTAACTTTTACTGAATTGAATTATATTACCATATTTTTTCTTATGTAAAAAATCACCAGATTGTATCAAAGAAGTTCCATTAAAAGTAGGTACCTATTATTTCTTTATTCATTGATGACATTCAGGCATGTAATTCATGAAATGACACTGCTTCAATGGGTATAAAGCAGTATTATTATTTGTAAACACTTGTAATTTTGTAAAGATTCAACGGGATTCAACAAGTGTTTACTGTTTATCCATTTCATTGTATTCATTTAGCAGTAGTATTGTTTGTAAACACTTATAAAGAGTCAACATCACAAGTGTTTACAGTTTATTCATTTCAAATTCCAAGCAGAAATGCATCTTTTTGGCCTATGCTTAAAAGTACACAAATAATGAGTTAAAAGGCTAAATTCAAATAATGGATAAATTCACATGAGTAGAGCATATGCAGCTGCTTTTTTGATGGTCTGGAACAGGACCTAGGCTAAACTATCAACTTCTAGCAATTCTAGCCAACACATGCATAAATATACAGAAGTATGTAAATATAACTTATTACATATTCTATGGTTTCTCTAGAAAGTAACATCTATTTGCACGCCACACGAATTTGAAGAGTTGGCTTGAATTGAATAAATTTGATATTTATTTCATGTTTTCCTACATTCTCTTCTGCATGCTGTATGAATCTGCATGTATAAAAATAATTTTATTATAATGTACAATAAAAAATAGGTATACTTGAAACCTTTTGGAAAATGAAAGTTTTATATATCTTTAAATAAGAGGTTAAGTGTTCTAACATAGCACTAACTGTTCAGAGGAAATTCTGCTTCAAATGTAAAATGATTTTGTGTGTGTTAAAAAAGATGTATGGGAAAATTAACATATTAAATGATGTTTATTAAAATTTGACATTGGATTAAATTATATTTTTTAATTTGCAGTATAAAAAAAGTTGATTATTATTTCATGCAGAGAGAATGTTATTTTTATTCCATAACACAAGGCATTTATTTTTGCTATTTCATTTTATAGCAACAGGGTATAATAGAATCGGATATTGAAGGGTGTGAAGAGAAAGGATCACGAGAAGAAACTAGAAAAGAGTACAATTTAGGTGTATTAAAACAAGTTCAAGCAATTTTTGGGCATTTAGCTTGCAGTAAGCTTCAGTATTATGTACCACGAGGATTTTGGAAACATTTTAAGTAAGTTTCTTCTTCCTTTTTTAATGTCTATTTAATTAACTAAATTTACTTAAATCTTATTTCCTCATAATTGGAAATTGGGAAGAAAGCAGTATTTCTGACCTGTGAAACTGTAAATTTCTTTTCTTTAAAAAATTACTTTTCAGGAAGTAGTTTTCTTGGAGAAGAATTGGACATTATGCTTTTCTGTAATAACATTTAGTTAATTATTCATATTTAAGTACTGTTTATTGAATATTTGATTTATTGGAAGAACCTTCTAAGATATGTTTCGGGTTTTTAAAATACTGATACTGATTAAAATTACACATTTATAATTAAGGTTCAAAATTCAATCAAAAAGTAAATTATTCAGTAATGTAAAGTTAATACTATAGAAGTCGTATTCTACTTTTTGGATGTATGTAGTTGGTTTTTAAGTGGGTTTTTTTAAGTATGCAGACCGAAAAGCATGGAGAATTCGTTAAATTATTATACTGTCAAGTGCTTGCAGAAGGATTTTGAATACAGTCAAAAGTCATTAATTCGGACACCCATAATCCGGAATGATCTATAATCCGGACCTCAAAGCTAAAAACTTTCTGCGCATGTGCCACGTTGACACATGCGCATAGGCGTTTACACGTGCGCGTAAGACCTTTTACGATTGCGCATATGCGTGTGCGCAAGCGCAGAATACGTTTCCGTGTGCGCGTTTTATGTATGACGGACGGTATAAGCTAAAATTATCTAATTATCTATTTCAGTTAATGTTGATGATTGCATTGTTCCTTAATCTTCGAATTGGATCCGGCTTAGACTGTAAGAGCAATGCTATAAAAGTAAACTTGAACTTTCGATTATGTCAAATAGAATTTCCGATTCTGGAGCTCCCAAAGGATCGTACAAAACGAAAGTATGTTTTGATGTCCATCAAACAAAAAGTGGAATTGCTGCAAAAAATGGATAAAGACATGAAGAATGTGACAGAGAGGTTAATGAAAATGAAAAAATTTCGATTGACAAGTTAGTCGGTATTCTCGGCACAGCAATTAACGGGACTTGAACAGCGGAACTTTGTAACTGAACAAGAAACAGGGTTGCCACGCTACCTGGAAAACCGGGAGAACCGGGAAAAGTCAGGGAATACGAAAATTGACCAAAAAATTCAGGGAAAAGTCAGGGAATTTAAGAAGTATTTTTGTCGAAATCTGGAAAAGTCGGGGAAGTTCATACAATGATCCCGCCAAAAAAAGCGATTTTTGCGCCAACGTCGGAAGAGATAACTTTTTTGGCGAATTGCGTATCACGTGAGTGTCATTCAGGCAGCTGGCATAGAGCCAATTTTCGCAGCTCCAATTTGATTGTCTTTTAGAAAGGCAAAGCAAGTTTCCCGCAACTTTTGGTTTCCAGTATTCTCTAGAGAATCGCATGTGCAAGTGCATGTTGAACTAAAGAAAGTACCTGTTCTCCTATAAAACAAAATGGGTTTAATCTTAGTATACGGTACCATGGAAAGGTTAGAATCAAAGAATATGTATTGTAAAGAAGGAAAACCTCTCTGCAACAGGACGTGGCTCCGTTCCAACCATCATAGAGGGAAACAGCTGTGCATGCGTGATATATCTGCCGCCAAAGCTCGAAACCGGTGTCGAAGTTCGAAGGTCATTAAATGAGTTCATTAAATGAATATCCTTTAAAATTTCTTTAACCACTTGTGCTGAAAAGACGCGGCAAGCACGTCGAGATGTTTTTGTCTCGAACCGCAAGCGACGTGAACACCACGTCGATAAGCATTTATCGCAAAAATGAAAATAACATGGTGCACACGTCGCCTAACAACAAGATTGTTTATTTCTCGAGTTACAGCTCTGGATTGCACTCGCAGATGTGGAGCGGCGTAAATGAGACACTTTACCGCTTGCTATATTGTAGTGCACGGCACCGCAACCGTGAAGTTTAGTCTTAGCGCAAGTGGTTAAACTCTAAAGGAAAAGAAAATATTTTTTTGCCGCAAGTAAATTAATTCATGGGTTAGTAATTTTCAGGGGGGGGAACTACGAAAATCCGTTTTTAAAATTATTGCGAAAAATCTAAGAAGAAACGTCCTTTGATAAAACCTTTCTTCTTGGATTTTTCGCAATAATTTAAAAATGGATTTTCGTAGCTTTCTTTTTGTCAAAGAATGTCCCTCCGCATTCTAGCGGCGTAATAGCATTTTACTTCTATGGAACCTTTTCTTCTTTACATAGACCAAAGAATTAGAGATTCTTTGCATAGACGTTCTTTGGTTAGAATAATCTCCATGTATGGTACAATGGGATTTGGCGACATGATGATGCGCAGTAAACGGGTCATTTTGGTCTTGGCGACAATTTTCAAAATCGTGCCAAAGCCTTACCGTATACTAGAATTTTAATGCAAAATCTTTTTAAACCTTTTTTTTTTTCTTTTTAATAAATACCTTGTCATTTTGCATTAAAATAAAAAAATAGTAATCAGTCATCTAGGCTAGCCATGTAATATAGTAACTATATTCGCTAAAATATCGTTGATTATTCTAATTCAATTTTTAAGTAATTATTTTTATGGTTTTCATATAATTTAATGATGCTTCTTCCCTCTAAATTTATTTATTATTAGTAAATAATATTTCCAAATTTCAGGAAATTTTCTCTGGCATAATCTTGAAATTAATTCTAGCAGTATGATGACATACCATCACGAAATTTAATGCACATATTTTTTCCTTATGTATGCTGCGAAGTAAATATAAAATACAGTCAAAAGTCGTTAATTCGGACACCCATAATTCGGAATGATCTATAATCCGGACCTCAAAACTAAAAACTTTCTGCGCATGCGCCGCGTTGACACATGCGCATAGGCGTTTACGCGTGCGCGTAAGACCTTTTACGACTGCGCATATGAGTGTGCGCAAGTGCAGAATACGTTTTTTCGCGTGCGCGTTTTTATGTATAATGGACGTATAAGCTAAAATTATCTAATTATCTATTTCAGTTAATGTTGATGATTGCGTGGTTCCTTAATTTTCGAATTGGATCCGGCTTATTATTTTTTGCAGACTGTAAGAGCAATTTTATAAAAGTAAGCTTAAACTTTCGATTATATCAAATAGAATTTCCGATATATATTTGTTAATATGTAAAGGATCTAAAGCGAAAGTATGTTTTGAAATCCGAAATCTGTTTATCAATTTCACGCTGCTCGGCGGGGGGGGGGGGGATCGCCGCGGCGGGCGCGTAATGAATTGGAAGTTGATCTGTCAACACTATCCTTATCTTCAGGCGCAGATGTTTTTTTATTTATTTGGCTTATAATTCCTTACCAAATGTAGTATTTCATCTCGATATGCTCCGTCTTTGATATGATTTAAAACAAGTTCCTCATCATTATAATTCGCTTTCGATAGCGAAGAAAGTGACAGAGGTTATTGAAAACGAAAAAATTTCGATTGACAAATTAAGTCGGTGTTCTAGACACAGCAATTATAGGACTTGAACAGCGGAACTTTGTAACTGAACAAGAAATTATGTCTGTTTAATAGAATTAAAGAGAAAGTATTATCACATGAAACGAAGCAAAACTTAAACAACTTACATTGAAAGAAATGTTTAATAAAGTAAACAAATAAATATTAAGCTTTTTCTTTTTGCAAATTTTGATACCCTTTAGATCATAATTGTTCTTTATTTCATAAATTACGGTTTCATATTTTTAATTTTAGAATTTCTGCATGCCATCTTACGAGATTTAAACTGATGATCTATAATCCGGAAAAATCGATAATCCGGAATCGCCGAAGTCCCGACGAGTCCGGATTAACGACTTTTGACTGTACCTCAATTTATTAAAATAGCTTTCTTTCTTTTGTTTAGCTGCAGAATGTCTGCAAAAAAAGTCTTATTTTATTCCAGATTGGGAAGATTCTAATCTCAATCTTCAATGGAGAAAACAACAACTTATAATTATTTGTGTTTTCAAGTGTTAAGGTGCTTTTAAGAAAATACCTCACAAATTAAATTTACCTACCTAAAATCTAACCTAACTATTTAGCATTGCGTTGTGATTTATAAGAACCGGATTAGCCTCGTGTTGAACTGGTGATGATCATGAGTAATAATTAAATAAAACATACATTTGTTATCCAGTATCTTATATATCTTAAATTTTATTAAGTTTATATATCTTAAATTTTATTAAGTTTCTTAAGTGGAAAAGTAAACAAAATTATCAAACAAAGTATACCAAGAATAATTAAGAATAAATATCCTCTGGGATTTATTGAATAATTAAGTGAATTTGCTACACAATACAAGTAATACCATAATTAATTTACCTTTTAGTGTAGCCAAAGTACATTATGCGAATAGACTGGAATTTTCTTGAAACACACCTGGAAAAGTCAGAATTTCATTCTCCTGTTTGAGTGGCAACCCTGAAGAAATTATGTCTGTTTATAGAATTAAAGAGAAAGTATCACATAAAACGAAGCAACTTAAAACAACTTACATTGAAAGAAATGTTTAATAAAATAAACAAATAAATATTAAGCTTTTTTTTTTTTTTTTTTTTTTTTTTTGTAAATTTTGATACCCTTTAGATCATAATTGTTCTTTATTTCATAAATTACGGTTTCATATTTTTAATTTTAGAATTTCTGCATGCCATCTTACGAGATTTAAACTGATGATCTATAAACCGGAAAAATCGATAATCTGGAATCGCCGAAGTCCCGACGAGTCCAGATTAATGACTTTTGGCTGTATAATAATAAGTACTTAAATCATTGAATTTTATAAATTTGCATGAAAACTAACTTTATTAATGTATACTGTGTGTCGGCAGCATTTAAAGATTAAAACTGAAACTATTATTAATTACACCTTTATTTGCAGATTTGACACACGGGCTACCCCCTGTTTCCTACAGTTAATCCTTATGTTAAAGAAATAAAGTTTAACTTCATTTTAAAAAATGAGAAAAATATAGCAGTGTGAAAAACGCTTAGTAGCTAAGCACTGAGAAAGCACTCAGAAGTGTGTATGAGTACCAAAAAATATACAGTATTAGAAGGTTAATCAATGATAAAGTTTTCTTTTAATATTTTGATTTTCAGTTTCATGCTGTTAAAATTCAGATGTATGCTATTAAGATTCGTGATAAGTACTCCCGTTTTATGAAAATTTATTCATATCTGTGTTTTTCTGTATCTGCTTTATGTAAAAGCTAAGATTTCTGTATTTATTGTTTAGGCTTTGGGGTGAACCAGTAAATTTAAGAGAGCAACATGATGCTTTGGAATTCTTTAATAGTTTGGTTGACAGCCTGGAAGAAGCATTAAAGCTTCTGAATCAACCATGTATATTGTCTCAGATTCTTAGTGGATCATTTGCTGATCAAAAAATTTGCAAAGATTGCCCTCACAGGTAATTATTTAAATGTCTCTCTTTATTAATGCCATACTCTACATAATAGTTTATAGATACAATACAAAGTCCGTAATCCAGACGTCCATTATCCAGACCTCAAAGCCACAAACTTACGTAATCTGGAAGTAACGTAATCCGGATGCATGTGCTTTACGTAATGTGTTTATGCATGTGCTTCTAATGCACGCATCTGCTATGCATGCACATAAAGTGTTTACCCATGCGCACTTCCGATAGTGAAAAAAGTGACAGAGAGGTTATTGAAAACGAACAAATTTTGATTGACAAGTTAGTCGGTATTCTCGACACACCAATTACCGGACTTGAACAGTGGAACTTTGTAACTGAACAAGAAATTATGTCTGTTTTTAGAATTAAAGAGAAAGTATTAGGTTTAATAAAGTATACAAATAAATATAATTTTTTTTTTTTGGTAAATTTTGATACCCTTTAGGTCATAATTGCTCTTTATTTCATAAATTACGGTTTCATATTTTTAATTGTATAATTTCTGCGTGCCATCTTACCAGATTTAAATTGATGATCTATAATCTGGAGAAACCCCTAGTCTGGAATCGCCAAACTCCCAACGAGTCCGGATTACAGACTTTGTACTGCATTATTGATTGTGTATTTATATCAAATTCAAAAAAATGGGGGGAGCAGAATGAGGAACTAAGGAGAAATGGCAAGGATATATAACATTTTATAGTATATACATGACAGTTTTTTGTATTCATTTCAAAATATAAAATAATCACTGATAAACATATTGAGGAAGATTTATCCTGCAGGTAAGGTTTGTTAATGCTCTAAGAATCTGACAAGGGGTGTTATTATAACACTCTAAATTAGAAGAGCAGTGATGTAGCATGTTGTATAACGGATAAAAAATATAATGTAATGCATCAATAGCTCAAACTATAAAAAACAATTGTGATGTAGCCGTTCTTCAATAGACACTAGTGCCGGCTAGCTTTAAAAGGATTTATTAACAGAGCACACAGGAACGGTTACAAACAAAAGAAATATACATAAAAATGAAACATATACCAAATGGAACTCAAAACAGTTGAATAACAGAGACATAGTAAACTAACATCATGGCGGCTGGAGTTCGACTGACGTTTTTTCATATCGCCACGAGATGGCGTTTAAATAAAATAGTTCGGTTACAGTTGATGAGTTCATGACGTGAATAAAATAGTTCAATTACACTTAAATAGGTCTGTTACACAATGGAATAAACTTCTGAAGTCCTTGAATAGAACTAACTCTATTAGAATCTCACAGTAGAATTTTAATTTCCTGAAAAAAAAATTAATAGGAGTTAATAATTATATAAATTTAAAATATGATGTAAATATAATTGTATGCTTATATTGAATATTAAAATTTAAATATTAGTCGTGGTTTCAGATTATATTTGATTATTTTGACTATAACTTTGGCATCACTTTTTCACAGATGGCATGATTTTTAAAATATAACTGTTCCGCAAAGTATTTAGAACAGTTGCAGTTAAAGGGTTTTATTTTGCTTTTGTTAAGGATGCTTTATTTAATTTTGTACATGAGAATTTTTTTTATTCCCTTCCCCCGAAGCCTGATGATTAAAATACTTTTAAAAGTTTAGTTGAACAAAAGTGCAATTCCTTTTCTTTTATTAATGCAGTTCCATTTCTTCTTATGCTTTTCTGTATCATTAGCATGGCTAATGAATGAATGAATGAATAATTGTTTTTGTTGCTGTTTTCAATACTTGGTGTTGCAAAAAATCAGTTATTTATTTGTATCTTGGAATGCTGTTCAAACTATCCAGTTATCTAAGTTCTCTTTAGAATATAATTTTTTTTTTTTTTTTTTTTTTAAGCAAGGAAATGAAAGTCTGTAGAAAATTTGATATACTAAAAATTGTGCACAAGAAGATAGGTTTTCCATAACTTGTGTATATTTGTGATTATTCCGTTTTGGGGGGGGGATTTGATATGCAATAAAGAAAAGCATGTATATTATCATCAGTGTTACAACAGTCTAAAATGAAAAATTACAACACATAAATAGTTTTGTATTGCAACTGCAATAAGTGCTGAAATTTCAAATTAGTACAGTAATATCGAATATCTGGAAGGCTTCAATAGTGCTGAATTCCAGATATATGAAAGTTCTGGATATAAAAAGTGAAATTGTATTAGAAAGTCAATGGTGAAAATTTCTGCTCTAAAATTATTTTTTAAAAAAAAGTATCTTATTTGTTGCCAACTGGAATATCAGAAGCTCCAGTTGAAATTATATAAGATTTTGAAAAATGAAATAGTACATTTCAGTTGTAAAAAGCCAGCATATTTTCATATGCCATAAACGTCAAAGTAAAACATCTGATCCAATTATGAAATCTTACCTAATATGAAAGTTGGCAGAAATCTTGTCAATCATTTCAGCAGAAGTTTAAATGAGTAGATCATTCTGTATTTAGTTAGATAACAAAGATGTAAGTTATGTCTATAGCTGATAAAAAAACTTAAATCACTTATAATTTTTCACTCTACATGAATGTTCAATCTATTTTCGACGGTTTGATTGAACCAGTTGATGACTGGATTCTATAACTTTGAAAATATTCCCCTTCATGCAGTCCCAAATATTATTATTTTTTTTTCAAAATGCAAGAAAAAGTAGTACTTAGATCCTTACAACAGGAACAAAAAGGCTTATCAAGAATTAACTGAATTTACCCTAAACCAAAGTGAACTTATGATTGTGTTGTGGCTTCATGCTTGTCCATTGTTGGCAATAAATCACACTGTTTGGCAACAGTGTATACATGTCAGTAGTATTATGAACTCTATTGTGGAATTACAAATCTCTCATTTATTAATTTTTTTGAGAAATATTTTTCGAAAATCCTGATTAGTTGAATGCCGAAGTCCACCTTCTACTGTAGTCTTCAAGCGCTTTTCGCTACATCATGATACATTCATAGGGACATGGCAGAGTAAACACGGGATATTTGTGCAAGCCATTTCAATTTCATGGTGCAGTATTGCTAGTGAGTGTGCCTTTATACTGTACACTACATGCTTGAGGATCCCCACAAATAAAGTCAAGAAGTTAACTCATGTGACTATGGGGTTTCCCATTCATGCCCCTTGTCCTGCCTCAGTACAGTATTTTCAGATAGATATGGGCAAGTAGGATGGGATTCTGTTTTGTCAGATGTACAATTAATGCCAGAACTTTCATGAACTACTTGTAAAGACTGAATCTCTTATGTTCTTATCCTCGTTGTTTAGACTTTTAACTTTTTACTTTTGTTCCCATGTTCATTTATTCTGATTCTTGCTTTATTAATGTTTGTCCTTTTTTATTATTTATCATAGAACAAAATGTATGCAATGTTTAGATCTCATTTACTATTTCTGATCAATCTCGGCAATAATTTGTAAATTTTATAACTTTGTTTTCACACTTCATTTATATTCGCATATTTTCTTATTAGAAATTAGAAAACAAAAACAAAATTTTACAAAATATAGTAAATACGAATAGAGCTTTGTAAGTCTGCAGGTTTGGAATGCGATTTTTAATAACATATTTTCATTAATAAAATAATGGTAATGACTAATTTAATGAAACAATAATAATAATAATAATATTTATTACCATTAGATGATTAGAATGAGATTCAATACAATTAGATTTTGAGATGAACTTACAGCAATAATAAAGCTTTACATAACAATAACAGAGATTTAAATCTGCTTTTTTCGATAATTTTGTTATTATAATATAAAAATCAAAATCCGAGATACATTGGTTGCGTTTAATAATTAATTTTAACAAATATTACATTGGACTATCAGGCAAAGAAGGTATATCTTTAACGAGAATTTTTCTTTGTAAAATTGGCTTTTGTTTATGTTAGCCGAGAAAAAATTCGTGACTTATACATGCAATCATCAAAAGAATTTTGAGAACAGTTTTAAATGTTCATGAAGAATTAATTATACGTCAATTTCTTTCCATAGGTAGAAATTTCGTCTAAAACTATCGTTATATCCAAAAGTTGAAGTCTATTTCATTTTCAACGAATATTCTATTTGCACATAATATATTTTCCAATTTATTTTAGAAAGAGTAATCTTTCACGTTTTCAAAAGAATAAGGAAATATTGGGTGTTGATACCATGTAGTAAATTTGTTTTTATATTTTCTTCCAGTAATGAAAACGATTACCCTGCAATATTTTCAAAGCAAAATTAAGAAAACCGTTTACGCCAAATTTTTGCATAAAGTATCTTTCTCGTGTATATTTTTATTTAAAGTGTGGAATTTTCTCTTTGAAAATATCAAAAAATCATGAAGAGCAAAATTAATTCATGAGAAATAACTTTGAAATGCAATAATTCCATTGTAATATGACATAGTGGATAAAAGTGCAATACAGTTTATTTATTCACAAATAATCCCCCTCATATGCGTAATTTATGTACTGTCGATTGAGAAATATAGGTTAGTAAATTAAACCGGTTAATTCAATACTTTTCCTTTATCAATATTTTTACCTGCTCTTCAGTAAAGCGGTAAAGGTGGCTGAACACTTATAGCTCGCTTGGATTTGAATCCCGGATAAATAGTTGGAGTCATGGTTTTTTTGTGTAACGTAAATGCAAGCCAGCTTCTCTTAGAAAGTCCTCCGCGAAGGCATAACTCCCCTTATACAGGTAATTGTTGTGTGCTTTGATGTAATTCAGTAAGCGAACAAAATTAATCCAATAAAGCCTGAGAAAGGGTTGATTACATGTGGAGTTTTCCATCAGGAACGTAAATGCGAGCAATTTTCTCTTAAAAAGGTTTACGCAAAAGCATCCATTCCCTTAAGCAGATAGCGTTTGCTTGCTTTTTGCTCAATCCTAATTCTCATACATTTAATAGTAAGTTGGCATACACTTTATTATAGACAAAATAACATTCCTTTTTTAAAGATAAATTTTTTATTAACTTATCTGGATACCCTTTATCTCTTGAGGAGTATAATAATTTCAGCAAATAAAACTGGCCGAAATTTTATAGTTGGCATACACTTTATTATAGACAAAATAACATTCCTTTTTTAAGGATAAATTTTTTATTAACTTATCTGAATACCCTTTATCTCTTGAGGAGTATAATAATTTCAGCAGATAAAACTGGCCGAAATTTTATGGAAATTAACTGATGTTTTGATTCAATTTTGTAGAAGTTACGTGAGCTTTAATGATATTTAAATACGTTTTGGCAGATACCATCCTAAGAGAGGGTCTAAAGATAAATTGGCTTTATTTAATTTACAATGAATGAAAATCATTGAGAGCAATCATTGAATGAAATCACAAAAACTATTATGCATATAATAGTCTCTTATTTATCTCCTGATAAATCAGACAAAATTGCCTACATAATAGAAGCACTTTGAAAGAGTTCACAGTTCTTAAGGGTTTTATGCACTCCAAAAAAAAGGGGGGGTTAAAATAACATCTTATTATTCATAAGTATAAAAAGGAAGTAAACAATAAGAGCGGTTTTACTTATTTTCTAGAAGGACATTAAATTTAAAATATTAATCTAATCTTATTTGCTATGATTAAAAAGCATTAAATCTGGTAAGCTTAAACAGCGTGCAAATTCGCTGACATTTTAATCATAGCAAAAGTTAGTACTAAAAAAGTGTTAGCACTAAAATTATGAGGCAGTGCTCTAACGTTTGAGAAAGAGATGGCTTCTGTTTGATTTTTTAAGTATATTGGCACAAGACGAAACCTGTGGTTTTTGCCAAAATGTAGCCAAACTGATAAAAAGAGGAAAACAATGCGTAGCTAGCGGCTATTCTGAGCAGCAGCAATAGACCACCCAGAGATCTACAGATAGGCGATTCTCTAAAATAGGGAGGGGATGGCTGGTACGACAGTTGTACCACAGCCCCGTTAAAGAAAGTCATTTTCCTGGTACAACTGCTGTATCACCAGCTTTAGAATGTTAATATATAGATATATTAGGGCCAGTATGTATAAATATGCTGATTAACCATGCCATTTGATTTAAAGTATACCTCATCAGACCACACCACTTCAGAAAGTATGCATAATCTTCCAACTGTGTAAGGAGCTATTCATGAAGCTGACTACCGTCTGAGTCCTTCTCATTCAATGCATGTTTTGGCTGTAGAATGTAAACTTCACACAGCCTTTTATTCTGTGCAAATACACATAGCCTTTTTTGGCACAGCCTTTTATTCTGTGCAAAATATAATATATGCATGCTCTGCTTGCTTCTGTTTCATTTCCTTATTATTGTGTTAGAGTCTATGGAACATATATTTGAGCGCATGGGATAAATGTAAAATGCATGCCCGTAGTAAAAGCTGAATTTGAATATTACCTTAGAATTTTGTATATATATATATATATTTTACTTTAGATATTCAAGGGAAGAATCATTCACAGCTCTAAATATTGATATTCGAAATCATAGTAATCTTTTGGATTCACTTGAACAATATGTAAAAGGTGATTTACTTGAAGGAGCAAATGCATATCATTGTGAAAAGTGTAATAAAAAGGTATGTATTGAAATGCATTCTATATTACCAGTTATATTTTACAAAATAAAATAGCTTTTATATTAAATAACATTAAAAGTGCGTATTTTTTTTAAAATTCTATTACAGTGCATTTTCATTATAATTAATGTGTAATTTTTTTCATTTTTGTAAAACAAGTACATAGTACTTTGGAAGTTAGAATAAGTCTTAGACATGCATGTAATTTATAGGTTGATACTGTAAAACGCCTTTGTATTAAAAAACTGCCACCCATTCTGGCCATTCAACTGAAGAGATTCGATTATGATTGGGAAAGAGAATGTGCCATTAAATTTAATGATTATTTTGAATTTCCTCGTGAATTTGATATGGAGCCTTACACTGTCAAAGGTTTAGCTAAAATTGAAGGTATGTGACATTTCATATTATGTTTATTCTATATTTAATATAATACTTTTATTATATTTCATAAAAATTCATCATGTTTAATTCTGAAAGTACCTTCGTTCATTCACAAATTTTGGAATTTTCAGGTGAAATGATTGAAGATGATTTCAATGTGGATAATGAATCATGTTGCACAAAATACAAATTAACAGGCATAGTAGTGCATAGTGGTCAAGCAAGTGGAGGGCATTACTATTCATATATTTTACATAGGTAACTTAATTTTGTGTTAATACTTTAATATATAAGATAAACATTTTCATTACCGATATTATATAGCATGCTGTTTTGCTGAAATTTATATGTTAATTAATTTTTTTCAGGCACAGTGATGGAAACCAGAAATGGTATAAGTTTGATGATGGTGAAGTAATGGAATGTAAAATGGAAGATGATGAGGTATGAAATTTTATGAACAAATTAGATTTCTTATTTACATTTGCAAAACAATAATAGACCCAGTGTGCTTAAGCATTTTATTCTTCAAATATTGAGCTGTTTACTGAAAGTGAGAAGTGCAATTCTGTGTAGGACAATCATTATTTTGTTTCATTTTTGTTAAGATACTTATAAAAGCCACTTGCATTGTGTGGGCAAATAAATTTCTAACATTTAGCAACTGGAAATTGTAAATATTAGTATATCATATTGCAGAAAACAAACAAGTAAATGAATAAATAGTGAATGACTGAGAAAAATAGAGAAATGTATTGACGTCAGATATGCTGCAAAAATAAGCTGAAGTTTCTGAATATTTCATTTTCAAAGCTCGACAAGTATCTATGAACAGTACTTGAATTTTAAAAAGTTAAATATGCAAAAGCATAATTCAGATACTGAAGTGCTATAAATATTGTGGTAAATTTAAGCAATCATTTCATTTTATGTTATTCAACTGTTCAACTGCAAGAAGGGGGTAAAAAAGAAAGAAAGAAAGAATGTGACATTAATATTTTGAAGATTAGGCTACGAATGATTCAGTTTTGGTTCAATTTCGTTCTGAATAATTACTGAATTGTTATGCAAGTACCTGCATCATTAGCATTACGTAGGAGTTGTATAACAGGGATTCATTTTGTTTAGATTTATAAATGATACAGTTTAGAGAGATTTATGAGCTGTTTTTTTTTTCGACAAAAGGGAATAGTAAATAAAAGGCTTGAAAGACTATTGCAATAGTTAATTTTATGGGAAAAAATTGGATACTTTTTAATCTTTAAAAAATGATTTTAACTGGTCATTAGATCCATCAATTATATAATGTCCATAGGATCAAGGATCAAGGAAGTGCAATTTACGGAGTTCATAGGCAATTACGCCTTTACCCTTACCTCCACATCTTCAAAGGAAATTAAATCATCCGAAAGAGGGGATTGTCAAATAGGGTAAAAATTTTGATAAGCCGAATGACTTGGAGTAAGTGCCTTCACACTGAGTCAAAAAAAAAAAAAAAAAAAACTCAGAAGGTCTTAATTTTGCGCCGAAAAAGGGCCAGAATAATTTAGATAGGGGCAGCCATAAAAAATTTTGACTAGAAAAATAAAAGGTGAAGTTTCCTTGAACCTTGATAATCATGTTTTGCATACGTCAGATGAAGAATACGCAGGGGAATTCCGATGCGCGTTCTTCGAGGTGGGAGGGAGGGGGGAACCTGTTTACAGGTCGAAAAAGTAGTTCTGCCAGTGATCAGCTGGGAGGGAGAAGTTTCATTTTTGACCGCTATTCAATGCGGTTTTTAAAGGCCAAAAAGGACGCTGTTAAGCGCCTAAGAAAGTTCCTTTTTAAAGGAAGAAAGAAGCTATAATTTAAAAATCTTTTTCAGTTTTAATTTCATTTGATAAGTTAAAAATATTTTAAATCAGTCCTATTTGACTGTGATGTTTCTTATTAAAGAAACGTTAAAGGGGGTTCCTCGAGTTAATGCCGTGTGCATTAAAGAACTTTAGAGGCGGGGGGGGTTAAGGAACGAGAGGTAGTTATTCACGTGGCTATCAGTGTGCTCATATCTAGCCCGTTTAAATGGCAGAGCTGAATATTCCCTGTTAAGAACCGCTCTGGGTCTTTTCCGGGAAGAAGCAACAGCAGGATCGTATACGGGTAGCATATGAAGCACAGGATTTGCAACACGTTGAATATTTTTGAAAAATTTTTCCGAAAGTCGCTGTATATAGCGATTAATGGGCATAATTTTGAGGTCGTTATGAATCTCTTCGTTCCGTACAAACCACGGAGCTTTTAGAATTTGCCGAAGCATTTTAGATTGAAAAATTTGGACATGTTTTCTGTTAGTCAGTGCACATGGGCCCCATACGGGACACGCATACGTAAGAACCGGCCTAATCATTGATTTGTAGAGCAAGATTTTGTTATATCAGTTGACAGGTCGCTATTACTAGCTAAAAGGGGGCGTAGGGCGGTTTTGACAGCTGTCGCACCCGCTATGATTTTGCGGATGTGAGGCTGCCAAGTTAATTTTGAGTCTAGTAAAACACCTAGATATTTGTAAGAAGAGACCCAGGGAATGGGTTCACCGAAGAGCATTAAATTAGGTAAACTTGGGATATTTCTTCGGATGAACATAGTGGCAGCACATTTTGCGACATTAATTTTGATTTTATACAGACCGAGCCAGAGTTCTAAGGTCGAAAGGTAACTCTGCAATTGTGAGATTACCTGGAGGGTGTTGGAGTGTTGTGAAATGATGGCTGTATCGTCTGCGTATAACGCAAGATCGATATTTGGGGCCTTAGGAATATCATTTACATAAAGGTTAAAGATTGAAGGGGCAAGGAGGCTACCTTGAGCCACCCCAGCATAGATTGGGCGGGGAGAGGAGAATTCGTGGTTAACTCGCACGCGGAAACTGCGTCCGGTCAAGTACGAGTTAATAATTTTAATGAGATGAGCCGAAAAACCAAGCCGCATGAACTTGTAAATAATCCCGTCATGCCAAGTCCTGTCAAAGGCTTTGGCAACGTCCTAGATAGACAATTCCAGTTTTCTCTCGCTTACGAAAGCCTTCATGAATGAATGAATTCCACTACACGGAGTAACTGGTGTACCGTGGAGTGTTTAGGTCGGAAGCCGAATTGTTCCGGGATTAGTAAATTTTGATCCCGACAGAATTCATTCAGGCGATTAAGTAAGACAAATTCATAGATCTTAGAGAGAGAAGATAACAGACTTATGGGTCTGTAATTGACGGGCAAGTTTAAATTTTGTCCCGGTTTTGGAATGGGGACGACTGCTGCAATTTTCCAGCAGTCGGGGAAATAGCTTCTCCTGAGCATTAAATTTATGAGTACCGTGATCCATACGATAAACATAGGGGGGAAGTTTTTGATCATGCGATTCGAAATAGAATCTATGCCAGGTGCCTTGTCAGGTTTCAGTTTGTCAATGAAAACCATGACTTCAGTAGGGTCCGTTGGCCTGAGTTCAGTTGTGATAGGTTTGTGTTAAAAAATCTTTAACCCGTGCTTGTATGCGCCCCTGTGTAACCGGGCGGTTACAGTAGGAGTCGTGGTTTGGTGTGAATTGAGTTGCAAGGCTGTCAGCTATGACATTCGCCTTTTCTGAGTCAGTGTAGGCCATCTGTGCGCCATCGGCCGTTTGAAGGGGCGGAATGTAGTGTTTTATGTTTGCGTAATCGGGCGGCTGCGCGCCAAATCGATTTGTCTTCAGTCGTTAGGGACTCAATGTATGTTTTCCACTCCGCTTGTTTTAATAAGCGGGTTTCGGTCCTTATCTCGTTCTGTATCTTGCGAAATTGGGCACGGATATTGGGATCTCGTGACCTTTGCCAAATTCTTCGCAAGTAATTTCCGCTGCTTAATTTTGAATTTAGTCTCAGGTGGGAGCCTAGCACCTGGTGTTTGCGTGGTTTTGAAGCCGCAGCTCTCGCTTCTTTCAGTAAAGACTCCAAACTTTTGATATGCCTGTCAAAGTCCGAATTGCTGGAAATTTTGATGGGAGGGAGTGAAGTTTTTTCCAAAATAAATCTAAAGTCGTCCCAATTTGTTGAGACTTGCTCCTCTAATTTTGAGTATCGATTTTGAATATCTAGGGTTATCAAAACGGGGTAGTGATCAGAGTCCAATTCCTGAATCACTTTTATCTCATGCCGAAAAAATATATTATAAAAGGCAGCCAGATCAAGAACTGCAGGGGACCCTCTAACAGGGTAAAAAGTCGGGAGGGTAGGAGCTATGATCTGTACATGGTTACTCTGGCACCATGAATTTAGACTAATACCATACCTGTTCCTATTAGAACAAAACCATGCGGTATGGCGTGAATTTAGATCACCAGCAATTATTAGGTGATTTGAAATATTCAAAAGTTTATCAAAATCACTGACAGGAAAAGCTGGCCTTCCACGTGCTCCTGACAGTGGAGGTAAATAAGCTGAGACTATTGTCAGCGGGGAGGAATTTTGAAGGAAAATTTTGATGATTGTCGCTTCCAAAAAATTTAAATCAGGGGACGGTATCATGTGGTGCTTTAACGAACGCTTCACATAGATACAAGTGCCACCACAGGGATTTCTGCCCTGTGACACCCTGTCAGTACAATAAATGTCATAATTCCCAATTTTGGGAGTATTCCCTGGGGTAAGGTGAGTCTCTTGGACTAAAAACACGTCAATATCGTGCTCTACTACAAAATCACGAACTTCGTGAATTTTAGATGTTAATCCATTGGCATTCCACGTGCAAATGGTCAGTTCTCTGGATGGTGTTTGAACTGTTATTCATAAAATTGAATTTTAGGCCGTTATTAGAGGTTCATCACTGAAAAACAGAAGACATGGGTCTAAAAAGCCAAATTAAGTTGAAAGCTCAACATAGCTTTCATAAATATAAAATGCCCTCATTAAAGCATCTGCTTGCCTGAGTTTAGGCATTGCTTTTTTGAAGGCAAGGAAGCAGAATATGCTTGTCTACCGCTGGGTCGCGGGAGATTTCAATTAAGCATTTTAGTGTAGATGAGAAGACATCGTCGGAATCATTGCTACACTCTGCTGTGGCTGACACTGCTGGGGCTGGGGCTTCTGCAAGCCGGCAGTCTTGGATTCGTGGATTTGAATCCGTGCTCGGTGGTGTTCTTCACCATCTGTGCATAAGATGGTGAACTGACGTTGCTTGGGGGAGCAGGCATGGGACGTCTTGTCTCAGCGGTTGCTGTGGGCTTAGAAGAACCCTGCGGGGGGCTGTCTGTGCAGCTGCCCTATTCTTAAGCGTGGAATTTTTACCACGAGCCCGTTTATTACCTGGGTAGCGGGGACAAGATTTATACGAAGCAGGATGATCTCCACCGCAGTTGCAGCATGTGGCAGGTACGTCTAATCCTTTGGTACACTCACGTGCCCAATGGGGTCCAGAGCATCTGACACAACG